CAACTCGGCATGAGAGGCATGAGATATGCCATGTGATCGACTGCAAGGACCCGCTGCTTGGCGTCTGCATGCTGCATGCGATGGTGCGTGACCAAGGCGATGCGTGTGAGGCTGCATGCGGTGGTGCGTGACCAAGGCGATGCGTGTGAGGCTGCATGCGGTGGTGCGTGACCAAGGCGATGCGTGTGAGGCTGCATCGAAAGGTGTCGGTTCGGCCGCGCTGCACCGCCCATCCGAGTGTTGACGAAACAATGGTCGGCGCCGAGGCCGGCGGGCGTACGAACAAGAGCATGTCTTCGCGTTAAGCTAAACCGACGGAAATAGAGCCGATAGCACAAGTGTCGTGTACTCGTCCACGTGCTACCTCATACACTCGTACACGGAGAGTTATGCACCTTAGTTGTCGCTCTTCTTGGCCTCTTCTTCGAACGCCAAGCTGCACGTCGTCCAGGTCGCGCCAGCGCCGGCACCCGCACCAAAGCCCGTCAAGGCCGAGCGGCCCGCGCCCGTGCCTAGGTAGAATGTCAATCATCGCAGCCATGGACGTCGAGCAAGAAGCGTACGCGCAAGGACGAGCGACGTCAAGCCGCCGGCGACGAGGCCGGCCGAGAAGTTGACCATGAAGCTCTCGATGCACTTGTCCCACTTCTCGGAGATGCGGTACTCGGACGGGATCTCGGTCTTGGGGGCGGAGGCAGGCATGACGACGGCGATGGTTGTTTGTTGCGGAATGTCTACGTCAAGATGGCGGTCGTCGAAATTCGTGGCCAAACGCGCGCTCATTGGTTGAAATCCGTGCACCACGGCAGTCGACTTTTGACCAATGGCCTTGCAGTAATAAAAGCACTGGCCCTTCTTTCGCCGAGCGGTCCAGTGCTCAAAACCTCGCAACGACTATCAGCAGCATGTTGGCACGCCAAGTCGCGCTCCGCGTTCCTCGCGTCCTCGGCGTCCGCGCCTTCGCGTAGGCTCTTGGCAGTCATGGCGTCGATGGCTCATCCTGCGTGCATCTAGGAACCGCGTCGACATGGTCTTGAAGGAAGACGTCGCGCAGCTCGGCTTCTCGGGCGACGTCGTCAACGTCAAGGCTGGCTACGCGCGCAACTTTTTGTACCCGCAAAAGAAGGCAGTGTACGCGACCAAGCTCAACGTGGCCAAGTTTGCGCAGGCCAAGGAGGTCGATGCGTCGATCGATACCGAGCGCGAGCACGCGCGCGAGAAGATCATCAAGCGCCTCTCGACGATCGAGCTCACGTTCAAGCGCCACTGCCCGACGCCCAAGCCGATGACCAAGTCGTCGGTCACGGCGCAGAACATTGTCGACATGCTCGAGAAGCAGCATGGCATCGTTGTCGGCATCGCGCGCGTCGTGCTGCCGCAGGAGCTCAAGAGCACGGGCAACCACAACGTTAAGATCCGTGTCGACGACGGCATTGACGAAGAGGTCGCGGCCACCAAGGACGCCGAGGCCAAGGTCGAGGCGCCGGTCAACCCGGACGCGCCGGCGTCCAACACGACGCAGACGATCCTGACGCAGTTCGAGTCGGAGCGCTTCGACACGAAGGCCAAGAAGGACAACAGCACAGAAGCCGCCGTCGCCGACGAGTTTGTCTCGTCGACGCCCAAGCGCACCGTGAACCTCAAGGTCGTGATCAATAGACGTTAAAATAGCAAATACTAGTTGCCCCCACTTAATACGGCAACACCCTTTTCACCACAAGTCGCATTGCATAGTGGCTCCGACTACCGTACAACCACCCTGATGCACCTCGCGAATCAACTGCGATGGCGGCCACGTCCTGCAGCATTCGAGTAGCGGCAGCTGCGATCGCGGTGCGACTTTTCGCCACATCGATGCACTCCAGGCTTTTATAAACGCAGCGTCCAAATTGAACTATCGCATGGGTGGGCAGGTGTTTGGCTGCGACACTGTGCAGCTTCGAGGTCGCGACAGCTTTTGCTCTCAGCCCACGCTCGGTGACCACAAGGCCACGTCAGCGCGACGCCCCGACCTCCCACTCATATATCCCTCGATTCGGTCGCCCTTGCCTACTGCTTCTTCTCTGGGCTTCGCCAAATCATTTTCAAGCTACACCAGTGAGTATAGTGGACGGCAAAGGTTGGGCTCATGTCATGCTGTCATCCGAAATACTGACCGTCGCAACTCGGTCGCTATTGGCCCGTATCACTCCTCGCACGACAACACCCCTCAGCGATGCAGCCTTTCCTCAAGTATTTGGGAAATTCGACCTCTCTCCAGCTGTGGCTAACGTCTCTTGCTCATCGATGGCTCGTCCGACTTTGCACTTTTGGCCACTTCAACTTGAAACCTCTCGGATTGCATACGCACCATTTCATATCTTTCAACCTTTTACACTTTATATTCGGCAGCTACAGCGTCGGGAGGCCGTAGACGATCGGGTTGTAGAGCACACGGCCTTTCAATGGCACGCTCTTGACGGTGCTCCGGGCCTGCGACTTGGGCGCGTGGGCAAGATACCACGTGTCACCGACGCGGCGAATCGCTTTGGCGAGCGGTACGTTCTTGGCCATGAGCCCGAGCGTCGTCGTGACGCTGCGGTGGTTGGCGAGAAATGACGACGCCCACTGGTTGCACACGACGCTGTTGACGCCGGCGAGCGAGAAGAGCACGACACTGTTGAAGCTGTCTTCGAGGCTCAGCATCTCCTTCGACTTGTGCGTATCGCTCTTGCTCTGCCGGCGGTAGCTCGCGTAGTTCTCCATGCGGCTTGCGCCCCACACGAGATTGCACTTGGTCGCGTTCAGGCCCGCGAGGTGCGATGGGCTAAAGTGCGCGAGCGTCCGGTTTGGGCCGTAGTAGAGGAGGCCGCCGCCATGGCGCCCCGTGAGCGCCACCTGCCACTCGCCGACGCTCGGCACGCACTTTTGGCCCGTGAGCCCGCGCCACTGGAAGCTCGGGATCGTCTTGATCGCGTGCACAGTCGCTACAAAAATAGAAGCCGTGTTCGATTTTTGTGTTCGAAATTTGGTTCGATTTTTTGACGTACGTGCAATCGATGTAAGCGGCGACTCTGCGGGGTCGTCGTGGCGAGGGTCCGCGATGAAGAAGAGGTCGTCGCGCTTGAACGGTAGCGCCTTCATGCTTGCGTAGCGCTGCGCGAGGAGGTGCACGGAGAGGTCGCGCGCGTCGCCGCCTTCCAGCAGCGCCTCGAACGGAACAAGCTCGAGCGACGGGTCCACGAGAAGCAGCGTGAGCATGTCGTCCTTGGTCTTTGGCGGAAAGCTCTCGGTGAAGCAGTGCAAGAACGAGCCAAAGAGCGTCCGGGCTTCCTCCACCAGCGACTGGAACGTCGCTTCGAACGGGTCGTCGTGGCCGTCGTTGGTCGCATACTCAAATTCGTCCGACTCACCGTACGGCAAGTCGCTGTACTGCAAAAGCTGCTTGACACTACCCACGCGCATGGCTCGGAGCTTGGCTAATAGCTCGCGCAAGGCCAGACGCCGCGGTCGGTGGAGCTCCATGCGTGCGACAACCGGCGTCGCAGCCCCACCGGTGAGGCTGCCAAAGAGGTACTTGCCGTCGAGCGAGAGTTGGAGACTCAGTAGCATGTAGTTGGGCGGCAGGCTCGCGAGGACCTAGTCGACTATGTCAGTTGATCGACTAGAGTGATCGTAGACAAACAGCATCAATGTCGGCAGTGACTTGGAGGCGACGCCACGTCTCCGACTGCGACTCGAGGAAGAGCTTGGCGAGCTGCCCGGGGATGCTTGTCGCGGGTAGCTGCTGCGTTCGCTGCATGAAGAGCGACGGGCGGTTCGTGGGCTCGGCTGCCTGGTAGAATACCGACTCGGCATACGCACTCGCGACGCAGCTTTGGAACCTACGCGCCAACTCAGTTCATTTCTTTCAACAGGCTTGTGGATACCAGAGCAAGTATTTGGCCGCGAGGAGCGGTTGCTGGCAGCCATACACCTGCAGGAGCTCGTAGCATGTGTGTTTGATGGCGCGGCGATGCTGCGCTTTCACGGCCGACGCCAGCAGCTGTGTGAGGTACCGCGCAACGTCGTCGACCTTTGCCTCGGTCGCCAACGAGGTTGTGCCCGTGCTGCATGCAATCCCTTGCTTTCGCAGCGTGTCCTGGCCATAGACCCATGCTTCGTACGTCGGTGGGAGGTGCAGGCGAAGGCACTGGCCGACGCCGGCTGCCGACAGCCAATGCGTCGGATCCAGCTGGAGACTCGTAGAGAAGTACAAGAGCGCTTTTTGCGCCGGCGGCACACACATTTCTTCTGGTGTCTTGGGCGTCTTGGGTGCTGTGTGCGCGAGCCAAAGTTCCACGAGGTTCTTCTTCGCATCGCTCTCGACCTGGTAGACGACCATGCGCGTCTCGTCTTGAACCATACTGGCGGCCACATCGACGCACCCGAGCTCGTACTTGATCTGCGCCAACCGCGTTTGCAGCACGGGCTCGTGCGACGCCAGCGCCCAGAGCGACTCGATGTACGCGTGTGCACTGAGCAGCTGCGATCGAGCGTCGTCCAAGAGATTCACGTCGGTATCGATCGGGTTCCACGTCATACTGCGGTCGTGCAAGAGGACACCGTATGCCTGAAGAGTGTCGGCCATGACGACGTTGCCTCCGAGTGGCAAGAGCCGGCTGCAGCTCTCACTGAAGAGCCGCGTCGCTTCGGCCCAGATCGGCTGCCACTCACCGCCGGTCGCCAGCAGACTCTGGCTTTCCTGGACGAGCACGGTGGCGTACATGGCCTCCAGCTGAGAAAGGCACGTGATCGAGTCGAGGTCCATCAGATGCGCCTTGTCGTCGCCCACGACCGCGCGTGCGACGGGCGAGAGTGGGATCAACTGCAGCTGGCTCACGGCGTGCCGGCCGGCCGCAACAACATCTTTAGCATCTTTGATGCGCTTCATCTTGGAGTAGAGCGACGCAAGGGCTAGCACGTACTTGGTATAAGCTTGCACGTCGAGGTTGGGCGTCCCGACGGCACTCGTTAAATGGCGCAAGGCCATCGCGAGGTCGCCTTCCCGCGCGTGGAGCTGGCCAGCGCAATAGTCGGCCCACGCCGCTCCGCTCGGCTCGTCGTTGGCTGGTAGCGCCGCCAAGAGCTGCTTGACTTGCAAGTGAAAGCCGCTCGCGAGCAAAAGCTCAACCATTTCGAGGCCCAGATCCACGACATTGTACTTTGAAAACAGCAGCTTGCGTCGCCGGAGGAGGTCGGACGCGGTGCTGTGGGCGAGCGCCTTGTCCGAAGTCGGGACGCCTTGCTGCCCCCGAAGCGCCTCGATCGCGCGCTTGAGATAGACCTGGCTCGGCTCGATAAAGGCCATAGCTTCCAGCACGGAGGCAAGCCGAAGATCCAGTAAAATCGGAAGCAGCGTTAGGTCCCCGAGGGTCGACGACGCCGACGACTTGGTGCCATGTGCGATCGCATGCGCCAAGTGCAAACACGGGAGCACGTGGGTGTGGAGGCACTGGCTCACTGCCAGTTCGATGAGCTGGAGAAGGTAGTGCAACGTCAGCGTCGGTTGCGTCACGTTTTCGGGGTGCAGTGTCAGCGCAGAGAGCTTTGCCGCCGGCGTCTCACCGCAGAGTCTCGCCAAGTGCGGGGTCGTGTCAAGCTTGGCCCACTCGGTCGCAGACGTCGGCAGTGTAAACGACGGCGCAACGCCCGACTGGCCTCTCCACACGTCAAAGTCCGACTCGATTTTTTCGCCGGTTTGCTGCTGCGAGTAGCTCTCAAAGGCCGCTTGGAGCTCGAGCAAATGAAGCTCCTCGAACAGCACGTGCCAGATCTTGAGTACGTGCCCAAGACCCGCAAGAATGTACTCGAGACGCTCGGCGAACGAGTGCGCGGCGGTCGCCAACATCACGTAGCCGCGCAATGCAATGTCGAGGTGCCACCACTGCGCAACGACCGAGTCGTCCTTCTTCTTTTTGGCTTTGGCGCGCTTGGTCGCGCCCTTCTCGTTCGTCGGCAGAGCGTCCTTCCAGATGAGCGACAAGACCAGGCCTAATGCCGTGTGGATCTGGTCGTGGACGTCGTCAAGGGGAAACTGGTTGGTGTACAACCACTCGGCAATCTCGAGCTGGAATTGCGCTTGCTCCGGCATGCCACCGAGGTCTTTGACGGTGCGGAAGAGCGCCTTGTACTGCGCGGCCGCGTCGGTCGAGGACGCTGCGACGCGCTTGGCGACGCGCGCCTGGAGCAAGACGTCGTTGTCCTTCATTTTTGCAAAGCCGTCTTGCACCGACTTGCCCAGTTTGCTCATAAAGATGACGCGGTACTGCCACAGCGGGCGCTGGTAGTAGGCTGGAATCGATGCAAACGCGGCTTCGACAGCGTCGAGACCAGGCTCCCAGAGATGCAGCTCTTCGTACACATCGAGGAGCGCGCAGATAAACTCGAGGCGGAAGCCCCAGTCGGACGCTGCGCCGGCCGCCTCCAAGTGCGCGAGCATGCGCTGCAAGTCGGGCAAGAGCTTGCGCCGAAAAGACGGGTTCGGTGAGCCGTTCGCATCCAGAATGTCGAGCACGCCGTTCCACATCACCATGGCCGCGCGCTCGACGAGGCGGGGGTTCCCCGCACGCACCCCAAACTCGGCGCCGAGAAGCAAATGCTGCACCGCAAAGAGCGCTACACATCACCATCGTGCATCGTATCTTGTATTCGAAATGCGCGCGTACCGAGTTCGTGCTTGATGTCGCGCTCTTGCGTCTCGGTGCCGCTCGCAAGATCCAATATCGCTGTCGCCCACACGGTCTGCGCCAGCGCGTACCAGCGCCAGATGGCGGGAAGGAGCAGTCCAGGCGGAATGTCACTAGCCGCCAACGGAGCTAACGCGAGCTCACAAAACTTTTGCGCTTCGTGCGAGCGCTCGAGAACGACGGCGGTCTTGGCGAGGCGCACCCACACTTCAGCGTGGAACTCGCGCTTTTGCTGGTCGAGCTCGAGACACGTCTCCTTCGCGGCCAAGTGGTCGACCGCAAACGGCGTCCAGAGACTGGTCGCCTTCTGGAAGAGCGCAAGGGTCTTGTCCATTACCACTTTGACATCCGCTTCGTCACTGCGCAGATCGTTCTGCAGTGCGTCGAGGAGCGTGAGGCAGCTCACGACCTTCATCGGCACGTTCTCGCCCACGATCGGCTCCTTGGCGCCGCGGTCGAGCTGAACGCGCGTCTTGATCTCAGTGAGCGCCTTGCGCTGCAGAATTGCGAGCCCGGGAATCTTGAGGACGGCGTCCACAGTTGCCTCGATCTCGTTGAACTTGCCGTCGTAGAGACGCGTGAGCCCTTGGGCAACGCTCGCCAAGAGCGGCAAATGGTACGCAACGCCGTCCAAACTCAAGAGCGCATGGAACGCCTTCTCCATGGCCGTGACAAGTTCGGGCAGGACGAGGTCGAGGTCGAGTGGGGATGGGCCAAAGAGGCCGTAGTGGTAGTTCCACAGGTACGTGGCCGCGTTATGGATCACATGTGTAGCTTTTGTGTCGAGCCCACGCTGCATACCCTTGAGAATCTCGTCAACGACGTGCCGCTTGCAGTCGTTCCATGCACTGAGGACGTCGTCGGGTGCGTCGCCCGCCTTGACAAGCAGCCCAAGCCGTCCGTCCAAGCTCGGGCTCTCCTGCTTGAGCTTTTGCATTTCGAGCGTATATGTCTCGGCGAGCACGAAGTGCAAACTCGCTTGCTGAACAGCTTCCAAGTCGACAAGCGAAAACACATATTTGTGGGCCCGGCTCGCGCCGCGTCGCGTGGTCTCGATGGCCTTGACGTCCCACGCGAGGGTCGCAATGTCGTACCAGAGCGCAAATCGCTTCTTGAGAACGTCCTTCTCGAGGGTCAGCGGCGACTCGGGCGCCGACGCATCCAAGAGCGTCACGGCTTTGTTGAGCCACGTGAGCTTCATGTGCTTGTCGTGCGACTCCTTGGACTGCTCGACGTAGATGAGCGCTTGGTCTTCGACCGCGTCTGGCTCGCCATAGAGATTCGACTTGAGGTCCAGCACGCGCTTCATCGGGAGCAGAAATTTATCAAACGGCCGGACTGCGCGCTCGGCACTCGTCGCACTCGGCGTCTTGGGCTTGGTGCTAGTATGGTTCGCGCTCTCATCGCTCGTCGCCGCTTCGCCATAGTCGAGGAGTAGCGCCTTGTTGACGTGCACGGACGCTTTGGCGAGGTAGTCGCACTTCATCTCGCATTTCGCGGTCTCCAAGTGCATTTGCGCACGGAGCGTCACCAGCGGCGAGTCGAGCTCTTCTAACAGCGACGTGGTCGCCGTGAAGAGCCGGTGGACGTGCTTGCGTAAGTGCGGCTCTAGCAGCGGCAGCGCGACGTTCCACGCGTAGATGCAAATGTCCTGCATGAGGTGCGCATCCCCCACGCGCTTGGCGGCTGTGAGCGAGCGCTCAAGGAGCTTGACGCCTTCGACGTGGTGGCTCAAGCGCGCGGCCTCGCGCTGCCGGGCGTCCAAGTTGGCCGCGTCCGCCTTCTCGAGCAGGTGCACGAAACAACGCAGCACATCGACGAGGATGCGCGCGCGGGCCGAGACGCGCTTGTTCTCATGCACGAGGCCCTCGACGATGCGGACGACCTCGAGCTGGTGCTGAAAGACACCGAGGAGCCCGACTTCAACGAGGTTGTCCCAGTCGACGCTGCCTTCGGGAAGCGCAGGAAACGTGTCGAGCGGTTTGTGCAGAAAGGTCTCGAGTTTGGCTTTGGTCACGAGTTCAAAGAGCTCTGCAAACGCGGCGGGCAGTGCTTCGGGCAATACGATCTTGCTCTTGATGGCTTGGATCGCATAGAGCGTCTGTGCCCGGCGTGTCACCATGTTCTTCTTGGCGGCCGCTAACCCTTTGGCGCACTCGGGGTCCTTGTGGCGCCCGAGGTGGATTTGCAAAAAGCACGCCTCTTCAAACAAGAGGACGTTGGCCGGTGCGTTCTTGGAGAGCTGCACGAGTGCTAACGCGTGCTCGCAGGCTTCGAGCGCGACCTTGCCGGCCTTCGCGAGCTGGTTGTCGTCGTCGTACGCCGCTGCGAGCGTGAGTTCAAACCGAATGAGCCACGCTTTGTTGGCGTCGTTGATGCTCTTGAGGCCGTCGAGAAGCGCGGCGAGCGACTCGATGAGGTGCTTGCTCGTGCGCGGCCGCAAGAGCGGGCGGGCCACGTGCCAGTACGCGACACTGGCATTGTAGACCAAAAAATCGTAGTGTGGGCGGCTGCTCGGCTCGAGCGCGAGCTTGAGCGCAACGAGGATCCAGTGGATGGCATACTGGACCTGTCCGACGCAGCTCTGCCCGGTGAGCGCGCGAGCCTTGGCGCCGAGGTACGTTGCCCGCACCAAGAGTGCCCGGCAGTAAAACTACGAGGTAAACGTTCGACACCATGGCATGCGAATGCGAGGAGTACCTGGTCCTTGGGATACGCGAGGGTGAGATACCACTCGATGCAAGCCTCGGCCGTGCCCATCTCGCTCTGCTTGAGCGCGACCTCGGCGATGCACGGCAAGAGCTCGGTGAGGCGCAGCTGGTCCTCGGGCACGTTCCCGAGCGATGTCCATTGCTGCACCTTGGCGAGCAGCGCCGAAGCCTGAACGATGGTGCGTGGCGCGGCGGTCGGTGGCGGCGGCGGGCCGTCGAGCTCCTTGTTGATCTCGGCGAGCGCCCGACGCAGCTCCAGGTCCAGCGCCATGACCTCGCAAAATGACCTTTCAAGATTTGCAAATGGCCAATGAAAAGCAGCAAGAATTTTCGACAATTTGAAAACAAAAATGTCATGAAATGGCACTAAAAGTCGTATATATTGGAGTTTTGGAGTTAGCAAATTGGAAAAAGCAAGAGGGATTTAGAGATCGTCGACGTTGAGGCCGTGCGACGCGTTGGCTTCCGTGATCGAGAGGATCTCGACCTCGTTCTCTTCAATCTTCATGTCGTCAAGCAGTTCTTCGACCGGAATGACACCCGTGCCCTCGTCGTCGTCCTCCATGTCCTGGTCGTCGCCCGCCTTGTCGTCGTCGACCTTGTAAATGTTGATCTTCGAACGCATCTCCTTGTCGTCCTCGAGCTCGTCCAAGAAATGCTGGTAGTCCATCTCGGTCTTGGTCTGCTCGGCCTTCTTGACCGGGACCGCCGACTCGATGCCTTCAATGTTCTTGAGCTTCCAGTTGCGGCTGCGCTTCTGGACGCGGCGGAGGAACTGCTTGCGGACAAGGATGACGTCGGGAAGCGTAATGCCTGCCTCGTCGAGCGGCTTGGTGTCCGAGTCGTTAAAGACCGACGTCGAGAGGTCGTAGCCCATGGCCGTGTCGCCGACGTTCAAAAGCATGCCGAGGTGCGTCGTCGTCTGGAAGCGCGTGTCGTTGACGCCAAAGTCCGAGTTGCGGACGATCTCCATCTCGGCGAGGCGCGTCTTGCGGTTCGTGCGCACCGGGACGCCGCCGAGCGTCGGGATCTGGAGCGGGTTCGAGTCCAGCACCGTGTACTCGACGAGCTGCTTGGACGACCGGAGCGCCTTGAACGGGTACCGCCAGTACTTGTCGTTGTCGATCTCCGCGCGCTGCATCGTGAACGGGTCAATCACGTGGATCGACGACGTGACTTGCGTCACAATGCAGAGCGACGAGATGTTGCCGAGCTGGCGCGCGAGCTTGAGCGGGAGCGCGACAAGGTCGTCCTTGCAGACCGTCGCGAGGTCCACGGCATACGTAAACTTGTAGTTGGCCGTGTTGCTGTGGTTATCGGCCGAAATGAGCTTCTTGGCCGTCTTGAGCCTAGCGAGTTGCATAAGTTGTTGGCAATACCCAAGACAATAATGTACTTGATCGGGACCGTCTCGGACAAAAAGTCGACAAAGCGCAGCGCGTGGTTGCGCTCGACAAAGAAGAAGTCGACACCGTCCGGGTGCGACTCGATCGACGACGTCTTCTCGTGCACGCGGTGCTTGAGAATGAGCTGCTCGAGGTAGAAGAACGTGCGCTTGTGGTCGACCTTTTGGCGGACTTGGACAACCGCCTTCCACGAGTTGTTGGTGAACGAGGCTTGGCACTCGTCGCACTGCTGGTTGCGCACGATAAAGGTAACGACAAACGACTGCTGGAGGATCGCGCCGTTCATGACCTCCTTCTGCACCGTGAGCTTGAGCTTGAGACGCTTCGAGTGCGGCTCGGTCCAGACCCAGCCCGCGTCCACGAGCTTGACCTTGTTGAGGCCCGAGATCTTCTTGAGGCAGATGGCGAGAAGCTCACGCGACTCGAGCTCCGCCGCGACCCACGGCGGGCGCGACCACCTAATATGTTGCGTCACATGCATGCAGCGTCAAGAGCGAGCGTACTTGAGGCAGCCACGGCACTGGTGCATGATGATTTCCTTGGGAATGCCCTCGGTCACATCAACCTGGCCCTTGAGGCAGCTCACGCACATGTTGGCGGCGTTGGCCTTGATGGGCACCGCGCACATGCAACATAGGCTAGAGGTACATGAGCATCTCCATCGTCCATGGGGGGCGTACATGTTGGGCAGCGACTGCTCGGGCACGTGCAACATCGTCAGCGTCGAAGAATCGTTGATTGGCACTCTAAATTCCCAGAGCCAATCCTTTCCCGTTTTCAGCTGGAAATGGCTGGTGGCCTATGCGGCGCACCGATTGGCCAAAAACAATATCCATGGACCAATCGCGGACCGCGATCGTGCTTGAAATAGTGTGCAAATAGCCCTCCACACGAACACGGCGCCATTGGCACCATCCGAGGACTTCGCGCTCGTATCTCTTGCATATCAAAGGTGTTTTATTGCTTCTTTTTGAGCTGGAGCGTACGCTGTGCGCGGGACACACGGGTTTGGAACGCTGTCACGAATGTGTCTCTATCTAAATAATGTCGAAAACGAAAGGACAGTTGGATGGATAGCGACTTGATCGACACCAGTCCATGGATACTTGTGTGTATCTTTGTGCTCTCTACCGCATCAATGCAGTCGGTCGTCGACGTGTGCGAGCTTGCCGTTGTCTTGGTGGCATCGTCTCGCGCTTCTTGACAAATAGCCGGCGCGCTCGCCGACAACACTATTTTTGGTTTGGCGCCACCCACCAGGCCGTGTTCGGTGGTCGTGGTTTCATTGGCCAAAAAGAAAAGAATTTGGACAAATCACGTGTGGCAAAGGATCGAGCTTGCTCATTGGAGCAGTGTCGAAAAACCCAGCAACCAGAAGGATGGATGGCATGACCCCAGCTCCGACGCCCGGCCTTGGCGGCGGCCAGGACATCTCTGGCGCGCAGGTCAAGGACCCCGAGATCAAGTACATCTGCGGTGACTGCGGCATCGTCAACTACCTCGCAGCCCGCGACCCGATCCGCTGCCGCGCCTGCGGCTACCGCATCATGTACAAGGCCCGCACCAAGCGCCTGATCCAGTTCGAGGCCCGGTAAACGCGCCTCCTGTTACATATAAGAAAAGACTAAGTCGACTTCCGTAAGACGAATTCATATCACCATCATCCTATGCAAGCCATGTCTTATCGTGTGTTAAATGCAGTCTCCTTGGCCATGTCGCCTAGCCGAGCGTTCGCAGCGTCGCGAGCATGAGCGACTCGGGGAACGCACGCGTCGACCGCCAATGCACGTCGTGCGCTTCCTTTTGCAGGCCGCGCTCGCGGTAGTATGTGATGTACGCGACCCACACGTCTAGGCATTTTCGCTACATGAGCAACCTCGCAATGCCACCGCAACGCACCTTCGTCCGTCTGGCCAAACAAGTCGATGAGCTTCTCAAAGAGCGCCTTCACCGCGACCCGCTGCGCCGGCGAGTCGGGCTGCGCGACCTCGAGCGCCACGCACACGTCAAGCCACGCGTGCGTGTCGTCGTTCGGGAGCAGCTGGCCGTTGAAGAAGCTGCGGTACACGGGGCGCACGGCCGCCATGCCCTTGGTGCGGAAGAGCCACGTCACGTACTGCTGGCGCAGCACAGTCCAGTTGTTGGTCGCCACAAGTGCTTTCTACAGGACAGCGTGTCAGCACCGCGCATGGAAGCATCGCGTTGCAGGTTATGTACCTTGAAGGTCGCGTCGATCGTCGACGTCGACGCCTTGGCCGCGAACTGCAGCTGAAGGGAGCGCTCCCAGAGCAGCGTCGCGTCCGGAACGTGGCGCAAGCCTTCCTCAATGACGCTTAATGTGGCCTGGAACTTGGACGGCGCGGCTGCCGTCGTCTTGGCGCGCTTGGTCGCCGGCGCCGCCTCGACCACGCACGCCGCACGCATGACGAGCTGGGCGCGGAGGAGCCAGAGGTGCGCGTCCTTGGGGAAGGCCGTCGTCGCCGCCGTAGCGATCGCGATCGCCGACACCAAGTCGGCCGTGCGCAGCGTAAAGTCGACAAGCGCGGCGTACAGCGCCGGCGTCGACGGGCCCACGGACGTAAAGAGCGCGCGCGTCCGCTCCAAGAACCACGTCGACTACGCACCTCGTCCATGAGACGGCTTGGAAACTAGGCGTGCGTACCGCGGGGAGGCGCGAGAGCTCCTTGGCGCACCAGAGAAGCAGCTCATGGCGCATCGCGTCGGTCGGGAGGGTCTCGAGCGCGGTCGTGTAGCGCTACATAATGCATTCGACTCGTTGTTTCGTCAAGACTAGCACGACGCACCTCGAGGGCTTCGCTGCGCACGGCGTCCACGTCTCGCTCCAAGTCGAACGCGGGCTGCTGGCAATGCGCGCTCCAGACGGTCGCGTCGGTGCCAAAGTCCTCGAGGGCCGACGCGAGCACGATGTCGGCAATGGCCTTCGAGTAGCTCGTGGGGAAGAGGTGGCAGATCTCGACAAACTTGAGGCGGAACGAGGCGTCGTTCGGGATCGCTACGCGTTTTATGAGCTGATAGAGCCAAAGTTGAAGGCAAAAGACCTTGGATGGCGTTCTGGAAGACAATCTTGGGAATCGCAGCGTTGAGAATCGCTTGGCGCGACTCCTCCATGGCACTGACGGCCGGCACCTCGTCATTGTTCGCAAGGTTGGCCTCTTCGTCGAGCGTCTCAATCTCGAGCGAGAGCTCCTTGGGCTTCTCGACCGGCGCGTCGAGGCCGAGGAGCTCGCGGCGGGCGCGGAGCTTTTGGACGTAAAGGAATTCGAGGCGGAAGTACTCGGCCCAGAGGCGCTGCGAGTGCGGGTTGATGCGGATCGAGCGCTGCATGAGCACTAGACAGGATGCTGTGTGAGCACACGGCATGAGCGAGATATGGTCGTACCGCGCGCCGAGTCCATGTTGAGGTTGGTGTTGAACTCCCACGAGGCCGCTTCGATCCAAATGGCTTCGTTGCGCGGGTGCAGCTGCAGCGCGCTAGAATAGGCATGAGTATTTGTAGAGGGTTGAGGTGTGTCGTACCTCGTGAAGAGCTTGGACATCATCTTGCGGCTCGCATTGTTCTTGCAGTACGCAATATGCTGCAGCCAGAGGTCGATGTCGCCCTTGTGCTTGTTGATCGCGCGCTCAAAGATGTTGTGGACGCGCGCGACAGGCGCGTGGTCGCTGATCGTCGTCTTCTTGAGGCCTAGGCATCATCGACGTCGGCGAAGGATCCGACTGGCATGGCCGGTCGTCGTACCCATGCGCTTCTTGCGCTGACGGCGGAGTGCATCGAGGTTGAGCTCGTACTCGATGTAGCGGAGGCAGTCGACCTTGCGCAGCGGCTGGCGCTTCATCGTGTACTCAAAGTCCCGGCGCTTCTGCACGATCTGCCGGATCTCGTCCTATCGTCGTGATGAGCGGTGCGATGCGATCGGCGTCGTACCTTGGAGAAGATCTGGAGCTGCTGGAGATCCTCCAGCTCCGGGATCATCTTCTCCATGTTGTAGTTCACTTGGTCGGCCATCTTGCTTCGAGGGGTCTGCGGCGGTCGCGGCGATACGGAGCTCTGGCACCAAAGATGTTAGCGCTTCAATTTCAAGCTTTATGACTGGTTTGGAGACGGACTGATGCCATTGGCTATAATACACAAGTTTTAAGCCAATCGAACCAATTGTGAGTTTTGGCCAATGAGCGCCCCTTTGCTCGCCCACGACCCCTGACCTCGGCCATCGATCGCGGCTTGGCTGCTTGGGACTGGCAACAGGGACAGCACCGCTACTACTTGCAGGCGGCAGCAGCTTCCTGCTCACACTCGACTAACTCGAACCAGCACAAGAACAGTGTCGCAACACCTGAGACGACCAGAGGCTACGGGATCATCTACACTTCAATTTCTTCTTATGGCTGCATGCCGATGCTGGTACTTGCGTGCATTTACGTGGCCTTGGGCGTCGTCCAGCTCGTGTTGATCGGGCCAAAGTCGTTGATGATTTCGCGGTGGCACGACCAGACGAGCTTGATGGCCTCGGGCGTACCGATGGCACCGGCACGCGGGTCGCCGGCAGGGCCGAACCAGTGGTTCTGGGGCGCACCCGTCGTGCGCGCGCGGATGCCGTTGTACGTCGTGCCGTTGACCGTGTTGGCGAGGATGTGCTGCTGGAAACCAATGTCGTTCGAGACGACCGACGCCGTCAAGTGGGCCTCCATGCGCTCGAGCATGTTAAGGACAGTGTCGACCTCGCCGTCCTTGTACTCGGTGAGGATCTGGAACGGGCCAAAGATCTCAGTCGTGACGAGCTCGAAGTTCTCGGGCTTGGCGGCTTCCGCAAGGGGCACGTACACGGCCGTGGGCTCGATCGCGCCGTAGCACGACGGGATCGAGTGGTTCTTGAGCTCCTTGCCGCCAAAGACGACGCGGGCACCAGGGATCTTGAGCAAGTTGTCGACGTGGTCGAGCATGCGCTTGGTCGTGACCGTAAGGACAGGGCCGATCGTCAACTCGTCCAAGTTGCGGCGCGCCGCGAGGGTCTTGAGCTTGGCTTCAATGCCCGCCTTGGTCCAGTTCTCGTGCATGAAGAGGATCGACTGCGCCGAGCACTTCTGGCCCGAGCACGCGTACGCATCCTAAAAGAAACATGAGTCTCGACCTGTGAAGAGGTCTTGTACCTGGTCGCACACAAAGGCCACGTAGTCTTCGTCCGAGACATCGGGGCCGAGGATCTTCCAGTCAAAGCCGGCATCCTCGAGCTTGATGCGGCCCTTGAGGTCACTGGCGAGCTTTTCGGCGACGACCGACGAGCCCGTGAAGAGCGTGTTCTTGGGCTTGCCCTTGAGGAGGAGCTCGTTCATGACGGGGCCGTCCGAGTTGATGAAGTCAACGTCCGACGTGGGCATGCCGCAGGCGTGGAGCATGCGGAGCGCCTCGTACATGACGACAGCGACCTTCGAGTCGAGCTTCATCGTGACGCGGTTACCCATGTAGAGAGCACCCATGAGCTGAAGCATGGGGATTTCAAAGGGAAAGTTGAACGGCGTAATGAGCGCGACGGGGCCATACGGCCAGCGGTGGCCCGTGCTCATCTGGCCCAAGTGGTCGCCCGGCACGCCAAACGAGCGCGCAAGGAAGCGGACCTGGTCGCCCGAGAAGTTTTCCAAAAACTTGCGCGTGACGACAACCTCGGCCTTGGCCTGCTCGTACGACTTGGGCGCGACACGCTGGATGAGGCGCGTAAAGTAGTGCAAGACGTGCGGCTTGCGGAGCTCGGCGGCAGCCTTGTGCGACACGTCACCGTAGAGCAAGTAGCGCTCGACGTTCTTGAACGGGTTGTGCAGACCGTGCTTGGGCGTCGCGAGCATGTTGTCGATGAACGGCTTGAGCTCATCCTTCTGCGTGAGCGGGACGTTCATGAACACCTCGCCCGTGAGCGGGTCCTTGATGCCCTCGACCTTGCTCGCGCTGACCCACTCGCCGTTGACTAGTACACACATATGATGAGCCTCCATTGCCAGCATCATCTTGATGCAAGATCGTACGCAAGTTGTGGATCTCGGTGGGCGCAGCGCCCGAGACGTTCTCGGCGTCGACCTTGGCCCACGACGGCATGGCATGGGCCGAGCTGGCGGCGCGGGCAGCGCCGGCCACATGGAGCGAGCGGTTCAGGAAACGGCGGGCCAGCATCTTGCGACTTGGGTCCTTCGGGTCGTTTGCAAAAGTGATGCAGTGCTTGAGGCCGCAGATACTCAATTTGGGCTCCACGGAAAGCTCATTCTCAAAACCGTCATCTTTTTATAGATTTTGAGAAGCATTTTTATTGTCACTCAATACAAAACACAAAATAACATTGATTCCGAAATTTATAGAGGTAAAAAAAGGACGCCCGATTTAATGGCCGGGAGATTCGCTGCGACTCGAGCCAATCAGCGACGAGGCACGGAGCACCACGATGTAACTTCAACTTGGTCCCCGCGATGTCCCATCCATGGGCCGGCGATACAGGATGGGACGCATGGAAGGAGCATGCGGCTCATAATGCTAGTGGCGTCGAGGTAGAGCTACGGCTGACAGCGCCAACAAGCTATGGAAAGTGGTCGTCGTCGGGCTCTCGGGGGATTGTCCCACGACAGTCCGTACCCGACCGACCACGCATGGGTATCTACTTGACGCGTTTGTCGACCGCGCCTCGAATCTTCATGCGCCAACATGCGTGTGCTCTGTAGACCAGGATAGCGTGAAGGGCGTCGTTCTGGCGTACGCAGTAGGACGAGTACCATGGGGCGGGCCAACATCGTGTACGTAGTGGTACATTAATCGGTGAAACAATCGTGCAGGCGTGGACACTGCCTACGGTGGTCCACGTCACGCCACTGAGGCCGCGGGCGCCAACTCGCGACGACATCATGGCGGCCATCGTTTTCTTGGGCACGCGGGGACAGATAAATAGTTGGACGTCGGGCACGGGTTAGATACTTGTACGTGTCATCATGCTCGAGGGACGGGCGATTGACGGGCACAACGGCGATCGCTTGGGACGCGGCGCTAATGGCCAGCGTTGTTGCTCACTTCTTCGGGCAGCTTGATACCCGAGACGCCGTTCCTTCGCCCGACGGCGCCGCGCCGCGCCAGCTCTTCGGGGCTCAAGGTCTCGTCGTCGTTGTCGTCAACGCCCATCTTCTCGTCGGCGCGGACCTTCTCTTCCGGCGTCATCTTGCGGTCGTTGTCCATTGCGCTCGAGGCGGCGGAATCCAAACTTGCTCTCCGCTTGCGCCGGCCGCCGATAACTGTCGGACGCAAATGGTACTCGTCGGGCCTTGCTATATTTCTGTCCATAGACATGGCTTGTCCGCAGGTATCGAGTGTGACAGGTTTCAAAGCTGCTTTGGATATGACATGTCATATAGAAGCGTATCGTATCTCTGCATATATCGAATGTCAAAGGTCATTGAACCCCATCGGCGTCACCCCGACGCCGGATAGAGCATTAGTCACACATACAAACGCCAAGGTATTGCGTGGACGGCAAAAAATCGAAGGCAGTTTATCCGGATGACCGCGGGGACGTGCGATCTTCTTGCACCGCGTCGCGACGGCTCGGACGGGGCGAGGTTGCGTCGGGAAGCGACGCAAGATATGTAGTAACTCGTGGACAGGGCCACCATTAGCATGCAACCCTGCTTCGGACAAGCGAAGATCGCAGTAGCCTCGACCAGGTCCAGTGATTCCTTCTTGCACCATTCGAGGCATAGCAGAATAAGCTTCGATCCAGCACCATCAGGCTAAGAACTCAGTTACAAGCATGCACTATCGACTAGCTCATTATCTCGTCGACGACGACTTCGTCGGGATGGTACTTGGACGGATCGATGCGATACCTACAGGCAACGTGGTGGGGCGACCATCCATCGCTGGAGTGAGAAGCAAGCACGTACATGTTGCCATATTGAATCGTCGGCGCGTGGTCGCTGTCGACATCCACGATGCACACGGCCATGGCTAGTACCGGAAGCATAAGCGACGCGTTGGATATGTGTACGTACTGTTGGCGTCCAGCACGCGATACGTGATGGTCACCATGGACTCTTGGAGACAAAAGTTGAAGATCGCAACGCTCGACTCGGGCTTGAAGAGGCCATGGCAGGTCACACCTTCGAAGCTCCACTCCATGAACGTGCCTTGCTCGTCCGGGATAAACTAGCAATGGCCATGCGTCCGGAGCGAGGACAATTGCTTTCGGCTGTACCTGGATCGTGTACGCATTCGTGAGCTCGCTCTTGCGGATGCCACGCCCAAATGACCACTTGAGAAAGCTATGCATATCGTTTAGCCTCGCCATGATGGCGCGCCGACGGCTACCGCGTGTTGGGTTGCTTGGCCGCGAGCATGTCTTCCTCAATGAGCACGACGTTGTTGGTCGTGCGGAGGTGCTTGAAGGTCGAGCCAAAGTTGCGCCACTCGAGCGTCCGCTTCCACGTCCCAAGCAAGTAGCTGCAAAAGTCGCCGCCCGGCACGTCAAACCGCGTCGCGCTGTTCATCTCGGCCCCTCCTTGCGTCCTTGTCAAGTGGCAGCGTATCCGGACGACTGCCGGTCCACGCCGTAAATAGTGTATGCTGGCACCAGTTCAAGAGGTCGCCGAAGCCGATCTTGCTACGCAGCCTCTTTGTGGCAAGCCGCCACGAACGATGTGGACGCGCCCAGATGCACCTGCGAAGCGGCTTTGTCCCGACGTCCTTTCTACGGGAAAAAGATACGACATCGTCGGACAAACGTCCATTGACCGTAGTTGAAGTGGTCCCGAAGCGCTGTCGATGACGCTGGGGTCACCCAAAGAAGCCTGCAGAGTCTGGCGTCGTAATGGCGCGACACGCCATGACGTCATGCACGGTAGTACGTATTCGCATGTGTATCTGCGCCAGGATCGCAACTTGAAGCTACCGAGTCGCGCTGCTCGGGCGCCGCGCCGACAGGCAGACGCCTGCCGTCGACGACCCAAAACGCTCTACTCTATGTGTAGTCTATGCCTAGCGGCTAGCGGCGATGCTAGGGACGGACCCGACGAGCTTGGAGGTGGCGCTACCTGGGCCAACGCCACGCAGAGGCTGTAAAAAAGAACACACTATTACCTGCTGCTCGGTTTATCCGAACGTTCTTGGTAGTTGCGAATTGGCATGAAAGGGTTGATCCTCATCGGCGGCTTCGGCACGCGCCTGCGCCCGCTCACGCTCTCGACGCCGACGCCGCTCGTCGACTTTTGCAACAAGTCGCTCGTGCGCCACCAGATCGAAGCGCTCGCGGCCGTCGGCGTCGACGAGGTCATCCTCGCCATCAACTACCAGCCGGCGACGATGCTGCCAGCGCTCGCCGTCATCTCGCGCGACCTCGGCATCAAGATCACGTGCTCGCACGAGACCGAGCCGCTGGGAACGGCGGGGCCACTCGCGCTGGCCCGCGCGCACCTCGAGGTCGATGAGCCCTTCTTTGTCATCAACAGCGACATCATGGCCGACTTTACCGCCTTGGCGCATGCGCTGTCGTTTCACCGCGCGCATGGCGCCGAGGGCACGATCTTGCTCACGCAGGTCGACGAGCCAAGCAACTATGGCGTCGTGCTCACTGACTTAGACGGCTCGGGGCGCGTTGACCGCTTCATCGAGAAGCCGCGCGAGTTTGTCGGCAACATCATCAACGCGGGCATCTACATTTTCGAGCGCGAGATCCTCGACCGAATCCAGGTACTACTTGCGTCTTGTGCTCGTCGCAGTAAGGATGCATTATGCTCCATTAGCTACGACCGACGTCAATGGAGACGGAGATCTTTCCCCAAATGGCCGCCGAAGGCAACCTCTTCTCGATGCGTCTCCCGGGCTACTGGACCGACGTGGGCCAGCCCAAGGTACTTGGCGAGTACGATCTGTTCTTATTGCTTGTTAAATAGGACTTTTTGACGGGTATGTGCAAACACCTCGAGCACTTGTGTGCGACGAGCCCCCACCTGCTGACGACCGGCGTCAACTTTGTTGGCCACGTCCTTGTGGTGCGTTGGCAGCGGCGCGTCATTCGCTCACTTGAAGTTAGGACCCGAGCGCGAGCATCGGAGACGGCTGCTTGATTGGCCCCGACGTGGTCATTGGCGCGGGCTGTGTTGTCGAAGAAGGTGCTTGGTCGGCCGTTGGACGAGAGAGCTTATAGAAGTACTATTAGGCGTCCGATTGAGCCAAACGACGCTGCTGCGGGACGTGACAGTGCGCTCGAACTCGTGGATTCACAATAGCATCATTGGGTGGGGCTCGACCATCGGGCGCTGGTGTCGCCTCGAGGGCACGACGGTCCTCGGCGAGGACGTCCAGGTCAAGGACGAGCGCTTCATCAATGGCGGGATGGTGCTGCCCCACCGCGCCATCTCGACCAACATCCCGGAACCCGGCACGATCGTCATGTAGCTATAACGTTAATAGGGTGTAAGTGTTTTGGTGGCCACGGGGATTCTTCTTCTTGTTGATTATCGAGACGGAAAGACTACCGAATGCGCTTGATGGCGATCTGGATGAGGGCTTTGAGACCTTTGAGCCAGTCCTTTTGCTTGGCCCAGTGGTCCTTCGTCAAAAGCACGTGCACTTGCTGCGCGTGCTTGATGTCCCGCGCCGCGAGGCCGCCCGCGAGGTCGTGGATCAGGTCGAGGACGGCGTCGCCCAAGTCGGCGGCGTGGCCGAGCTTGGTAAACAGCACGTCGGCCGCCTTCTTGATCTCACCCAATTGCCGGCCTTCCATCTATCGAGTTGGTCGCATGAGCACCAACTTCATCAAAGCACGAGATACCGGCGGCAGCTTTTGCATCTCGAGAGCGCCAATGAGGCCGCTCACAGCCGTCACAACCACCATGTCGTCTTCGTGCACGCCACTCAAGTCGACCGACGTCACGTACGGCGGCGTGTTGGCAGCGACGATCGGCGTCGCAGGCTTGGGCGCCGCGGGCGACTTGGTGCGCGCGGCGTTGAGCAGCAACGGCTTGGGCGCCGTGTCGACGTGCAGCGCGTCTTCGATCGGCGCGTCATGCAGGTGCGTCGGCGGCGCAGAGTGCGCTTGCGCCGGTGACTCCTTGTGCACCTGTCCGATTGGCTCCGAGTGCGGCGGCTCCCCATGCGCCTCCATGTGCAACGCCGGTGCTTCTTCGTACGCGACAGGCTCCTGCTCGTACGCGTTCACGGGTGGTCCTTCGTCGTGCGAAGCAAACTCGGCCGCCGCTGGCGTCTCTGAAGCGTACGACTAGGTGGATGGTGTCACCAAGTGCGAGGTATCCTTTGCATGTCCTACCTCGTACGGCTGGTGCGCCGGCTCGTGGTACAAGTCTTCTTGCACAAAGAAGGCGTCGGGGGCAGGTGGCGTCAACCCATGTTCGTGCGTCGGCTGCGGCGGAAAGTCGTGCTGTGCTACATACTCCTGCTGTGTGGCGTACTCCTGTGCCTGGTGCTCTTGGTGGCCTTGCTGTGCCTGGTACATCTCGGGGGATGGCGCATACTCCAGCGGCGGCTGAGGCTGATGCGTCGGCTGGGGCTGAGGCGTCGGCTGCGCAACATACGGCTGCTGGTAGGACGGCGCGTACGTCGGCTGGGAGCCTTGTTGCAGACGCTCCATGATCGCGGCGTCGTGCTTGCCGTATTTGGCCGCAATGTCGAGTTGGCCAATCGAGAGCATCTGCAGAGGTCCATGAGAGGGGTATCCATGTGCATGAGAGGTCGTACCAAGGACGCATACTCGCTGTAGAGAGGCAGCGCCGCCGCCGACGCGTGGCCCGTCGCCTGCTTGAAGACGCTAATCTTCTCGACAGCGTGCAAGATCGCGAGCGGCTTGGATGCGTCGTCCTGCGCATGCACACGGTCCGCCCAAATAGCGATCGCGCGGTCCATGTTCATCGCACAGATAAAGCAGAGCGTCGCAGAGGCCACGTCGCCTGCGTCATAGAGCCGCAGCGCAAGCTGGTCGCAGAGGCTCGGGAACTCTTCGCTTTTCGAGTAGGTACTCAAGATGGCCAGCGTCTCCTTCCACTTGGCGACATCCGACTAGCAAGAGTATACGATTTAGCGCACGAAACACACCCACCTGTACACACCTCGTGGACAAGCGTCGCAAGTTCATTCTTGATGATGGCGGCCACGATCTTCATGAACGGGCGCTGCTGCTGCTGGAAGAACGCCTCTTGGGTCCGGTGCCAAAGCTCGGGCCCGCCGCAGGTCGCCAGTAAGAGCGCGTTTGCGAGTTGGTTGTGCCGGAGACAGCACTCGACGGCAGCTTCAAAGTTGCCGACGAGGAGCGCGCGCTTGACCATCTCTTCCGACTCGCGCGTAAAGACGGGCAGCGGGTCGGACGGCAGTGACGGGTCCCCGCTACCGATACTCGGTGCTTTGTTGTCCATGAAGCGCGTCGCCTCGGCCTCGATCTCGTCTTCGTCGAACCCGAGGTGCAACAGCAGCTGCTTGCGCGCGTCATCGGCAAAGAGGATCTTGAGAAAGCCCCACTCGACGCTGCTCTCGTCCTCGGCGCCGATCTTGTAGTCGCAGAACGCCTTGCCGTCGACGCCGCGGATCTCAAGCGCGTCGGCTGCGTCGACGAGCGCGAGCGGGTTGGCCACGCTGGAGGTGACCTCGGGTGTTGCATCTTGCGTCTGCTGCGTCGTCCACTCGGGCGCATACAACGCCTGCGCGCCCAGACCTATCGCCATCCGGATCGCATCCAACTGTCATCACGATGGCGTACGTACTGTGCACACCAAGCACTTGCGTGCTCTCTGGCGTCGCGGCCGAGAAGAGACCCGGCGAGAGCGGCGACCACTGCACATGACTGCGCTCGTACCCGCCGCTGTAGTAGCTGCCGTCTGCTTGCTGGTCGTAGACTTCAAGTGCCAACTGGTTCGAGTGCAGATCCCACACCAACGTCCGGTTGTCCCGGGCGCTCGATAGCACGAATCCTAATGGATTTATTGCATGGATCAGCCCCATGGGTCCTGGAAGAGGAGGATGACGCACCGGCGTCATGGGGGTTCCACGCGGCCGAGAGGATGCCGGCACGGTGCTCGTAAAACTCGGCGAGTGGCGTCGTCTTGGATCCTCGCAGATCCCAGAGCCGCACGACGGGATGCGCGTCATCGTTGGAGGCCGTGATGAGCTGGAGGCCTTCGTGCGGGCTCCACGCAATGACCGACGCCGGCGCGCCGTACGGGTCGTGGAGCTGGCACCACGGCTGCTTTTGCTTCAAGTCCCAGATGGTCGTCGTCCCCGACTGCGAGCCGGACGCGACGATGAACGCAGCTTGCGTATTCCAGGCCACCCTAGAATGCACCGTTTCGCATCACGCACAGGGTATCGGTCGATTACGTCGTGATCTCGTGGCCTGCCTGCGCGATGGACGGGCCAGGCGCAAAGATCATGGGCTTCTCGAGCTTGGCGAGCGACGTAATGTACATCTCGCCGTCCCTACGCACGTATATATGAGCGATCGATGCAGTCGTGGAAGAAGGCGACGTACGCGCCGCCCGAGGCAATCAAGTGGGAGCTATCAGGCCGCGGGTTGAACTGCACCGCGTTGACCGCGCCCTTGTGCTTGGTGACCGACCCGAGCAGCGTCTCGTCGCTGTGCAAGACCTTGTTGGCGCTCCAGAGACACACGGTCCCGTCTTCCATCCCACCGGCAATGACACCAAGCGAGCAGGATGCGCGGTGCTTGAGCACGTCAGCCCATGAGACGGAGAGGAACCGCGACGTCGTGGCGACGCTGCCGAGGCGCTCCATGGCCCGGCTCGGGACCGCCATGTTCATCGAGTAGAGCGCAAGCTCATGCTTGCCTTCGCGCAGCGAGCCCATCGCAAGGACTGCATCTCGCGGGCGCTTGATGGGGCACCACGCCGTCGTGGCGGGGCCGTTGACTTCCTTCAGGACCGACATCTTCCTGTCTTTGCCGAGGAGTATGCAGGCAATTTTGTCGTGATTTTGGCCAATCGATGTCGCCGTACCGTGGCTTCGTCCACTTGTTGTGATGCCATTGGTCGAAATGAATCTTGTCAACACATCCCGCTGCAGGTCGCTCGAGGAGGAAGCCTCGCATGGCCGAGCGCCGCCCATGGGCCTAGACATTCGGGTCGAGCGCAAGCCGCTCAGTGTAGACGCCTGCGAAGGAGGGTCTGCAGGGGCCTCGTGGCTGCTACGACAGCCTGTGTCTATGCCACCGTGCCATGGACCCGCAAAGCAGGGCGCGCGTCTGGCAGGCGCCTCGACGACGGTCCTGGAGGCGTTACGATAAAATTTCCGTTGCATGGGACGGCAGGTCGAGTACGTCGAGTGGCGCTCACCGAGGGATGCCCTTGTGATGGACTTGCTCCTTCTTAGCTCGGTCTTTGCGCGGCTTCGGCGGACGCGCGCAGGCGACCAGGTCGACCTGACGTATTTTTCAAAGCAACAAGTCCTCGACGAGCTCGTGGCACATGAAGACGGAAAGCTTCTGCGCATGCGGCCGAACCTGCGCGCATTCCACACGCGCCTCGCGAGCTTGAGCAACATCCAGGAGAGCGCGTCGCTCAACATGTTTCGCATCACACGCGTCCGGGATCCGACCATCTCGCAGACGATGGCCTGCGATCTGCTCACAAAGCTCATTACGCCTGCAATCCTCTTGGCCGACGCCGCCGAAGCGCGGCGGCAGCACCCTTACAAGTCGCAGTGGTGTGTGTTTGACGCCAAGCTGCGGAGCAAAAGCCCCGCTAGTGACTACAAAGTACAAGATGCAATACCGCCCATGTGCGTTGCCACAACGAGCTGTAGGTTTGTGAGCCGCGGCCGCGGGCGCTCACGCCAGCGGAGAAGCGGCGGCAAGAGCAAGTGGAGCGATGGACCCTCGAGGCGGCACGCGTCCTCGCCCACAACGTTGTCGCAGCCGTTCTCACGACGTCGGTTCGGGCCCTACTGCCATTGAGCCGTAAACGTACACCGGCGAGCTGCAAGAGCAACCAAACCGAGACCGACTTTCCAAGTGTCGTTGCCCTTACCGCAGACGAGGGCTCGACCAAGCCGACGCGGCGCCTCCACCCGCGTCGCAAGCCATCGTCGAGCTCTCTCGTAGCAGAAAAGGCAGCGCAGCGTCTCTCGGACCTGCGCTTGCAAGTGCTGTGTCCGGGCTTTGCGCCTGACACGAGCGTGCTCTCTGGCGGGCGCCCGATCGAAGCGTTTATTGCACTGGTCGAGAGTGCGGGGCACCACGAGGCAGCGTCGCGCCTACTGAGCCACTACAAGTTTGAGACGGCTGTGCACGCAATTGCTAACGAGTTTATGGTTGCCCACCCGTCGGCGACCGCGCTCGACGGGTATTTGCCGAGCTACTTTGCCTGGGCCGCCGACGTTCGCAGCCGCACGCTCAAGCAGCTGCGCTAGACATTATGTTGATGATGATGACAAAGTACTATAAATATCGTTTGAGTCTTATGGCGCGGTCGGCGCAATTCCGTGGACGCTTCGAATGCTACTCGGTCGCTTGCCTCGGTGCGACGCGTCATCCGATGCGAGGTCCTGACGTTGGAGGTATTAGACATGCCGGACCTCGAGTTTGGCGACAAGGTCATTCTACCCTCCGTACGGAGCTCGCTGCGGAAATGCTTGTGATGCAAGCGGCGACGTAGGCCGTCCTGCGCGACCTGCAGCTCCTCAAGATCCCGCTTCCCCTCGTGTTTCAAGTCACGTCGACGACCGCGCCAAACGTCCGCCAGTTCTGCAGTGTCCTCGAGTTCAGTGCGCCCGACGGCCAAGTACGCAAATTGCCGCGGTGCTCGGCGTTGAGCCATGTGTAGATGTTTGCTCCGTACTGGATGATGCAGAATCTCTTGTGTGACGAAGGCGGTCGTCTCCAACTCGAGAGCGCGACCAACGTACGTCTAGCCTTCTCACGCGTGCTCAGCATGTGTGCGTAGATCCCGCGGGGCGTCTACTGCCGCTTGCAGCCGCACGTCAGCGCCTTCTTGGACTTGGCCGCAACGCTCGGCCCCAAGGTACGAGGAGTGCGTCGTCTTGGAGCTAGCGTGAAGGACCCGGTTAGATTTTACTCGAATCCGCGATGCGCAAGTACTCAGTACTGAGCGTGGGCGAGACGATCGTGATTGAATATGGCGCCGACAAGTACGACAGCTATAGTGTACCTTTCTTGCTGTAGTAGGTGCTTGTATAGGTATTTTGTCGACGTCGTCCACGTCAAACCTGGCGATGTCATCCACCTCTTTGGGGACGTGGATCTCGAAGTCGACTTCAAGGCCCCCGAAGTACAAACTTTGCAGCTTGGCTTTCGGTGTGGATGACGATATTGGGTAGAACATGGATCCGCGACGACCCAAGTCGGCAACACCCCCGCTTCCAGACACGAGCCCATGCAGCCAACCAAACAAAGGCACGCCGCGACGAGAGACAGTGGAAGCGTACGACATCCTGCATATGACGCTCCGCGGAAGTCCCATGTAAGTGCTAGGACGCTGGGCCCCAGCTCGTCGCTGGGACGCCGCCTCGGTGACGGTGGCTACGTGCAAGTACCCGATACGCCGCCTGTGGTCGCCGCAACGCCGGCCAAAAAGACGCTGTCGCTTCAAGCAGCGCAGCTGAAAACAAAATCGGGGGCGGGGCCCAACCCGCTCACGACCAAATCGGTCAAGGCCTTTGAAACCCAAGGATATCAGCTCGAGGCAACGCCGGTCGAGCTCCGGCCCGAGCTACCGGATGCTGTGGCGCCGACAGTGAGCGCAACATTGACAACGCCGTACGCCTGCGGCTTTTGCCTGAGCGAGATGCCCCGCACCAACGCCGAGCTCCACGAACTTCGCTGCAAACAACACGTGGCGTACCACCGGGTACATATATATCGTGTTTACATACACGTTGCACATTGTGGACAGATTGTCTGCGATATCTGCCACGAAAAAGTGCTCAAAGCCAAGCTCGAGGACCACGTACACTGCCCGCAGGTATGTCGTCGCGCTCGCAAAGGCTACATTGGGACATATATCCAGTGCTTGTTTTGCGGGTCCTCGTCGAGCCTGGACGAGCACCACAAGGCTGTGCACGCTGTGGTTGGAATCTATTCAGCGACTCGCAAAGCTGAGAGAGCGTAGGTACGCTGTGCATGCGGGGCCGACGTCCCGGTCGATGCAATGCCGCAACACAAAGAGACGGCGTGCCCGCACACACTCACTTTGGTACGCGGCGACGTGCTGTCGACAAGATATAGTATGCAGAACCATATGCACGCCTAGTGCCATCTCTGCGCCTTGTCGTTTTCGCGCCACAAGTATGCGCAACACTACGCATCGTGTTCGAGTCGCACTGAGCAGTGCGAGGTCCTCTTTGCTCTTCATCGGCTAAAGTATGACGCACGGTTGTGGTAGCGCTGCAAAAAGTACGTCAATGTGCTCGCGTTCAACCAGCACGAAGCCACGTGCGGTGACGAGCCCCGCGAAGAGAAGGATCCTAATGCTGCGCGTCCATCTGTCCCGACGGCAGCGTCGATTTCGTGTCCGTACTGCGGGCGTGCTGCGTTTGATTCGATGACTGCGCTCGACAAACACACGGAGCAGGCGTGCACCATCGCTCGGTACGTGCTTCGGGCCGTTGCACGCGTAGGTACATGGACGTTTGCGTAGAAGCTTCCTCGGCAATGGTCTCCCGACAAAAGGTTCGCAAGCGCCGCCGATCCTTCGCGGCAAGTTGCGCCGCAAAACCGACCTCGTCAAGCCCAAGAGGACGCTGCAACAGGCCGGCGAACGCGTCGTGAAGCGCGAGACGGCCGTCATTACAACCCTCGACGACCTCGAGCCTGTCAAAGGGGCCACCATCAGCAGCAGGACCTTCAAAAGCTCACGACAGCAGCAGGTCCAAGCTATCTTGACGGCATCGCAACAAGCGACGCGCAACCTCGCGGCACGTCAAACATCAACAACTAAGACGAATAAGACGACGAAGAATCGCTTCTCGTAGCGCATGCCACGTCATAAGCTGACTCTCAACATGGGTATTTGGTTGCGAATATCGAAGCTTATGTTTGCCCATTCGATCTTTGTCGCGATCTTCTTTCCGCATGGCCATGTACGCTGCACCGTACGACGAGGGTGTGGACGTTGGTGAGCGCATCGAGGACTTTGGCCTCAAGGTCGAGCGCGTGTACGACGGCTAGAGGCTGCTACAGACGCCTGAGGCCCTACGATAGGCGAGCGCTGCTGCGCAACCTCGATGTGAGCGGCTGCCTCCTGAGCCTTTCGCACAACTTTGCGTGGCTCAGCGGCGGCGGGCGCAACCACATCCTCCTCGCCAGCGAAGGTATGCATCATCGTCGTAGTGTCGAGTGTGCTGTAGCCCATGCATGCAGGCGGCGTCGGCAGTCTCTTTGTCAATGCTACCCGCGTGCTCTTGCTCACCAACAACATTGAGGGCCAGCGTTTGCTGCACGAAGAGCTCGCGGGGCTACCCATCGAGGTACGATGTGGTGACAGCAAGCTCGTGCTATCGTCGCGGGTAGCTGCTTGACGAGCCGTGGTACGAGCCGGGAGAGACCGAGGCGGTGCTTGCCGCGATCGTCGGTCCCGGCGCTACGTTTCTTCGCGACACCAATACGGCGGTGGAGAAGCGGCTCGCGCAGCTTCGCCAATCGCTAACCCCACTCGATATCAAGCGCTACCGCGCCCTTGGGCGGCACTGCAGCCAAGTCGTCACGGACGTAGCCGACTCGGTGCGGCGTGGCGTGTCGGAGTGGTCTCTTGCCGGACAGCTCCACCAGCGCGCGCTCGAGCACGGTATTGACGTCGTCGTGGTCTTGGTCGCTGCCGACGAGCGCTTGGACAACATTCGACACCCGCTCCCAACCACGAAGCTCGTGCGCGAGAAGGCCATGCTCGTGCTCTGCGGACGTCGGGGCGGGCTCATCTGCTCCCTCACGCGCATCGTATGCGTGTCATCCGAGGTGCCGGAGGACCTGCGCGCGCGGCACCACGCCGTCACGTATGTGGACGCGACGGCTTTGGCGGCAACGCGCCCTGATGCGATCGCCAGCGACATCTTTCGCGCCATCCAGCGCGCATATGCGACCAGCGGCTACCCCAACGAGTGGAAGCTGCATCACCAAGGCGGCGGCACGGGTTACAAGAGCCGCGAGTGGAAGGCCGACGCGTCCAACCACGTAGCATCTCCTCTTTCTGCTGTGTGATTGGGACAAAAGCGTGTAGGAGATCGTGGCGCCACTCCGCGCATTCGCGTGGAACCCGTCCATTGCGGGCACCAAGTCGGAGGACACGGTGCTATTGCTTGCGGATGGCCAGCTCGAGGTGCTTACCCAAGCTCCATCGACGTGGCCGATGCTCCACCATGTCGTTGACGGCGTCGAGATTGCCCGACCCGACATCCTCCACCGCCCATCGTAGATCGTAGATCGAAGCTGTGTATCCGCCAACGCTCGTCAGGACTGCGTCCGCAACTAGCACCGATACTAGCCTGCGTACTTGTATAATCCGTTTCATCAAAGCTGCTCGCCATGATGATGTCGTAGTCCTAAGCAAGCCAATGCCCATGCCATCATATGCCGGTCGGAGGCCATAGCGCGATGCCATGGTGTGCGCTTCGCTTGTCGCTGGCATTGCGATGTCGTACAAGCGGACGCATCTTCCACGCAGTTCTAGATCGAGTTGCATGGCCGTCTTCTCGGCGGCTGCGGCCCGTCCTCGGCGTCGGCCAGTGCAATCGCAGTTGGCGGCAGTTCTTATTGCGACGTTCGGATTGGTCAAAAAGGCGTCGTAAAATCGCGTACCTCCAAACCAGTCATTAAACAAAGGAGTAGGGGAAGTTGGCGAACAAGCCAATCACCGGCCGTGTATAAAAATATATCACAAGTACTTGATATTTCTAAGCAACATAAATACTTTTAAAAAGTGTATGGGCCTCCGGGCTTGGCGGCCGATGACTGGTTGGTGGTGAGGTCCAAGTCGGGCCGATTCAATAGAACCTCCAGTTTTAGTTTTCGGGAACCTAATCAGCACCAATGGTACGTCGCAGGCCGATTCCTAGGAAGACGACCTTGGCGCATGCGACGATGAGGATGATGCTCATGGCCGCTTCCTCCATGTAGCCGCCTAAGACGCAGCAAAAGACCAAGGAACAGAAGATGGCCGCCGCCTTGGCTGGCTCGCGCGGCAAGGGCAAGAAGAAGTGGTCCAAGGGCAAGGCCCGCGAAAAGACGCAGAACAAGGTCCTCTACGACCAGGAGGCCTACGAGCGCATGTGCAAGGAGATCCCTAAGATGAAGTTGATCACGGCGTCGGCCATCGTCGAACGCCTCAAGGTCAACGCCGCCCTCGCCCGTGCCACGATCCGTGAGCTCGAGCTCAAGGGTGACATCAAGGTCGTCTCCAAGCACAGCGCCCAGTTGATCTACACCCGCGCCATCAGCGCTGAATAAATGTAGTTGCTGACTTTGCCCGAACTTATCCGAGGTCCCTCTCTCTTTCAACGACGACCTACCGCGCCGGGCCGCGATAGCCGTCTTGCAAAAGAGTGGTAATTGAATGCATTAGGAGCCTTCTTCCCTTATCTTGTCCTTTGTCTTGCGCCACCACCTTCGTAACTTGTCTACCAGGACATCCGCCACCTGAGCCTAGATCTTAGTCTGTCCTCGCAGCTCCTATTTGCCCGCGAGCACTGCGCTTCGTATGCAAAGCGGCCAGAGGCCCATGAACGTCGTCACGGCACATGAGTCATGCCAATTCTAGCTCGAATGGGTGCGCACGACAAAGACGACAGAGCGTACGTCATCGACGACGCACCACGTGACGAAATCTAGTCAACAAGTAGCGTCGACCTGCGAGCGTACGCGATTACTAGTGACAGGAGGAGGCGAAAGCCCAGTGCTTCTCCGACCCCATGGCTTATCGACGTTGCAATCTTCGAGATGCCATGCACATATACACCTTTATCCTCTGCCGTGGGTCTCGACAGGACCTTCTAGAAGCGAAGGACTGCCCACATACATCGGTCTACAATTTTTTGCATAGACTTGCGCCGTCCTTTATGCACCACCAGTTACGTCCGTGTAACCACCGTCGCAAGCATGGCCGCGTCCGAAGAGTAGCTTGTTGCTTGTTGCGTCGTCCGAATCTGAAGACTGCCACGGAGGTCCGTGGAGCTTCGGGGCATATCTCGCGGTTGGCTGGACTCGATAGCCTCCGCGACGTCACTGGCGCGCGCCGTGTCGTGTGCCAATCCTCGTTCGAAAGTTGCTCTTGCGCAACTGCAAACAAGTTGGTCACAACTGGGCAGCTACTCGACCACGCGCTCGCCCGAGCATGGGTCGTGGCTGCTGTCGCGTGCATGGGCTATCGGTAGTAGATGATCGCCCGCATGCCAGGATGCCCTACATGCCCCTGCCCTCGTTGGCCAAAGCTGGGATCCGTCGGCGGCCGCGCGGGGTGTCGCACCGGCGTTACCGAATGGCGTACTTGGCGCTTGCGCCAATCCCGATCCTCAGCACGACGTCAAAATTATTTTATGCGTGTGCAATCTCTGTCGTTTTTGGAGCGTCGCAAACGTGTCGTTTTCTCACAAGTTTTCGAGGCAAAAGAACTCGAATGGGCTGAAAAAGCGCCGAGAGTCAGTGCGCGCAGCTGCGTCGACGCTTTTCGGGCCGATTTCAAAAAAATACGCCACGGCCACAAGTTCAACTGCAGCAACCAGTTTACTTTTTGCCACGTCCTTGCCAAGTGTCATGGCAACAACGTCGCCCACGTCCGAGCTCGTCGCGCCGCCAGAGGGCTCGCTCGAGCTCCTCAAGCGCACCAACTCGGTACGTCGGCCGCGTGGCACCACGCAGTACGGAATCTCATTCGCTTTCTCGTGTAGGAGCCGAGCGTCCTCCTCGCGTCGGCCGAAGAAACCAAGGTCATTGACATCTCCGAGCCGCTGGCGTTTCGCCGGGCGCACCTGCGCTCGAGCCAGCACACGCACCAAGTGTCGCCCGAGGTCCGTGCCAGCATTCTCCACGCGGTCGACAATGTGTACAACCCGTTCATTTCGTCCATGATGTCGCAAGACAACGACAAGTACGACAGCCTCGACGCGTCCCAGCGCATTCGCAACCTTCTCAACACGCCGGCGTCTGCGCTCGGGTGGCGCAGCTCGCAGTCGCTCGGGTACACGGAGCTCACGCCGCTTGCGCGCCCGCCGTCGAGCAAGTCGTTCGTACCTGCGAAGGAGACGACGCTCGGCCAAGCCTTCCTCGCGCTTCTCAAGGCCTTTGTCGGCACGGGTGTGCTCTTCTTGCCGCAAGGCTTCAAGGCTGGCGGTATCTTGTTTGCGCCGGCGCTGCTTTTCTTTGTGGCTGCGCTCACGCTCTTTGCGATCTACCGCCTCCTCCAGTGCCGCGCAGCGTACGGCGGCACGTACGGTCACATTGGCGAGATCGCCTACGGCATCTGGGGCCACCGCTTTGTGCAGATCTCGATCATCCTCATGCAAGCCGGCTTTTGCTGCTCGTACATTATCTTTGTGGCCCAAAACATGACCGAAGTGCTCGCGTACTTTGGCGCCAACATCTCGGTCGGCGCGCTCATCATGCTCCAGACCGTCATTTACATTCCGCTCTCGTGGATCCGCTACATTAGGTATCTCTCCTTCCTCTTGGTCTTGGTCTCTGAGATCTGATCTAGCTACTTTTCCGTCTCCAACTTGGTGGCCGATGCGTTCATCCTGTACGGTGTCGCGTACATTCTGGGCTGCAGCTTCTCGTCGCTCGCCGAGGTCGGGCCGCAGCGCGTCGAGTACTTCAACCCGCAAGACTACTCTGTGTTTGTCGGCACGGCAGTCTTTACGTTTGAGGGCATTGGGCTCATCATCCCAACCCAAGCGTCGCTCGCCAAGGAGCACCAAAAGCACTTTTTGCCGCTGATTCTGGCGACCGTGCTGGGCCTCTTTGTGTTTTACTCGTTCTTTGCGAGTGTCAACTACATTGCGATCGGCGACTCGATCGAGCCGTTGGTCATGTCAAGCCTCCCCCGCAACGGCTGGACGATCTCGGTCCAGGCCGGGTACTCGATCGCGCAACTGCTCTCGTACCCGCTCTTCCTCTTCCCCGCCGTCAAGATCATTGAAGACATGCTCCTTCTGCCGCGCCGCGACTCGGGCCTCAAGGCGCAAAAGAACTTGATCCGCGCGCTCATTGTCACCATGACGGTCATGATCGCTTACTTTGGCCAGGACCGACTCGACCTCTTCGTGTCGATCGTCGGTGCCTTCTGCTGCGGTACGTCGACGCTTGCCTCTGCATGGTAGACTCATCTCTGTCGTAGTGCCGCTGAGCTTTATCTACCCGCCGCTCTTCTACCTCAAGCTGTTCCCGGACGTCTCGATCTTCTCCAAGATCCTCGACGTGAGCGTCGTCATCATCGGCTTCCTCACCTTCTTCTACGTCACGTGGTCCAACATTCAAAAGTGGGAGTCGGACGCACTCTAATAAGCTCCGATAATCTTATGCACATCTTGTCAAGAATCTTCTCGTCGTTGGCACAGATCTTGCATGTACCAGTACGTTTAGCCACACAGGCGTCGCGCGACGTAGGTACGACTACTGCGACCCAACCTCTATAGACTACAGTAGCCAACGGCGGCGGAGCAGGACTTGCTCGCTGAAAACCAAACTTCAAGAATGCTCGAGTTCACAACGTATGTGTTGAGCTTGAGATATCATTTACAAGCTGCTCGCAGTGCTGCTGCCATCATCGTCGATAGCTAGCGCCATACCAAAAGGCCTCTCTACCCTCCTCTGCCCATGCAAGCGACAGCTTGCTTCGCCCTTCACTGACGTGGCGGCCGCAAAGCGCAAACCTGCTGGCTTCTTGCACTTGAGTTTGCCTTTCTAAAACCTCTCAAACTCGATTTGCTCGCGTCGGCCACATTGCCAACGGGTTTTTGCCCCGATGCTCTTCCAGAACAAGAGGTACGGGCCGTGGGCGGGCGTCGCTTGACCGCGCTTGTAGCCGCCTCATCCGCGCCGTGAGCTGGATCCCGGTATCGCTCGTCGCGCTGCTTATCTCGCTCGAGTACTATGTCTTTGTCGAGTACCACATCCGCGCCAAGCTCGCGGCCGGTTCGGACGAGCCGCTCGGCCTCGCGCTCCAGTTTATCGTCTTCAACGTGCTCGTGGGCCTCACCGTCATCTCGTACTACCGCGTCGTCACGACAGGTCCGTCATCGGTCCTTATCTCGACGACGCCTATATGGAATCGATAGATCCGGGCTTTGTCAACGACGTCATGGCCGAGAAGCTGCGCCAGGAGGCCATCGAGTGCGGTCTTGTGATGCCCGTGTGCCGCGCCTGCAATAAGCCCAAGCCCGTGCGCGCGCACCACTGCAGCGTCTGCCGCATGTGCGTCATGAAGATGGGTACGTCCTGCTCGACGTACCGGGCAAAGACACTCAGATCCCTCGCAGACCACCATTGTCCGTGGGTCGGCAACTGCGTCGGGCTCGCCAACTACAAGTACTTTTACCTCTTTGTCATCTACGGCGCGCTCGGTTGCGGCATGATCCTCATCACCATGTTCCCGGTACGCTTCCTAGTTGCGCACGAGTGGCCGACGACGACGCATGTAGGCCTTTGAGCGCGCCATCAACCACACGACGGTGGAGATGCCGATGACAGCGCTTCTCGGCTTCGTCATGGCCGGCAGCGTGACGCTCTCGCTGCTCATCTTTACGGGCTTCCATACCTTTCTCATTCTGCGCGGCCTCACAACACTCGAGATGAACGTCTATGGCATGCGTAGCCCGTACCGACTCCCTGTAGGTCCCATGTACTTTGTTGGCGTCGACTCATGCGGCGTCTTGATGCTAGACGTTTGTTGAGAACTGGTGGTCGGTCTTTGGCACGCACCGAGCGACGTGGTTCTTGCCCGTACCCGCCGTCGGCGCCGACGATGGGCTGACGTGGATGCAGCCGACTCGCATGCCATCGCGCATCATGATGTCGCATGCGGTCGACGACTCGGACGACCAAGAGAGCTCGATGCTCATGCATCTCTAAGCACGATGAATCGAGTCTCTGCAGCTGTTTGTCGCTGAAGTGATATCGTGTTGATGACGTGGCAGTACCTAAGGCAGGATCCATATTCCTCGCCGGCTGGTCGCTATGCGTCCGCGTCAAGAAGGAACGAAGGAGGATCATCATCATCTATCGAGACTAAATATAGGAAGAGCTTGCTACGATACGCTGCTATACAAACGGACAACGTCGTCGGGTCGTTTTCGTCGTCGCTTAGTTGGCATCTTCCTCCACCTTGGGCGCCAAGTAGTAGCGGATGTAGCCCATTTCGCCAATCGCATACTCAATGACAACGGGGACACCGGGCGACATGGAGAGCGTCACGGTCGCCGAGAGCGGCGTGGCCTTGGTAAACATGTTGAGGTACCGGAGCGCAAACGTGAGCTCGACAGGCTCTTCCATCTGGATGATGACGCGGTCTTCTTCCTTCTCGGACGCCGTGTTGTTCTTGAGCGTAATGTTGCCAGCGCCGAGGTCGCCCGTGACGCTAAACTTGACGCCGTCCTTGCTCACGCTGATCGTGCACGTGTCGCCCATCGTGTGCAAGTCGCGGCAAATGCGCTGGAACTCGCTCGACGGCATGCGCACGGTGGCCACATACTCAGTGCTCGGAATGCCAAGGTGCTCGCTGTCAATGTCCATGAGCTTGAGGCCAAAGTCCGAGATGCGGTCGCCGGACGCCGCCTCAAAGATGATGTTGAGCACGTCGCCTTCGTCTTCGGCCGAGAGCGAGAGCGCGTCGTCGTTGCCCGAGCACTTGAGGATCTTGGAGAGCGACGCGGTCTGGATACCGAGCGAGATGTTGCGGTCGCAGCGGTAGTGCTCAAAGCCCTCGGCGCGGAGCAGGAGCGAGACGAGCGAGACGTGCGAGCCATCCATGCTCTGGAGCGCGAGGCCCGACTTGGTGCAGTCGATGTTGCCCTCCGAAATGAGCTCCTTCATGGCCTCGATGATCAGCTTGACGATCTTCCCTTGGCTCAAGCGGGCTTCAAACATACTCTTGTCGGTGGTCGCTGGCAAATTGGCAAGTGGGCTCGGCCGGCGGCTCCAAATACCTTGGTCTTTGTATGCATCCATTTTGGCCAATCGCATGCGTCCCCTCCAAATTCGTAGCGCGGCAATGCCACATACAAACACCAAGTGCAGGTGTCGTATCCGGACGTTCCATAAAGAACAACGCGCGCACCGAGCGGCGGGTCCGGATAAAGGACCCTTCAATGGCTTCCCTCCAAAACCCCGCGACCACAGAATCAAAGATCGGCCGTTTCGCCAGTAATCGAAGCGAAGACGAAGCGAAGACGAAGATGGGCGAGGTTGACATGGCCATTCTGCGCCATGGCCTCGGCGGCAGCATGGGCATGGGCGGCGGTCGCAGGATGGAGGAAGCGCGGACAGGCCTCGAGAAACGGCATGAGGACATGGCTAGTGCTACCAGCCATGCTCTCCTTGACGCCATGAGGTAAAACATCGAATCGTAAGATGACGATGCTAAAAGGAGCGATTACATGGGCGCACGACAGAGTGGGCAAGTGGACTGGCGCACGAGCCACTCAGCGACGCAGGTCTGGTGGAAGGCGTGGGCACATGCGAGCTGGACGCTCGAGACGCAGGTATCGCCGCCGTGTAGATCTTCGAGACAGATGGAGCAGCCGTCGTGGCGTGCCTCGTCGTCCATGGCATCCAAGGCATTGCTTCCGTGGGGTACCGACGCAATCGACAAGATGCGTTGGCGCCACTTCCAGTCTTGCTCCTTCTGCAGTCGTGGGATCTCCAGCATCTCTTCGATCGTATCGAAAACGTTTTTGGCGATCTGCGCGAGAGGTATCGGCGTGCTGTTGGCAAGCGTCAGCAGAACGCAGAGCTCACGCACGCGGAACATGGCGCGCACAAAGTCAGCGAGGCCGCGCTTGCGGTCGTCGACGACGTTGGGTGTGTCCATAAAGATGTGCTTCTTTGGGAAGGGCTGGAGTGGCGCGAGAAGCGCCGCAATCGTCGCGCGGTCGCGACGCTGCTTGCGGCTGACGACGTTGACGACCTTGAGGAGACGCTGGCGAACCTTTGCGAGCGTCGAGTAGCGGTGGCGCACGACCCAGAGCACGTTGGACGCTGGCGACCATATTTGCATGATGTACACCGTGTAGAAGAACGCCGGTGCATCCACGAAGTGGATAGCCGTGTGGTTGATGGACACTTGGATGGCAGCGCTGGCACTGGCCGCGCCAAGGCGCTCGATCTCGGCATTCGTGTACCGAGCTTCGATGCGCGCGGTCGGCTCCGACGAGGACCATGGACGGCGTGGTAGCATCGCACCCGTCGAATTTGAGCAAAACGCCGTATCAAAAAAGCGCACGCACGCGATTGGCTACTCGAACTGGCCTGGACCAGATTCGGGCCAATCAGCGAGCACTAAAAGATAGAAGGGCCAATGAGAAGGTGGCACCACCAACTCCGACGGCTTCTCAGCTCGCAGCTGCCTCTCGCGTAGACAGCGCGCCGGGTTGAAGTTGCAAGCAAGCAAACTGTGTTGCATGCCCTAGCGTGAAGTGTGGCCCAAGGCCTTTCGCTCGAACCTTGACCAGGCGGAACAGGCGCCCGATGAACGGTACACATAGTCTTTATATATTACGAAGGCACGTATCGTCCTGGCGAGGTCCTACACGATGTGGTGACGCTGCCGCCTAGGCCGTCGATGGGACGTGGACTTGGTCCGAGTGGCGGGGCGATGTGATCTCGGGGCCATCGCGGCTCTGCGCTGCTTGCATCGCTGCATACTTGCCAAAGGTGCAGTCGAGCACGGCGCCCGAGAGACCGTACTCCTCAACCGTGTACTTGACCTCGCCGTACTTGCCCTACGCGACCATCGTAACAGAACATGCCTTGGACAGTCCAACCTTGGGGTTCTTCTCGAGGTACTCGCGCATCTTGTTCTCAAAGTCGTCCGAGACCTCCATGCCCCACTGGTCGTAGAGGGCCTTGACCGTGCCAATCGGGTCAGCGATCCACTCGTCGTACTGCAGGTTTGTGACGTCGAGAGCCTTGCGCGCCAGGAGCGCGTTCGTGGTTTCGGAGCACAGCTCTGTGGCAAGTCGGCCAATGAGCTTTTTGTCGAGGCCCTTCCCTTTGAGCGACGGGTGCATCTCCCGCAGTAGCTTCGTCGCGCTCGAGGCCACGACTTGCTTCATCTCGCGGTGCAGCATGACGATGCGCGCGCCTGGAAACGTCGCGCGAAGCAGCGGCAGATGCGAGGCGTGGAAGGGCGACTTGAGCACCCAGTGCGTCGGGCCGTCGGGCTGGCCGCTCTGCAGCAGCTGGTAGTACCGGTACAGATACAAGTACACGTTGCGCTTGTTGGTCGCGGTCAAGAGCATGCGCCGCGCCTTGTTGCTGAGCACCTACGTCCGCAACCATGAGCGCTTCTACGCAGTACGAGATAGACGGTACCGCAATGTACTTGAGCGGCGGCAACGCGTGCTCGATCAAGACGGCATCGTCCGCGATCGTTTCCGGCGTGCTAAAGTGACAGGCCGCAATGTCGGCAAAGATCTCGGGCGTCAAGCGGTAGCGAGCGTCCCACGCGTGCACACCGCGCTGGAACCAAAGGTGCTCCGTGTCCATAGCCTTGGACGGCGGCGCAATCGCGTCGTAGCCTCCTGCGTCTACTTCGTAGTTGAACGGTGCGCGGGCCGCCGGGTCGCACGCCAAGAGGTTGTGCAGCAGCGTGCTCCCGGTGCGCGGCAGCCCCGTAATCACAATCGGCGACGGCAGCGACACGTCCGCGATCTCAGGGTGCGCGACAAAGTACTTCATGAACGCCTGGCGCGCGCGGAGGGCTTCGAGGAGCTGCCGCTGCGCGGTGAAGCGGCCAAAGTTGGAGAGGAGCGGGCTCTTTTCGAGGTCAGCGATCACAGTTTCGTAGACGGCGACGGTCGCGGCTTGGTCCCCAAAGAACGCCTCGGCTTCCTTGGGCGTGTCCTTGAGCAGATCGAGCAGCTTCCTAATCAAGTGTGAGATCATGCGCTCGAGCAACGGATGTAGTACTCTTTTGGGAGCGGAAAGATGGTCGTGCAAAAGAAGCGGCGCGCAATCCACGCATACGCGAGGAGGATGTTGATCCACCAGTGCGAAAACCAATACGACGGGATGAGCGTCGGGTCCGGCTTCTTTGGCTCGGGCAGCGGGTGGCCCATCGCAAAGCGGACGAGGTGGTACACAAACATCATGAGGCAGACGACGTTGAGGAGCATGTAGACTTCCTGGACGCCGAGCTCCCACATGACTTGCTTGGCAAAGTCCCACGCCTGCTGTACGTACTCTTCCATCTCGATGGCAAATTCGACACTGGAAAGGCAACGACAAAAGATACGCGGCCGTCCAATCGGACGCCGCGGCGTTTCGGCGCGACCTGTCCGAAGCGGCGCGACGCCACAACTACCGGTTTAAACGTGGCGTATGACCACAAATAAAACGTCGAAAAATGGCGCCAACGCCGAGATTGCATTTTACGACGACTAGTGCGTGCCGTCGCGGAGAAGACTCTGGATGAGCTTGCGGTTCTTGACCTCCATGGTCATGGGCGCGAACGTGCATTCTTGCATCTCCTTTTGCCGAAGCTCGGCTTCGAGGCGACTCCGCTTGCCATCCCGCTGGCGATCTTGGTACGAGAGCTTGAACGGCGCAGGAATGGTGTACGCACGGGGGGTATACGACGTGCCAAAGACCTTGGCTTCGCGCTCCCTACCAAATTGCGCTTGAATCGTCGATTTCTTAAGGAAAGAGCGTACCGAAGCTCTTCTTCCTGGCGCTTGGCGCGCTGCTTGAGCTCCAAGAAGCGACTGAGACCGCGGACAACCACAGGCCGCGCGGCTGCTTCGCTGGCCGAGATGGGCTTGCGATTGATGGTGGGCTGGAAGGTACAACGCTGGAGCTCCTCAAACTCGAGGAGATGGCGCTTGTCTTCGAGCGACTGGCGCCGGCGCTCGCGGGTGCGCTCGATGGTTTGAATCACAGTCTAGAGTATATTGGCCTACGATGTTGACAAGTGGGCGTACCGCCGGGTTCCACACAGTCGACCGGTCGGCGTCGCCTTCCAGCGGTGTGATCGCCGGCCGGAACCGGCACTCGGCTTGCGTGCGTAGCTCCATTTCCTTGATGACACGCGACCGAATCGGCTTGGCCGCGTCACTCTACCAGGTCGCGACGTCCATGTGACCACTCGTCTCTCGTACAACTGCAGGTTACTTTGGCGAGCTTTTGAATCGGAGTCGCACGCCCCAAGGCTTTGGACACGTGGTTGAGCTTGGGCTGGTACGAGAATTTGTTGTAGTAGGCTTCTTCCAATCGCTTCTTTTGCTCGGCCTTCTTGCGCGGCTCCTGACAAAGCGCGCTCGTGTCGGCACGTCACAGAGCGCCAGACTGCGTACCGCGTACGTCATGCGATAGAGCTGCTCGGGCGTGCTCTCGGTCAGTCGCTTGGGCCGAGTGTGCTTGAGCACCTTCTCAGCGTTGCCGATACACGGCTGGAACGGCTGTTCGATCGCGTTGACTTTTTCTTCGAGGAGCATTTGGTGCTCCAATTTGTCGTCGCGTCGGTCTTGAAGCACACGCTGGCGCGTCACGAAGTCGAGCTACACGCCCATAGGCTTGCATGTCTCGCCATCGATCGTACCTTGAACTCTGGCTTGTGGTCGACGATCGAGTGGCTTCGCTCGTTGACCTGCGGCGCAAACGAGAGGCCTTGCTACACAGAGCACCCTCTTAAAAAGAGGACACAGCTACAGTCTACGCGTACCGCGGTCGTATACAACTCTTCGACAATCTGTCGCTTCTCAATATTGTCTTCGGCGTCTTGCGCCAAGCGGTCGGTCACGCTCAAGTGCCCGAGCTGCTGCGTGAGCTGGCGGCTCTTTTCGTTGATTGCCGGCACAAATGTGAGCTTGTCTTCGACCGACGTCGCGAGCTGCCGGAGCACCTCCTTCTGCAAGGCAGCATGAGATACACACATAGTACGACATCGCACTCGACCTTGCGGCGCTGGATCTCGGGAACCCGGTCCTGGATTGGTTTGTACTGCGTGTGGTCGACCATGGCGCGCGTCACGGCGTTGATTTTCGGCGTAAACGTGCACGTCGCGCGGACGCTGCGGTCTTCGAGTGCGCGCTTGACCTTGGCACGGAGCTCGTAGCGCAAGAGCCCGTCCCCGTACAGTCGTTCGGTGACGTCGTCGACCTTGACACGCTTCGGATTGGGGCTCATTTGCTGCTCGACAAACGCCATTTTGTTTGTCTTTCCGACATGTTTTTCGGGCGTCCGTTGCGCTATCGCAGCGTTCATTGGAGGCCGCAAGGACCGAATGTACCGTGGGCGTTGGGCGTGAACGTGCACGAACTCAGCGATGCGAGCTCCTGCTCCATCTTGAGCTTCTCACGCTTGGCGTACTCGGCGCTACGCGGCGCTGCCAGCTGCGAGAGGCGGCTAGGCCCCGTCGCTCGGACCTGCACATCCGTTGAGCGATACGAAGTCATTGGGCGACGTGCCTTGGAGCCTTTGTACGGCGTGGTCTTGGGGCGGAACGTGCACTCGGGATCCATTGGCGGCGACTAGGCAAGGACGGTTCAGTAGCTCTCACGTCGAGCGCAAGTCCTCTGTACATGCGAAGCTGTGCTGCGTTCGCGCGGCGCCGACGCTGCCCGCCGCTTTGCGATACCCTGTGCACGTAGGCATCAACCACCACATGCGCCCATGCATACCGTGGGAGGAGTGCCACTTTGACGACCAGCGGCAAAGTCAATGTCGAAGCGGACGGCTTTGGGCAGTGGCTTCGTGGGCGACGTATGGCTCGAGGTTACTGATGCTGGAGCACTCTGGTCATCTTCGTCGTCGACGTAGGTCGATGGCCTCCGTGGCAACGTCGCTGGAAGCTCCGAGGCAAAATACAGCGTGTCATCGCCTTCCTGAAGCTCCTTGAGAAAGCTCATATCATCATCTACGCATACATCGATAGATGCGTGCATTCTTCTGCAATAAGACAGCTGCGCACCACCGTTGTCATAGCCATCGTCGCTGTCGCTGTCGTAGGCTTTGCCATCGTCATTGTCGTAGGCGATGGCTTCGGTGAAGGACTGCTGTGTTGGCGACGGCAGCGGAAACCGCGCGGCCGTGTCCAAGAACGACGTGGTCCAGGGGAGATCGTCGCTCACGGTTGGCGTCTTCTTTCGTTCGAGGACACTGCGCCGCTCGTCCTGGAGCTTGGCGAGAATCTCCTTTCGGCGGGCCTCCGAGAGCTTGGGCGGCGTTGCGGCCGACGGCGGCGCGCTTCGTTGCTGCAGGTAAGCCTCGGCGAGCCGGATCTCGTCCTCCACTTGGCTCAGCGCGTCGTCGGCCATCGGCAAAAAATTGTTCAAAAAATTGTTCGATCTTGAGCGGCCACGTCTTGGAAAGTTCGACCGCACGGTGCGTATCCGGACATTTCCGGATGCCGTGGGCGCGTTGACACGCATGATCGAGGCACATGCTCGAGCTGCAGAGTCATACCGTGTCAGGTGACAGACTTAGGAGCTATAGTACAGGACACTGCTCACATAGCGAGGAGGAGTGGTGTACGCTGAAGTGTGCACATGTACTATGATTTGACGCTAGCTAAATTTAGGACGCACTTTGCATCAATAATGCCGCCGATGAACGACATTGTGATCGAGGAAGAGCTCCGGGACAACGACGTCGATGGCAACGTGACAGCCACGGCCAAGCGGACGCCAACACGGCTACCTACTCCGTTAGTCCGGAGTGCGACCGTCGGCGCCCTCGTTCCACCGTCATCCCTTACCAAGAGCCACAAGATGAAAACCAAAAAAGCACCGAAACAGAAAGGCGACCCTCAACAGAAGACCCGGCACAAAAAGACCTTGCACGACGCCAACTGGGACATTGGTCTGGTCAACAAAAGCTGGGAAATCCCGGCCGACGTCAAGGGCGCCCTGCCTGCGCTTGCACGCTCCAGCTTGCGACGCGCGAGCCGACCGAACACGGTGCCGCTCTCGGCCGAGGAGCGCTTTCTACATGCTACCAAGCTCGTCGTACCGACTCAAAAAGTCACAGGTAGACAAAGATTCAAGGTCACTCGGTTGCTGCAAGTGCTACTAGGCTTGCCACACGAGCTGCTTCCGGACGTCCCCATATACCTCGAAGATATCAAGGACGATATCCGCACCAAGCTCACGCCCGACGACCGCCGCAAGTACTGCCGTCGCGCCGAAACGAAGCTCTCCGTACTAGTGCATCTGGTAGGTACTTTGGCGATGCGGGCAAGCACGACATGCGCTTGGTCGCGGCCAAGCTTGGTCGACAAATGTACATGCACCATGGCAACCTCCCCGACTTTATCGCTGCGAATCCCGTGATCGAGCAGGTACCCACGTGTTGTCCCTTCCAGTGCCGACAATGTATTGGGTACAGCTGGAGGCTTCGGACGAAATCCATGGGCTCTTTTCTGGCCAGCTCTCGGCGCGGCACAAGTTCATTGCACTGAGCTTGGCGCAGAAGCTGCCGCTCTCGGTGCGCCTCTTGATCCGCAACACCGTGTCGCCGCACTTGAACGTGTCGCACATGGGCATGGGGGACGAGATGGCCAAGGTAACGACAATTGTCCACAATTCCTTGAAGACCCATCGAGGGTAGGTGTTTGCACAGTGTGTGCTGGAGCTGCCCATGGTCACGAGCCTCAACATACGCAACAACCGCCTCACCGACCCGGGCCTCGACGCCATCGTGAGTGTCGTCACCCACAAGCGCGACCTAGTCTGTCTCGATATTTCCGAAAACAAGGTCTATACTGTCGTAAATAAGGCCCTCATTTCTTATCCGAGCCTAGGTCGATGGCGATGCCGCCGCCGCCCTCGCCGAGGACGTGGGCTCCAAGCAGTGCGCACTCCAAGAGCTCTGCATGGCCACGTGCGACATTGACGATGGCGAAGTCCAAGGCTTTGCCAACGCCCTGCACACCAACACATCACTGATGACGCTCGTCTTGTCACGCAATCTCATTGGCAAGTCGGAGATGCTCAACGTCGTCCAGCCCGACCTGATCACGGGTGTGTCCGTTGCGATAGTTGAAGACTGTGACTATATGGAAGCGAATGGTAGGCGGCGAGGCCATTGCCAGCATGCTCTGCAACAACAACCGACTGACCAAGCTCGACTTGTCGTGGAATATGCTACGTCTCAACAGGTTTGATTTTTTTTTTGATATTTTCTGGTATATTTCTGAAAAAGTTTCTCAAAATGTTGACTAGCGCTGTTGAAATTGGCAAGGCGCTGGCGGTCAACAATGGCCTTCGGGAGCTCAATTTGGCCTACAACGCGTTCGGAAACCTCGGCACGCAGTCGGTGGGCATGGCGCTGCGTAAAAACAACTGCCTCCAAGTGCTGGATCTGAGGTGCGATACGCGAAACTCGATCGCTCAACTTCATGACATATATTGTTGCGTGTAGCCACAACAATATTCCTTGTGAAGCGGCGTTTGTGATTGCCCAAGCGCTCAAAGTGAACGACACTGTCACCAATATTGTCCTCGACGGGAATCCGCTGGGAAAGATCGGCGGCCAATCGCTGCTGCACGCCGTTGCGAGCACGGCCAACCACTCGCTGTCCATCTCGATGGCGAGTTGTAACTTTGACCTCTTTGACCCCAACACGTTCAACCCGGACGAAGCCACGGGCAACTACGACCTCGACATGAAGTACGTTTTTCGGCCTTGATACACTGATAGTTTGACACTGTATAGCATCCCGTACGAACGCTCGATCATGCTCGAGCTGCTGCGCTGTGCAGAGACCAAGACCGGCTGCAAGTTCATCTCCATCGTCCACGTTGTCGACAAGACATCGCGGCCGCTGCAGATCGAAGTCCGCGACGTCGTCACGGCCACGGGCGAGGTTTCTACAATGCCTGCGACGTCGCTGACGATGGAAATGTAGGCGCTTCGGCACCGCAACTCGGTCGCGCGCCGGGGCACACTTCTTCGTCGAACCATGTCCAAAGAGAGCCTCATCCAGCTCTTCCATGAGCTCGATAAAGACAACTCGGGCAACATTGATGCCAAGGAACTCGAAGACGGTGCGCCATCTTCATTGTGCAATAAGATCCTGTCTTATTTGCGACGACAACCAGGCATGGCCAAGATGGGCATCCCAACCGAGCCTGGGGAGGCCGCGCGCTTGATCTCTCGCTTCGACATTGACGGCTCGGGTCTGTTTCCGTTCAATAGAAACATGTCGGAAGACGACAATAGGCACTGTCGAAATCAACGAGTTTATCGAGCTCATGGCCGTCTTCGATGTCGCGCCGCGGCCCAAGAAGCAGATCGTGGACGCGCTTACAAACCAGCCCTTCGAGGTGCCGTCGGCCGGGCGGCTCGTTGTGGACTTTTTGGATTTGCACATTCCGACGGAGAGCACCGAGGCGCACACGCGCGAGTCGATAGCGCACCTGATTCGAAACCTCAAGGGCAACAACGCACACGTGCAAATGCTCTCGATCGCCAAAAATGGTACCCACGCTCGTTTAGTCGATCCTAGTAGGTACGAACTCGACATAGGCCTCTACTTTCGGGAGCGCGAAGCGCAGCTCATCATCGACTCGGTCCTCGACGGCAGCGACCTCGTCGAGGCCATGGCGTCCATACTGCCGCACATGATCGACGCATCGAATGCATGCCAGCTCATCGAATGCAACCTGGCCGACACGACCCAGCGTCTACGGTACACGTGCGCAGAATGAAAAAGATGGTGTCGAGGGTGATGTAGACTGCAGTATTCGTTGCGCTTTGCGTATGGCCCGATCGTCGGATTATGTTCGGGGCACTACCGCCTCGAGATGGCCGAGCCACTGGACCGTATCGCCGCCAAAAAGCTCATGGAGATCAGCAACAAGACGATGTTGTGGAAGAAGAAGTACGAGCTCCTCGACACGTCGCAGCACGCCAACTACCAGTGCTTCCGCAACGAAACGTTCAACGGCAAATCTGTCATCCTCGGTGCGTCCAACAAAGTCTCGTTTCCTCCATATCAACATTTTTGGATACATAGAAAATGCCTTTTGCGACAAAATCCCGAAATTTGGTGTTCTCGAGTTTGACTTTGTGCACATGGCGAGTCGACCCGTCGCGCAACAGAGTACGACGATCTATGGTCTATTGTTCAGAAGTCAAAATATCGCATTAGGTAAATTCCAATCGATCGAAGCCATGTCCGCAAAGCGCTTTGCGCAGTTCCTCGAGCGGATGCATGCTGTGGGCCTGGATCTCGAGCCGCACACGGAGCTGCCGCGGGCGTACGGCACGCTCACACCAAATGTCTTTGAGCACCTTCTCAAGATGCAGCGCAACGCGCAGTACAACGACTACTCGTCGGGCCTCGCGGCCTTTGCCGAGGTCGAGCTCCACGGCGTCAAGGTCAGAGTTGTCCATTTCGTTTATAAAGCTATCGCACTGGAACAGATGACGATCTCGGTCCGGCGTCTCATCATGGAGCTGCAGTACCTGTTGTCGTCGCGCTGGATCAGCGTCAAACAGTGCCTTCGCGTGCTCTGCATGTGGCCGCGGGCGTTCAAAGCCGCGCGCGTCGACGTGATTTTGCTGCTCATTGACCGCATTGTCGACCTCTACAGCGTGCCGCAGGTTCGAATCCAGTCGTGGACATGCTTTTATGAAACAATATTTAGCTATTTGCGCTACTGACCGAGCGAGAGTTGGCCGAGCTCATCTTTCGCTATGGCTGGCTCAATCTGTGGTCGCCGCTCGTGCCTGACATTTACTACGAGCTCGACATGGCCATCTACGAGCAGCGCGAAGTCGCCAAGATGCTCGTGGCACTCGCACTCGCGGAACCTGCACGCGCTAATTCTCTCGACCAATTACAGATCCTTACTTCCGATGTGGTAGGGCGACAATTGGCTCAACGAGACGTACGGCTGGAGTCGCGGCGACCCGATTCCCGGCTGGCAGCTCAACCAGAGCTGGCTTGGCGAAAACGCCTTTCCAGAGAAAGGCTACTTGACCCTTCACTACTACTCGGGCGCCGACCTCGGCTGCGGTGCGTCGTCTTTGAAATGTATCAAAGTATCAACCTATCACATCGACGTAGGACCGGTCTGGCATGTGCGCGTCAACTTGTGCAAGCGCGTGCTCTCGATGGCCCCCGAAGGCGCCAAGCTGCAAGAGTTCATCCACCACTCGACGCAGCTCGAGCTGCGCACGGTGCGCGACTTTACAGCGCGCCCCGCGGCCACGAACCCGCCGACAGCCGCCAAGCGCAAGTAGAGAACCGTTTGACTTTGGTTTGAATGACACATCCACACTACTTTGTGCACCATGTTGCAGTTAGTCCGTTGACAAGCATCGACTAGCATGTCGGGGTTAATCTACTAGCAAGTCGTAGTAGGTAGTCTACGGACATTGGTCCGTGAGAGGCGCCTTAGACGACGCTGTCGTCGTCGGCTCGTTTTTTGAGAAGAATGATGAGGACCCGGACGAAGAGGTTGACAAAATCTGGCAATAAGATCTGAGTGGACGGTATGAGATGCTAGCGGTACCGAGGAAGAGCTCGAACGCATGGCCAATCACATTGTCGTCGCCGCTGCTGGCCTTCTCCACAATGAGCTGCGTATCAAAGAGCACGTAGAAGCAAAAGAGCAGAAGACCGCCATACTACACGATGTCAGGCTCCGCGAAGGAGTGCATGAGGACGTACGAGCTCGAGCGAGTACATGGCAGCCGAGCGCACAAAGGTGTTGACGAGTGCTATAAGGACAAGGCCTAGGATCGCAGACCCAGCAAACGCGCCAAGAAACAAGTAGGTGCGCCGGCGCTCTACGCGACACTTGTGGCATCCGAGACGAGCGAAGCCACGTACCGAGGAGCGCACTCAGCGTGAAGCAGCCAAAGACGACGGTCGAGCCAACACTAACAATCACCACGTATAAGACACGTGGAAGTGAGAGGAGGGTATCGTACAAGGCCATGGCGACAATCGAGGCGTCTGTGGCGAGGGCGTGTTGCACGAGCCCGCCGAGGTTGGCGCCCCAGCAAGTGGCGAGTGTCAAGAGCACGCAGAGCCGCAGTGCAAACTTGGCTTTCGGCACAAGGTACAGCGCGAGCACGAGGACAAAGACGAGAATGGCCGTGGTGTAGCCGGCGAGACCGCACGCGATGTCGAGACCGACGCCGGCCGCGGCGGCACCGACCGCGGCTGCGAGCGTCACGTAGACGCGCACGAGGTGGCGCTGGACGCGCGGCTCAATGTCGTTGGTTGAAAGGAGCGCGGCGAGGTCAAAGCCGCCGACGGCGACGGGCTTGACGACCTCCGTGACCTTGCTCTGCATCTCTTCGGAGCGTAATGGCTTCCGTGGATGACCAACGGTAGTCCGGATACGACTGTCCGGATAACCATGCGTGTCAACGGCTATTGCACACTATTTCGGTATGCAAGACAGTAGCACCTGCGCGACCATCCCTGGGCTCCTTTGGGTGCGGCACCGGATGGGTTTCGCGGTCGTCGCGCCGCCACGGAAGCTCAAGAAGCCTAGTACCCTGCGAATTGCAAACAAGAGAGGAGCTGCAAAGACCTCGCTCTCGATGCGACCAACGACGGGCGTTGCACGGTCGGCTCATGCTCTTGGGCTCTTAGGTCGGACGCCACCACAGTGGCCGACTGCTGCTGGACCCATGCGCAGGGATGACGTACCACCTGCTTTATATTCCTGTCATGTACACGACGCAAGACGCAAGCGTGGTCGACCCCCCTCTGCACGACTGACGCGTGCCTACTTCAGCACAGAGCAGCGAGCTCGACTACATGCTGACCACGGTTGTAGTCATACAAGGGACTCGGTGCTGGCTGCTTGTACATTGTTCGGGTTGCCGCCACAGTTGCTAGAGCATCGCGGCAAGGAGCAGCTCTTCACGTGGTGTCCCATAGGCTGATCAGGGATGTGCTGGCTATTCGCTATTAATAAGGGGCTATCTTGGGCCACACAAGCTGGCCCAGGTACGACCCAAGACGACGGTGTACATGTAGTTCGTGGTGCTCATGGCCTATACTGCCACCGTGCACCAGTGATTTCTGCCCCCTTTCCGGTCTCGTTATCCGGCAGAGCGCGATCCGCCGCGCGAGTAGCTTCGCCATCGATCGCCGGCGACGGTTCGACGTGGCACGTGGTGCCAACGGCGCGATCTTTTTGAAGGACCGTACGCTCGCAGACGTGAAATAGTGTACATTCCTAAATCGTGTAGGCCAAAATCCAAAAACCTTTCCAAAAGCATATATGTTGTGAGAGGTTTCCGCTGCAACTTCAAGGTCGTCAGTTTTCTGGGACCTGCGTACGCTCGCACAAAAGGCAAAGATCGGTTCCAGCGCCATCATATTGCAACTCGCCTCGTCCTCCGCAGCACCATGAGCCCCAAGCAGAACATCGCGCGCGGTATTGGCCGCCTCTCCAACATGGTCCTCTCCAAGGGCAAGGGCTCGTTCGTCTGGAACACCGAGGGCCAGAAGCTGCTCGACTTTACCTGCGGCATTGGTGTCACCAACTTGGGCCACTGCCACCCCAAGGTCACGCACGCCGTGCAGCAGCAGGCCGCCACGCTTGTCCACGGCCAAGTACGTCCTTCCTTTCCTTATCATATGTGAATGCTCATGAAATCGCACAGGTCGGCGTCGCATACCACGAGCCGATGCTCAAGTACGTCTCGTCGCTGCTGCCCGTGCTGCCCAAGACGCTCGACTCGCTTTTCTTTGCGTCCACGTACGTGCAACGACGTTGCATAGATCATGGTGCGAGTCGTCTTGCTGTCTAGTGGCGCCGAGGCGGTCGAGAACGCGGTCAAGCTCGCGCGCCAGGCCACGGGCAAGTCGAACGTGATCGTCTTCCAGGGCGGCTACCACGGCCGGTCGTTTGGCACAATGTCGCTCACGACGAGCAAGACGATCTACAGCGCCGGCTTTGGCCCGCTCTTGAGCAACATCACGACCGTGCCCTTCCCGTATGCGCTCCATAGCCCCGCCACCGACGAAGGTAGATCGACCTTGGCAATGGGCGCGCCGTTCAAACACTGTATCATGTAGAAAGCTGCGTCAACTACTGCATCGCCGAGCTCGAGCTTGCGTTCAAGCAGCGCTGCGCGCCCAAGGACACGGCGGCGATCCTGATTGAGCCCGTCATGGGCGAGGGCGGCTACGTGCCGGTGCCCAAGGCCTTCATGCACGCGCTTCGCCGCCTCTGCGACGAGCACAACATCCTCCTCATCGCCGACGAGGTGCAATGTGGCTTTGGTCGCACGGGCTCGATGTTTGCGATCGACGGCCTCTACAACGTGACGCCCGACATCCTCGTCATGGCCAAGGGCATCGCCAACGGGTACCCGCTCAGCGCGATTGCGAGCCGCCGTGAGCTCACGGACCTCCAGGTACGCTGCATGCTTGTTCGAGCGCAAATCCAACATGTATATGATGTAGCCGCCGGGCTCGATGGGTGGCACCTACGCCGGCAACGCTGTCGCGATCGCCGCTGCCTCGGCGACCCTCGAGGTGTTCGAGGAGGAGCGCATCTTGGAGAACACGCGCGTGCGTAGCGAGCAGCTCATGCACGGCCTCGAGCGCCTCAAGGCCAAGTACCCCGTCCTGGACGTGCGCGGCGCGGGTCTCATGCTCGCGATGGAATTTGACGAGACGGCGGCGCCTGGCACGGCGGCGCGCGTGTGCCAGAGCTGCGTCGACAAGGGCATGCTCCTCCTCTCGACGAGCGTGTACGAGACGCTGCGCTTCATCCCGCCGCTCAACATCTCGGCCGACGAAGTCGCTTTGGGCCTCGACATCCTCGACGCCGCGTTGGCCGACGTCTTTGGCGAACAGCCCATCTCCCGCGTCGCGTAGAGCCACATAGAACTTAGATATCGTTGTCGTTTGCATTTGCATACCCTCTAAAGACTACTCCATGGATACCAGTCTTCTTGCACCTCCACCGTACGCGCAAGTCTGCACACACGAACCCTCACGACGGCACATGGCTCGAGGGTGGTCGCTGGCATGGCCCCACAAGAGAGCCTTCGCGCTCGACGAGCTCGAGGCGACGACGAGGCTTTGGCATCGCTCACGCCCACGACGCTCTGATGACGATCAATACACGCAATGCTCTTGCCTCGATCGCAAGCGGTCCTGGAATCCCAGCTGTGCCAGCGCGTCGCCAAAGCATCGACAGCCGCAGTGTCGGAGCTGTACGTTTGGTTGGCTTGCTGTGTATGGCGAGGTGACTCAACTGCTCGTGCTTGCACTCAGGTCCAGTGGCTCGAGCGCCTCTGGCCAAGAAGATCACGCGCCAGTGATGAACAAGACGCTTAACGTCCCAGTAGTCCACAGAGAAGCGATGCTCTGACGCTGCAAGCAAGAGACGAGAAGAAGAGTGCAACAGATTTAGATAGATTACAAGACAGGCGGCGACTTAGTGGTGGAAGAGGCGGACGCCCGAGAAGGTCATCGTGATGCCGTACTCGATGCACGCCTGCTTGATCTCGTCGTCGCGGTTGCTGCCACCGGGCTGCGTGATGAACGAGACGCCGAGCTTGGCCGCGTGGTCAATACCGTCACGGAACGGGAAGAAGGCGTCCGAGGCGAGCGAGACGCCCGTGAGCTGCCCCACAAAGGCGTCCTTCTCGGCGACGGTGAGCGGCGCGGGCACCGTCTCAAACTGCGCGTCAAAGGCCGCCTTCTCGACGGGCGCCATGTCGCCCTCGATGTAGCGGACACGCGCGTTCACACGCTCTTGGCGCTTGACCGACGGCTTGAAGGCGAGCGCGGCGACCTTGGGGTGCTGGCGGAGGTGCCACACGGCCACCTTGCGACCCGCGAGCTTGACGCAGTCGACACGGCTCTGCTGGCCGGCGCCGACACCGACCATCTGGCCGTCCTTGGCGTAGCCGACCGAGTTACTCTGCGTAAACTTGAGCGTGATCGCAGCGAGGATGAGGTCGCGCTTGGCCGCGTCCGTGAGCGGCGCGCAGCTCGTCTGGACGTCGGCGACGTGCGAGTGGTTGAAGAGCACGTCGTTCCGGCGCTGGGCAAACGTCATGCCGTACACCTCACGGTACTCCATAGGCGGAGGCACAAAGGCGGCGTCGGCCTCGAGCACGATGAACTTGCCGCCCTTCTTGGCCGCGAGGATCTCGAGCGCCGCGGGCTCGTAACCGGGCGCGATGATACCGTCGCTGACCTCGCGCTTGAGTACCTTGGCGGTGGCCTCGTCGACAATGTCGCTGACAGCGACGAAGTCGCCAAACGAGCTGAGCGGGTCGGCGTTGCGCGCGCGAAGGTACGCGACCGAGAGCGGCGTGAGCTCAATGTTACCCACTTCGTAGGCCGCCTTGAGCTTCTCGTCGAGGGGCACGTAGACAGCGGCACCGGCCGGCGAAACGTGCTTGAAGGACGCCGCGGCCGGGAGGTGGAGCGCCTGGCGCACTTCAGCCACGAGCTGGTACGCGTTGGCCGCATCGAGGAGGTTGATGTAGCCGGGCGTGCCGTTGAGGACCTTGAACGGCAGCTTCGAGCCCTTGATCGTCATGATGGACGCCGGGTTCTGGTGCGGGTTGCAGCCGTACTTGAGCGGAAGCGCGGGCTCATACACACGCGTGACTTCGTCCGAGGTCTGGCCGAGCTGCGCGTTGAACCACTTGGAGATCTGCGTGTCGTAGTGAGCCGAGAGCGTAAAGGCCGCCGCGGCGCAGCGCTTGCGGAACGCATGCGTCGTGCCCGTTTGGTTGGCGCTCATCTCGGCGACAAGGTCCATGTACTGCGACGGCGACGTGCAGATGACGACGCTCGCGTGGTTCTTGGCCGACGAGCGGAGCATCGACGGGCCGCCAATGTCAATGTTCTCAATGCACGTCTCAAAGTTGCCGCCCGACGCGACCGTGGCTTCGAACGCATACAGGTTGAGGACCATGAGGTCGATGTTCTTGATGCCATGCTTGGCCATGTCATCTTCGTGCTGCTTGTTGCCGCGGACGCCGAGGAGACCGCCGTGGATCTTGGGGTGGAGCGTCTTGACGCGGCCATCCATCATCTCGGGCGACTGCGTGTACTCCGAGACGTCAATGACCTGGAGGCCAGCCTCGCGCATGGCCTTGGCCGTGCCACCCGTCGAGAGGAGCTCGACGCCATGGGCCGCGAGGTACTTGGCGAGGTCGAGGAGGCCGGTCTTGTCCGAGACCGAGAGGAGCGCCCGGCGGATGGGCACGACGTCCTTCGTCGCGCTGGCAACGGCGGTGATGATGTGGGCCATGGCGGAGGAAGAGATCCAAATGGAGAATGAGTCAACCCTCGGCGATCTTTGAGCGGGTATCCGGATACAACCGCCACATCTTCAACCGAACCCCGCACAACGTATGGTTCGAGCCAAGTGCCAGTCGTTTGGCGCTTTCGTATCCGGACGATTAAAGTTTGAGCCAATGAGAAGCGGCGAAAATCCGATTTGGTTTCATCATCACCCGAGCGGACGCTCCGAGGATGATGTATACGAAGGCAGCGCCGATGTGCGCCCTTCGTGGACGTCTGCCGACGATCGCATGGCACCGATGACCCAGACATCAATGGATGCATGCTTCATGCCGCATGATCCTAGCCTCATGGGCCATGGGCGCCAGGGCTACGGCGCTGAAGGTGACGACGGAGCGGGTGCTGCGCGTGGTACCGGCAGCAGACATGGCAGCCACCAGCTGCCACGAGCAACGAACGCGTCGACTGGCATGTGGCAAGCGTAGGCCATGCATCGTCGAAGCGTATACAGCGCTTATGTAGGCGAACGATAGAACGATGCGCTCTTGTATTTGTCGTCGTCCATCATGGATGTGCAGTCCATCGACGATGACGCATGCAAGTTGACCCGATGACCGTGCCATTGCCGAAGGGTCTGGCGATGGCAATAATGAGCGAGGAGGATGGACGCGACGAGATGATGGCATGGCATGGCATCTGCGGGGCGTCGTTCAAGCTTCAACCTGCCGCCTATCAGGAGCAGCCCTCGTGGCAGCCCAGCTGCGTCGCGCTTGCGATGCACCGACGCATCGCCACGTCATGGAGACCCGAAAAGACAGCGTGATCAAGACAAGGAAGGTCGTTGTTTCATACTTTTCTTAAGAGAAAACGTGCAATGGAGGTGGAGTGCCTAAATTCGACAAGCTATGTAATCAATATCTTTGGCGCTGGCTGGGCAGCTTGTTCGGGTCGCTGAGATCGCCGTTCGACGCGACGCGGGGGGCCACATATAATCTATCGTCACGATTGCCGGTGGCGTACCCGGGCTGTTGCATCTGCTGCATCTGCTGCATCTGCTGCATTTGTTGCATCTGCTGCATCTGCTGCATTTGCTGGAGCTCGGCCGAATCCTTCGAGTCTTCCCGGACGTACAGCCGGCCCGAGTTGACGCGCATGTCTTGGCGCATCGGCTCCATGCGCGACGATCGCTGTTGCGAGTCGATGGGGTTGCCCGTCGGTGGCGCAGCCGTGGCACCCGTAGCCGGCTGCGGCGGCGCACCCGTGGCGCTGCCGCTGCCGTCCCGCTCTCTCCGGCCGTTTTGCTACAGGAAAAAATCCATGAGTAGGTGCCCATGAGCAGTGCAGCAACAACGTACCAAGTTGAGGACCGTCCAGTCGAACATCGCGTCAAACTGGAAGCCCTTGCGAAAGAAGAGCTCCTTGAAGAGGCGCTTGAGGTACGCATAGTCGGGCTTGTCGTCAAAGCGAAGGGCGCGCGTGTACTCAAAGTAGGCGCGGAACTCGGCGGGGTAGCCCTTGCAGAGCACTTCGATCGGCGTGTTCATCTTCTTCTCCATGATGCGCTCGTACTTCTGCTTCTTCGTGTTGGCCTTGAGGCCCTGCCACGGAAGCGAGCCGCGGATGAAGTACATGAAGACGTAGCCAAGCGACTCGAGATCGTCGCGGCGCGACTGCTCAATGCCAATGTGCGTGTTGATCGACACGTAGCGCGCCGTGCCCGTGAGGTTCTTATTCTCCCGGTACGGGATGTGCTGGTGCGTCTTGGGGTCGCGGTACTTCTTTGCGAGACCAAAATCGATCACGTGGCAGATTTGCGCACGCTTCCCGAGCCCAATGAGAAAGTTGTCGGGCTTGACATCGCGATGAATGAAGTTCTTCGAGTGGCAGTACTCGAGCCGGCAAAGGAGCTGGTCCGCAATCATGAGCACGGTTTTGAGCTGGAAGCGGCGACCGCAATAGTCAAAAAGGTTCTCGAGCGACGGGCCGAGGAGGTCAATGACCATGACGTTGTACTCGCCTTCGACGCCAAACCAGCGGATGTTCGGGATGCCCACTACACCAGCATGAGCTACGGAAGCTTCTTGCGTCGACGACGTACAGCCGCCGTTGAGGATCTTGTAGATCTTGGATTCGTAGAGAAGCTGCGGGTGCTTGCTCTTGACCGACTCGAGCTTGATCGCGACTTCTTCGCCCGACGTCATGTTGGTGCCGAGGTAGATGTCGCCAAACGAGCCGCTTCCAATCTTGCGGCCGAGGCGAAACTTCTTGCCGACGCGGAGCTCAAGGGAGCTCTCTCGTTGCGATGCCATGCTTCCTACGGTCCGCATGAGGTCGGGTCCCGGCCTCGCCGTGGCGTACCTTGTTACAACCGCACTTACTGACGCAGGGAGATGACCTAGACGGAAGGGTTCCATGAGCCATCCCCAGGGGCGCGGAGGATGGGACGTACGGGGGAGGAGGTCGTCGGGTGGTCTTGCGTCGTCGGGGCCTCTGAGGAGCAGGGAGGACCCAAGTACCGAAGAATGAACTGGGCAGTCTCCTGAGCAAAATGCAAACAAGCAAAGAACTTCACGAAATAAGTAACGCGTTGGCTCACGCTGCTTTTTTCCGCGCACTCAATTCCGCATACAAACCTCGAGTGAATCGCGTGAAAAAGTAAAAAAAAGCAAGGGTACGGTCGGCGCGATGGGTCAAAAAATCGGCCGCCATTTAATTCCCCACCAGCGTCCATACAAACCCCAAGCTGTTGCATGCCGCCGCCACTCCACATACAAAGACCAAGTCGATTGGCGAGGGGCGGCGATAAAAATATCGAAAGGCGTGCCAGCTGGCCCATTATTAAATTCGCGCCACACATTTTTATAGGCCCCGATCTCGGCGTTAACGACCAACGAAATCGCTCTCTTTTTAATTGCCATGCGGCTTTCGAATTAAATGACAGGCGATTTGACAGACGCTTTGAGTTTTGCGTATTTTATTTCACGACCGGGACAGGACGCACGGCCTTTCGCAGGAGCGTCACGCCAAGGGGCACCCGACGACAGCCACGACACCAAGTGCCTTCACGCAATCAAGAGCGTCTTCGGACGGGCAGTAGCGGCGCCGCAAAGAACTGGACGAAGATCGTAGTCGCGCCGTGCAATCTGGATCTGGCCCGGAAGAGTAGCCACGTGCGGACAGATAGATCGAGATCGAAAGTTGAGGGCGAGCCGACCGGTTGAACTTGGCCACCTCGGTGTTGCGCACGCGCTGGCTCCAACCGACCATCATTCGCACTCGACGACGAAAGCGCGCGCAACGTCCGACACGAAATGGCTGCGCCGCTCGAGGCCATCGTTGCCGCGTACTTTGCTCCCGATCGCTTGTTGCCAGAGACCTGGGCGCGCCTGTTGAGCCTGACGCCAAGCGCAGCGACGAGCTTTTGCCAGCAACTGGTTACTGACAACGATGCCGATGGTCCCAACCCGACACGGTTGCCACCACTCTCGTACGTTGGCATGTGGCCAAACGCCTACTACAAGCTGCTTGCAAGGTGTCTCTGGGTGTGGCAGACAACGGGCGTCTGCCCTGTCTTGACGCAGCTGCCACCACCGGTCGATGGCGTCGTCGAGGACACGGGTCCTCGAGACCGTTTGGCGACGATTCCGTTGGCCATTGTGGAAGACCTCGGCACGACGACACGTATGGACGCATTTGTGGTGGCGATCGGAGGCGCGCGCGGCATCGTCACGCTGCTCGGAGTTCGCTGCACGGCGGGCAGTCAGGTGCTCGTCCCGCCGACGGCCGCCGTCTGCATGGACGCCTTCAACCGCAAGCATGGCGACGCAAACTCCAAGTCGAAGCTCACGATCGGCGGCCGCCAGTGGACCAAGCACGCGCAGCGCAGCTTGGACGGGTGGTGGGGTGTCAACAAAGGCTCGGAAGCCCAGAAAAACGCACTCGGCGAGGCCAAGGTCCGCGACATCATGGCGAGTATGGTCTGGATGAACACGCACGGGCTGCCGAACGGGCCCATCGTGCTCGAGATCCGGCAGAAGGACGGCTACGGTGCACGCTGGGGGTGCGTCGACGGCGACGTGCACTTTCGCGGGTTCGTCGAGCCCTACATGGCCGACGGCCACGCCGTTGGCTGGGTGCATTGACCGGATAAAGATTCATTTTCATTCATCCATGCACCTCATCTCGCGTTTCAAAGCTGCCAGCCGTGTGTGCCTGTATACGGACGTGGCGTCGCAGCTGTGCCACCTCGGTTGCGCTCCGTGCAGAGAAACCCAGGCCGATCCTATCTCGGTAGCCGTCGAGAGGCGCGACGAGCCCGTCGTCAGCAGCGTGTCTCCTGATGGCGGCCGCGTCCGGCTATCCGTGTAGCTAATGCTGCGAAGCGGTAGCTCGACACGGCTCGACCGCTACGTATACAACGACGACGCTGGGGTATGCAGCGACGACGGGAACCGACGATTGCGTGTCGAGTGGAGCGCCATAGACAGAGACGCCATGTGTGGCCGCATAGGCGGGCAGAGGATGGTCGACGAGCCCACGACGTCGCGTCTGCATGCTAGCAGAGTCGTTCGAGCCTCATGAGGCAACAACGCCATGACGGGAGCTATGACGGGGCACGCCCTGGGATCTTCCTGGACCTGTAACAATGGATATTAAATTATACGAGTCGCGGTCGCATATTCGCCCCTCATCGCAAGCAAGAAAATGGGGCTCGAGACGTTCGACCTCGAGGCCGTCGCGTCCAAGTACGCGGGCGTCAACCGCGTCCGCCACCTCCTGTTCATCGTCGAGTATGGCAAGACGTGCGTCCTGGACCCCGAGAGCAAGCGCGGTACGGCCATGTGCTCGGCGAAATGAAGGCTAATTCTGCTTCTTCCTGGCTGTCTAGCGGTGTGTCTCCAGTACGCCAAGGATGCGCTGCGCATGCTCCTCGCCGAGCTCGAGACGACCAAGACGGCGGCCAACACGACCTTGTACCGCGAGCTCACAACCAAGTACGCCGACTTGCTCCCGCTCGACTTCAAGGTGGACGCGGCGTTTGTGGACGCGGCGACGCGTGCCAACAACAGCCGCCACGAGCGCCTCGAGCAAGAGCTCAACTCGTACAAGTCGAGCTTGATCAAGGAAAGCATTCGCGTACGTTATCCTCCTCCTTCTCCTTCGTTGGCGTCGTCCTCATGCGATGCGTCATGTAGATTGGCCACAACGATCTCGGCGAGTTTTACTACCGCATGGGCGACCTCCCGTCGGCGTTGCGCAGCTTTGCCCAGGCGCGCGACTACTGCACGTCCGACAAGCACATTTCTGAGATGTGTTTCAACGTCATTCGCGTACGTCCATGGCTCGTCGTACGACCTCGTCATGCTCGCATCTAGGCGTCGGTGCACCTCAAGAACTTTGGCAACGTGACCAACTACCTCATCAAGCTCGAGCAGTCGGCCGTCGAGAGCGACGCCATGTACGTGCCATCCATCCTCCTATGCAAGCAGGCTCACGCGATGCTAGTTTTGCCACCAAGATCGCTGCGACGCATGGCCTCGTGCACCTCACCAACAAAAAGTACCACACCGCAGCGCTCAAGTTTACGTCCTGCAACGTCGAGATTGGCTCGACCTTCAACGAGGTGCTGCATGCCGAAGACATTGCGCTCTTTGGCGGTCTCTGCGCACTCGCCACGTTTGACCGCAACGAGCTCCGCGACAAGGTGCGCCTCCCCACGCTTACGCCGAGGATGCTTACGCCGCTTCTCTCTATATCTGTAGGTCATTCAGAGCCCGTCGTTCAAGGCGTTCCTCGAACTTGTGCCCCGCCTCCGCGAAATGATCCATGCATTCTACAGCAGCCAGTACGCTTCGTGCTTGCGCACGCTTGGCGAGATGCAGGAGGAGTGGGCGCTCGACATGAACCTCTCAAACCACGTCGGCGAGCTCGCCAAGGAGATCCGCCACCGGGCGATCGTCCAGTACTTCTTCCCGTACCTCTCGGTCGACATGCGGGAGATGGCCGACACCTTCAACACGACGCCGGACGCGCTTGAAGACGAGCTGCGCGACTTAATCCTGCGCGGCAAGATCCACGCGCGCATCGACAGCCACAACATGGTGCTCCTCGCCCACGAGGCCGATGTGCGCGCCAAGGCGTATGCGAACGCGCTCGCGGTCGGCCGCCAGTACACGGCCGACACCAAGGCCGCGCTCTTCCGCATGAATTTGATCAAGAACAACATGGTGGTGGGCGCCAACGACGGCGACGCGACGCTCGGCTAAGGACCGGTAGTGACCCCATGGAAACCCATCCTCCCGCTCTTCTCCCATCAATATGCATTCCAGGCCTTGCATGCCCAAATTCACGAGGTAGACAGGACATGTTGGAGGAAGCGGAATTGGTAGCATAACGGTGGTGTAACGGGCAGGAGGGCTGAACAATCATGGACGACGACGTGGCCGAGGAGCGACTCCTCGAGACCGTCCAGCGCGACCTCACGGCGCACGCAGCGGCCGTCCGCGTGGTCCTGACGCGGTTGGCCGAGCGCATCTTGGCCCTCGAGGAGCTCGTGGAGGGCCCGCTGGGCAAGCTCCCACACGTTGTCGACGCGCTCGACGCGCGCGTGACGGCAATGGGGTCGTCGCTCGAAGTCGCAATCGACGACACGCGCAGTGCGATACCGGACTACAGCGACCGGTTTGAAGTGCTCGACAAGCAGGTGGCGGGCCTCGCCGAGAGCGCCGGCGACATGCACGCCGTCGCCATGATGCAGGTCTCGCGCATCGCGTCCGAGACGGCCGGCGTCAAGAGCCTCATCGGGACGCTCAACGAAGCCCAGCGCCGCGCGACCGTGGCGATCCACGACGCGATCCAGGGCGCGGTCGAAAACATCCAAATCGTACGCCTTCGCTGGAGCGGAAGTGCGCTAAGTACCTCGGCGTAGGCCCGGGGCGCCGACAAGGAAGAGGTCATGGAGAACATTGCGGTCGTCCAAAAGACGTTTGCGGCCCAAGTCGAAGGTACATGCTTCGACATCTTTATCGAGATGGATGCGATTATGGGACGAGGTAGACATTTACAAGCACGTGGACGACGTCATGGCCAAACCGCCGCCGGTGGTCGTCTTGCAAGCAGCGCCCGAGCCACCGCGCCCGACGACGCCGATTCGCCGCGTCGAGCCCGTCGTCATTGCCTTCTCGCCCGAGAGGCCAGCAACACCCGCATCAACGCCAACACCCGCACCGACGCCGACCCCGACACCCGCACCGACACCGACGCTCAAACCGACACTGACGCCCAAGCCAGTGTCCCGCCCGGCGACGCCGGCGACCGTCGAGCATGAAGTCGAGTCGCCAGAGAAGAAGCCCGTGTCGGTACCGCCGTCCAGCAAAATTCCCGTCGTCATCCACGCCCGGCGGCGGGAAAAGGAGACGCGGCCGCCGGCGTCCATGACAGACCTACCGCCGTACGCGCTCCCGCCAGACATGAAGCACAAGATCGAGCACAACGTGCGCGCGACGCTGGATCCGCCAACTCCACTGCCGATACCACCGGTGGTCGCTGCGCCGACGACAGTGCTCGTGCCCACACACGCACCAGCAATAGCAGCAACGAGTCTTGTCCTATCCCACGGGACACCAGACGGGCCAGGCGTCCCAGGGGAGTTCAAGGCGCAGCTACATGCGTGCCAGAGTAGCGTCGAGATGGTGTGCAGCTTGCTCGAGGTCACACGCAGCCAGGTAGACGTGTCGGAACGGTCCCCGAAATGTATCAATCTATCAGGTCAAAATGCGCCAAGACGAGAGCGACGCGGCGATGGCCCGTGAGGTGCACGCGCTGCGCGCCAAGATCAAGAAAGTGCGCGACGAGTTCCACCACATTTTGCCGCTGCTCAAGCCGATGCTGTATGACTCCGACCTGCTCGCGACGCCAGGTCGTCAACATGCAAAATGACAGGGCGGAACGTCATGAGCGTAGAGTTGGAGCTCGGGCACATTCCGTCCTTGCGCACGGCACTCTTGGAGCTCTCGCGCAACCTCAACGTCGTGCGGCAGACGCGCAAGCACATGAGCATGGACATGCGCCGGACCATCGACAAGATCATCGACGTCATCAACGACGCCTACCACACCACGGCGGCGGGCCCGATCGACGACATGACCGTATCCTCCATCTTGACGTACGCGGGATACGATAAGAATGGATCTAGGTCCTGGCGCGACAAGTCGACAGGGTCGCCCGCGCGCTTGCGTTTGGCATCCAGTCGACCGTTGGCGTGCTCACGACCGTCGACGCGGTCTCGACACGCGAGGTGGCGACAGCGATCGAGTCGTTCTCCGAAATCCTCACTGAGGGGCTTCACGACGGCAGCAGCGCCGAGATGCTTCGGCAACACGTCTCGGCCCTTACGTCCGAGCTACACGAGGCCAAGCACGAGCTTCGCGCCGCCATCTTGTCGCTGCAACACCGCCTCGAAGTCGCTCCATTCTGTTCAACCCGAGTCCTCATCCGTCGGACGTAGGAGCCGCGGAGCAGCGAGAAGACGCTCAAGGCAGTGCACTCGCGGCACGAGATCAACGACCGCGGGAAAGCTGTGCTCATGCTCGAGCACGAGGTGAGCGCGCTCCGGGCGCAAATGGACGCGCGCGACGAGACACTGCGGCGACTCATGCAGGACCTCGATGGCAAGGCCGACAAGCGGCAGCTCACTCGGTGCCTTCTGCCCTCCTAGGATTTGCATCGAATGATGGCAAGAATAGACTGCTTCATCCCGAGGTAGCTGAGCTCACCAAGGTCCGCAAGCTGCCGCACGCGACCAAGCCCAAGCCAAAACCCCTCTCGACGGGCGTCCTGCGAAAAGCCCCGGCGCTCTCGGCCCTCTTTGTGGAGAACTCCAAGGCACCGGACAACGAGTCGCTCGCCCGGTCCAGTCCGGTCTCGCGCGAATAGTTGTCGTAGACAGTAGAAATATTACAATATATATAGCGTTAATTAGAGGGGGATTTTGTGGTTAGGGCAACGGCTCCGAGGCGTCGCCGACGCGGCGCAGATGCAAGTAGGCGTCCGTGCCATACCCTTCCATCGAGATGATTTGGAGATCACCGCCAAAGTACCGCGTGAGAAGGCGGCTGATCGGGAGGCCGTACCCGAGACCGGCGAGGGGCGACTCGCCGCCAAAGTCCATCGGCATCGACTCGCCGACCATCGAGTCAAAGGCTTGCGAGTTGGCGGTCGTGTACATGTAGCTCCAGATGCGCGGGAGGGCCGAGCGCGGAATACCGCCGCCTTCGTCCGAGATCTTGAGGCTCACGTCTTCGTTCTGGTCTCCGTCGGCGACAATGAGCTTGATCGCGGGCAAGGCGTTGTCGACGCCGTGGAACTCGACGACCGCACGCATCGAGTTCTTCATGACCTCGAAGAGCATGTGGTGCAAATGACTTGGCACATACGGCATGGTGAAGTTGCAGTCACCATGCAGCTCGACGTCCGGCGCGTCGCCATATTGTCGGATGCACATGTGTCGGGCCATGTCGACGGCCGCGAGCGCGACCTCGGCCGGCGACGTCGCTTCGCAGATGCAGCCGACCCAGCCGTCTTCCTTCTCGTGGAGCGCAATGTGCTGGCCCATGAGCATGCGGATGCCAATGCGACTGAGGTAGAAGCCATCCAGGAACGAGTGCAAGTCGATCATGTCGGCCATGGAAATACCGAGGTCGCCCTTGGCCTCGGCGGCGCTCATGGCCTGCTTGAGCTCGTGCACGCCGCGGGCCATCGTAAAGAGCGTCGCATTGTGGCGGTCCTTGATCGACTCGATCATCGACGTGAAGCGTCGCTCGTCGGCCGCGGTCTGCACCTTTGGAAAGGCGAGGAGCTCTTCCATCGAGTGGATATACCACTCCTTGACTTGGCGCACGGACGGCATTTGGCAGAGCCCGTACGGCAGCGTGTCGAGGTCCTTGACGCGATGGGCGTACCGGATCGGCATCTCGTGGTGGAGGAACTTGGCGCTGTGGATGAGCTTGGCCGGCGTGATGTCGGTGCCAAACTCGAGGAGCTCCTGCAGCGTCACGCCATTCTGCGGCTTGGCCGCGTACTCCATGACGCGGTGCATGGTCGACGTCTTCTTCATCGCTGTCCTTGCGTTCTGCATGCTTGCTTGGTGGTAGTTTTCGGAATATGCTCGCGACCCCGCGGCCCGATTGCGCAGCCCCTCTCGCTTTTCATATATCATATTTCACAGGATCTACACGGTGATTGGCTGGAGCTCGAAACCAGGTGGCCGACAGCTGTGCGTCACAGAAATTCTTGTGGCACAGCCGCACAAAGACCCTGCGCATCATTGACATGTCGGGCTTTATACCGCCACCTGGCCCGACGGAAGACTAATTTGTTGCAATTTGTGTACAAATTTTACACCAACGGCGAGGCTAGTCGTTTTCTACTAAACTGTACACGGGATATTGGTCGCTCACTGGCTGCTGGACGTTGCTGCTTTCGAAGAACGGTCGACAAAAGCGACTGGAGAGCCGTGCATGAACGCTACGAGGACGTATCTTTGGCTCGGATGCGTGAGGACCAAGACCGACGTTGCTCGGTCGACATTGAAGTGCAACTTGGCGAAGCGTCTTTGTGGATGCAACGACCACTTTGACCGACTTGGGTGCCCATCACGGTCGGATTACACGGCAGTCTTGGGTGCGGGGATCGCATGCCGCTTGAAGAAGAAGCCTTCGTGTCGCTATGCAGCGAGGACCGAGAAGCCATTCGCATCGGTAGCCAAGCCGTGCCGGCGAGGTGCGTGATACTTCATGGCGCTAACGCGAAGAGGCGCCGCGTGGTGCGCTAGAGCTGGCTAGCGGTTGCGCACACGCTGGCTTTCGAGCGAGCAGCAGCTGCGGCCGTATCGCGCACGTGTTCTAGAATTCGAAAGATCATCAACTATACCTGCAATCGCACGACTCGTTGGCCTGCGACAAGTCCAAGCGAGGGCCTTCGCCACGCTTCGCTTCGAGGTGCGTCAGTCTCAGTCTCCCCCCGCAACAATGGTTGCTCGTCCGTCACCCATGCGCCAGCCGCCTGCATCCTCGCAATGCACGCAGTTTGACCCACGGAATCAGTAGATATCCACAGCCATCGGCGAACGACCAGGACTTGATGTGCACCACGACACACGACATGCTCTGAAGTGGGACGCTTTGGCTACAGCGCATCAGCGGAAGGATGTACCGCAGTGTTCTCGTGCTCGGCGAGGCCAATTTGCTTGCCCCTTCTTCCGCTTGACCACATGGGCTTCCTCCATCTCCGCTGCCGCATCCAACACTGCGCCCGCAAGGCAAGATAATATCTTGCGTTGCTGAATATTGTTCAGCATAATCCGATGACGAGATGAAAACAATCTGGTCCTCATTGGTGCTGTATCTGAGGGCTTGAGAGCGCGAGATCGAAGGTTCTCGACAACCGATGCGACGTCGTCTGGTTGTTGCCGGCCGTTGGGGTACATAGCGTTAGGAATTGCATTTGGATTCGAAGGATTCGGGGGAAGTACGTGCTCCATACATCGCGATGCCAAAGCCTTTGAGATCTTAGTCGCCAGCAAGCGATCGCCTTGCTCGACCATCGCAACCCGGACGAGTGCGATCTTTGCGATCTTCGTGGCAACTTCAACTTGGGTCGTATCCGGACATTTACCGGAAATCCTCTGCATCGTACGTTTTGCGATGGTCTTCGTCACGCTCAAGTACATCATCATCGGCGACTCGGAGGTCGGGAAGAGCTCGCTGCTGCTGCAGTTCACCGAGCAGACGTTCGTGGGCACGCATGACCTCACGATCGGCGTCGAGTTTGGCGCCAAGCTCCTCGACCTCGACAGCCGCAAGGTGAAGCTCGAGATCTGGGACACGGCCGGGCAAGAGACGTTCCTCTCCATTACGCGCTCGTACTATCGCGGCGCCGACGGCGTCCTCCTCGTGTACGACATTGGCAAGCGCGATAGCTTTCTCCATCTCGGCCGGTGGCTGCAAGAGTGCCAGCAAAACTGCATGAACTCCGGCCTCGAGATCATGGTCGTCGGCATGAAGGCCGACTTGCCGCCCGAGCAGCGCCAAGTGTCATCGAACGAGGCCGCCGAGTGGGCGGCGCGCCATGGGCTGCACTTTATCGAAGCCTCGGCCAAGACGGCGCAGAACGTCGAGAAGGTCTTTGTCGAGACCGCGACGACCATCCTGCGCAACTTTGACGCGGCGAATCCGAGCCCGGGGCCGCCCAGCGTCGCTAAGATCTCGCTCAACGACAAGGTTGCGCCCGTCAAGCCGCCGACCGAGTGCTGCTAATATCCCTCCTCGTCCTATAACAATATTAAAGATACGAGGTTGCATCGCCGAGCTTGCCACGACATATAAAAAGACAGAGGTCATTGAGTTTTATGTTCCCCCGCCACTTTGCCTCACGCTCCGTCCGCTTCCTGCGCGCTTGGATGACGACGACGACGATGGCACCCAAGGCGCTCATTCCTGTGGTATGACCGAGTCCTTTTGCTGTATCAACGCCATGCCTTTGGTGCCAGGCCAACGGCAGCGAAGAGATCGAGACCGTGTGCCTCCAAGACGTGCTGGTCCGTGGCGGCGTGCAGGTACAAGCCAAGTCCTGCGATCCGCCACAGCTCATACGCGACGGCGTAGGTCACGCTCGCGTCCGTGACCAGCGACAAGCTCGTCAAGATGTCGCGCGGACTCCAGATTCACGCCGACGCGGTCCTCGACGAGTGCGTCGAGACGGCGTACGACTTGATCGTGCTCCCTGGGGTCCTCGTCTTTTGCTGTCTTTGGGTACGAAGCGCCTGCGTTGCTAGGGCCTCCCGGGTGCCAACCATCTCCGCGACTGCCCAACCTTGATCGAGATGCTGCGCAAGCAAAAGGAGAGCGGCAAGTACTACGGCGCGATCTGCGCGGCGCCGGCCGTGGTTCTGCACACACACAACGTACGTCCAGCAACGACGCTCACCACATAGCGTGACGCATGTACCCATGTAGCTGCTCGTGGGCCCTTCGGCGACGGCGTACCCAGCCTTTGCCGACAAGATGCCCAACACCGTGTACGCGGCCCAGCGCGTCGTCGTGCACGGCAACTGCATCACGAGCCAAGGTCTTTCTTTGCATTCAATGTACTCTCGGATCGGCTCACGCTTGGATACGTAGGCCCTGGCACGGCGATGGAAATGGGCATCGAGCTCGTGCGCTTGCTGCAAGGCGACGAGACGGCCAAGGCGGTCGCGGCCGGCCTCTTGTTTGCGTCGTAGAGCGTTAGTCGTATCGCTTGTGAATGCCATGCGAGGATGTGGCCACGTGCCAGAGGGTCGAGACGAGTAGCCCGAGGGTGTGGCCGTACACACCTCCGTACACGCAGGGCAGCGGCCATTGCTAAGGCGGCCCGTGAGAGGACTGGAATGGACAAGAGACGTTCGCACCTGCCACGGTCGGTCCCAATCCAACGGAAGGAGGAGCGCTCCGATGTAGGCGCCAAAGAGCGTGCCCAGAAAGGTGCACGTCGCTTGCTGCTCATCGTGGGAGCGCCACCTACAGGCATATGCAGCGATACGGAGGCGCAGAGTCGATGGGATCATCCTACCGTTGGTGCAACACTGTCTCGACGTACGAGTCGAACGAGGCGAGGCCGACAGCGGTCGTCAAAGGCAGGACGCAGAGGAACGCAAGCAACGTAGCAAGCATGAGTGTTCGATCTATGAGGCTGGTACCGCGTTGGATATGGCCAAGAGAGCGATGTGGACGTACTCGAGGACGGGTGCCCCGAAAAAGATGAGGACCACGTGAAAGAGCGCGATGGCTGCGATCGTGATCGCAACGCTCGCGCCAGCACGGCGAAGGCTCGCCTGCGAATCAATGTGGGACAAGCGCTATGCAGTGTTTAGAGTACCTGGGGCGAGAGGAGCGGGTACAGGACATGCAGTACGAGCATGAGCATGACGACGACGCCCGTGACGATGCCGAGGTTGGCAGGGTGACGGTCTTCTAGAGCGCCGAGGGCCCTAGCGCCAGCATGAGCCCATGCTACGGTCATCTGATAGCAGGCCGTACGTCCATGTTGGTAGTCCGAGGACAGCAAGGCAGACCGCCAGACCTTGCGCGGTGGCGGCGCCGACTACACTCGACGTCGAGACCATTGTAGTGTGAATTTCGGAATTCAAACGTCCGAATCCTAATTTGAATCGTTGGGCAAAACCGAATTTCCTTGTTTGAAATTGGGTTTTATCCGATAAAGTACGCTGTCCAAGTCGCATTTCCGCGGGATATGGCACGGGATTGGTTGGCTTGTTTCTGCGGTCTCTCGCCTCCGCCAGCATGTCGTCGTCTACCTTGGAGCTGCTCCGCGCCGGCCATGAAGACATTGAGAGCTTCGAGCGCGCGATCGTCTCGATCCTCAATGAGAAGCCTCGTAACGTACGTCCTCGCGCTCCCGGCCTCGGCCTCATGCGATCGATATGTAGCACAAGGCGCGCGTGCTTCATGGCCACAAGGTGAGCCAGCTCTTGGACAACGTGACCGCGCGCAGCCGCGAGGTGCTCGACCTGTACGACGACAAGGAAGGAGCGTTCAAGGAAGAGATCGACACGCTGCATGGGCGCGCCAACTTTACGTCGTTTTACGACCAGCTCAAAAACATCCGCGAGTTCCACCGCAAGTACCCGACCGTCGAGGTCTCGCACGAGCCGTCGTCGCTGGATGCGGCCATGGACCCGACCGTCGAGGTGCGTCCTTCGTACGATCGTGACGGTTGTAGCTCATTTTGTCATGCAGTTTTCCGGCGAAGAGCGCTTTGGCAAGTACCTCGACTTGCACGCGTTCCATACGCAGTTTCTCAACCTGCCGGTCTTTGCAAGGTACCTCCTATCTATATGTGTGATGACGCTCATGGACTGCGAATGCTAGTGTCAACAAGATGAAGACGGCCGACACGACCAAGGTCCAGCGCGGCCGCACGCCCGAGTACATTGACGCGCCCGTCGACTATATCTCGTACCTCGGGCGGTTTGCGCAGTTCCACAAGATCCCAGAGGCCGCGAAACTCTCGGACACGCGCTACGAAGCGTACTTGAACGACCTCCTGGCGTACTTGAAGGACTTTTACCGCCGCACGCAGCCGCTCGTCGACCTCGACGACGTCGTGCTCGACGCTCAGACGCAGTTTGAGAAGGACTGGGCGCGGCACACCGTCCAAGGCTGGGCGACATCTCTCAATACGTCGTCGGCAACGTACTGCAAAGCCTGCAACAAGCAGTTTGCGTCCGACGCGGTCTTCAACGGCCATCTCAAGGGCAAGAAGCACATCAAGGCAGCCGAGGTACCTCTATTTCCCTTCGTTTCACCGCCATATGTATCGATTGTAGCAACTCAAGCAGCGCGAGGCGACGGGCGAACCCGCGAGCGACAGCCGCAAGGGCCTCGCCCACCTCGAGGCGCAGATTCGGACGCTTGTGGGGCTGCTCACGGAGGTTGTTCACGCCACGATTTCGTTCCTCGAGCTCAAGCAGACGCGGACACCGGAGGAGCTCCAGGCTGAGATCCTCGAAGAAGAGGACGATGCGCTCTCGGACGTCGAGGTCGACAACGACAAGGTCGACGACGACGACGAGCAGCCGTTCTACAACCCGCTCAACTTGCCGCTCGGCTGGGACGGCAAGCCGATTCCATACTGGCTCTACAAGCTCCACGGCCTCGGTGTCGAGTTTACGTGCGAGATCTGCGGCAACCACAGCTACTGGGGCCGGCGGGACTTTGACCGGCATTTTCAGCAGTGGCGACACGCCCACGGCATGCGCTGCCTCGGGATCCCCAACACCAAGCACTTTCACGATATCACCTCGATGGCCGACGCCCTTGCGCGTACGAAGCGCCTCTGGCTTGTCTCGACTCACGATCTCTCTAGTGTACGAGAAGCTCAAGGAGCAGCTCGAGAAGGAGACGTGGAGCAAGGCCAACGAAGAAGAGTTTGAAGACTCGGAAGGCAACGTCCTCAACAAAAAGGTATGGAACATGCGCCGACCATCGTACGTCCAACGTGACAATACTCGGGTAGACGTACGAGGATCTGTCGCGCCAAGGCTTGTTGTGAGGATCCGCACGACCACCGAGGAGGATGCCCTAATCCACGCACTATTTTTTCTCGTGGTCGTCCGAGTTGTCTTCTTGTCACTGCCCGAGGCACATGACGTCGTGGGAGCGACGCCTTGTACTATGAGGGTCAGCACGTCGCCGTGCATGGGCCGTCGGCGCAGCTCGACGCCGACTCTGACATAGGTAGAGAGAAAGAGCTCTCGCTGTGTGCGCGTCCCTATGGTGCCATCCAAGTCGATTCTACATCGTGTCGATCGACTACGCATGCCTGCGACGACTCTGCCCTGCAACGCTACACGCAAGAAACACACTTCGAGACTGGCGAAATGCCAAGAGCATGAATTAACGAGTTACGTGTGGTGCCCTTGGGGTTGGTTGGCTAACAAGCAGCGTGGAGCTTGAGCGTGAAGTAGGCGATCGCGATCGCCATGGCGGCAATGCAGCCGCCGACGAGGACATTAGCGGACACGCCGCTGGGCGCGACGACCGGATCGTCGCTTGCCTTGGCGACCGCCATGTCCGGAAAGAGCCACTGCAAGCCTTCCTGGAGGTGCGCTTCGTCGGCCGCCTCGCCCGACCGGTGATGCGCCATTTGCTGGTGCAGGTTCGTTTTCGAGAAGAGACCGGCGCGTAGAGCGGTCGGTGACCCCGCCGGAGCATCGTCGTTGGCAGCCGCCGGAAACAGCGACGCGATGCGCTTCTGAAGCTCCGCTCCGTCGGCCGCCACTTGCGAGCGGCGGCACGCCATGCGCTGGAGCTGGTCCTCGTCCGAGAGGGGGAACGCGCTGTGGTCACTGTCGTTCATTACGTGGTCGCAAAACTGCAAGTGAGCAGCGCTGTGGCGGACGAGCCATGACGTGGCGCGCCACTTGCGATTTTTCGAACCGGCAATTGTCCAATCAAAGGCGGCGGCTTGTCTTGGATCTCGGCCGAAGAAAAAAGTCGTTGCGTATCGAGTTTGAGAGGTTCTCCACTTCAATGACGTACACTCTGTCCCGCCACTCGGCGCACGACGTCTTCCTCAGCGCAGCGCTTTGGACGAGAGAGGTGCATAGCCAAACGCTGCAGCTCGCTGCCTCTAGCTATTGACGCTCAACGCGTTCGACCTCAATCCAGTCGCAGCAACCGTCCTTGTGCTTGTTCCGACAAGCGAGTATCTCGCCGCGATCTTGCCCTTGCCTGGCGTGATGCCAAAGGCTGCACGTGATTTCGACGCGACGTCGCCTGTCGCCACTGCATGGAGTGGAATGGCGGCAAGTATAAATTGTTGGAGACCAGAGGAAATCGAGCACGGACCTTGCGTGGCAATGACCAAGGCCCAAGCTAAGCTTGGCTTTGCGACCAAGCTGCCCAAGGGCGACTAGCTCGTTGAGGACACCGAGCACCACCGTCCGTGACTCACGGGTTTCTCGTCATCTTCTTGGTTTTCTTATTCGTCGCTGTCCGAGTCGAGGCAAATGATCTCGGGCAGTGCGTTGGAGCTGCTACTTCTACTATGGCTACTTCGAGGGGTCACTGGGCGAGGTATGTCGCCGCGCATGAGTCGTCGGCGCTGTGGACGCGACGCGCCAGCTTGGCGGGGCCATGCGATCGGCGGTAGAAAGTTGTCTTCGTCGTTCTCGTCGTCCGAGAGCAAGGCACCCATGGCCGGCAGTGGCGGCGACGCCGGGCTCGGCGCCACGATTGGAGCCGGTTTGCTTTCTTCATTGTCGTCGTCGTCGTAGTCGATGCTGGCGGTGCTGGCTGACGGAGGTGCGGCTGGTACTCGGTGGGCCTCGGTGGGCGGTGGTGTGAAGGGTACTGCGGGCGGCGCCATGGCGGCGCCGACGTTCGCAGATGCGTCGCCCGACATCATGGCTGCCGGCGACCGCGGTGGTGACGCATAGGTATTACCGGGGCTAGCGACGCCCGTTCCTTGCGGCGGCGGCGTCGCCGGGGCCATCTCCATCGGAGCAAACGGAAGCGGATCCAGGTTCATCGCCGGAACAGGCGACGAGAGCACGTCAATGGCGGCGGCCGCGTCACCGGCAAAGGGCGGCGGCTGGTCGTCGTTCCAGACATCGGGCGGGATCATGCCAAACGCCGTCGCAGCAAAGCGCAGGCCGTCCCATTGGTCGGCCCACATGCCAGCACCGCCACTTGCTGCTTGGGGTCCGTCGTCTCGCGCGGCGTGCGTACGTGGCGGCGCAGGGTCGTCTTCTTCGTCGCTCGAGAGCGTCAAGTCGATCGAGTCGACGATCGGTGCGAAATCGTCGAGGGCCACGTCCACGGCGCGCTTGCTCTCATCGTCGTCGGTCGAGTCCTCCGTCTTTGGCTTCTTTGCGGGCTTGGGCTCGACCTCGTCATCGACGCGCTTCTTCCACGTGGCGTCCGGAAAGATCTCGACTTCTTCGAGCTCGTCGTCGTCGGCCACTTGCGACAGCAAGTCTTTCAAAAATGGGTCGATGCGGAGCTCGTCCAGCGGGATAAACTACAAATCCCGTCGTTTCTACGACACAGGCCATAGGCGACTACCTTGTGGCACACGATGCACTTCCACGCCCGGGACCGCGCCGACTTGTTGAACATGAGAAAGGTCTTGAGGTCAAAGCACTGCAAATGCTGGCAGCACAGGCCGCGGGCTGGGAGCTGGATCACGCCCAAGCTGAGCGGACACCGCACCGAGAGCATCGTGCACATGGCCACAATATCGTCATCGTCGTCGTTCCCAAACGACTGGATCACGTTTTGCTTGGCGTCGGCGTACGTGATCTTGGTCGAGTTCTGCAGGACAGTCTCGACGAGGCTGTCGAGGGACTCGCGGACGACACGCTGCACGAGCATGCCAAACATCAGCTACGAGCTGCGTGAGCCAACGAGCGAAGAGGGCGATGGACGTACGCCGTACTGGTCGGCGCCGCGAATGTCGACCACGTTGCGCCCCGGCCGCGAGTGCGGGAGGAGGTTGAGTGGCAGCTCTCGAAGCACCTTGGAGACGTTGGCGTGGCCCGGGTTGGCTCGCTAGCAGTTGGTGGACTTGCCGATGGTCATAGAAGGAAGCAAGTAGTGTACCTGGACAACCTGGACGGGGTAGCCATTGACGCTGATCTGGGCCATGGTCGGCCATTCGTGGCCCTCACCAAGGGTGTGGCTGAGCGCAAACGAGCGCAGTTGGAGCTCAATGGCGCCGGCGGCTGTGCCCTGATTGTGCCGGAGCGCTTCCAACTCCATGGGTGTCAAGTCGTACGTCAAGGTCTGGGACCGCGGGATGTTGAAGCGCAGACAAATCGGTTGGCCGAGCGTCTCGAGGACCTTGAAGAACGGATCAAACGACTTGGAGCGACACGTCTCGCAGCACCAGTCGCCCGTGTCCTAGGAGGTCGTAGATGAGGCTTGAGATGCATCAAGAACGTCACGTACGGGCGTGAGGAGGTGGCACTTGTCGTGGACGACGAGCGTGCACGATTTGCACTTGGTCGTTCCGGCGCTCAGATGTCCGTGGCCGGGGCACATGCAGCGCGCCGACCCGATACTCGGCGCAGCGACATGCATTGGTGGCGGACGCATCTCGTGCTGGAAGAGTCCCTGGTTCATGAGGTTAGGCGGCATCTGCAACGGCGCGTTCCAGCCATGGCGCGGAATTGGGTTTGGTGCGTGGATCGGCGCCTTGTAGACAGGCGATCGATCCGGCACATGATGCAGACCCCGCTCGCTCGAGCGAATGCCTATCTGCTCGTTCATGACAGCGATCGCCTTGGCCATTTGCTGCTTGTAAAACGTCGCGTGCGTCTCGGACTGGCTCGCCTGCTGCGCCAGCCCTGTTTGGTAGGACTATGCACGTCGCATGAGGCGTCGAATGCAGCCATGAGGCGCACGTACCGCGACCTTGTCGTAGATGCGGTCGACGAGCTCCTGCTTCCGGCCCGACGAGCTCAAGCTCATGACCTTCATGATGACCTTGAGCTCGGGAATCCGCAGGCCCTGGAGCCTGCTCTTGAGCGACTCAATGTGGACTGCGTCCATCGTCGGCGGCCAGCGGTGCAAGCGGTCCGTCGGCCCCGCGAGGAATTTAATTTCTTCCCACCCATTATTTCGAATGTACGGCGCGGGGTACATCATCGTACGTACATCAATGTACGACATCCCGTTACCGAGCAAACACAAGCACGGCGAGGTCGTACATTCGAACGGACGGCTTGACATGGAGTTTGTATACCGAGCGAGGGCCGCAAATCTGGGACCTTGTCCATCGTCACAAGCCGGAAGATGGGATCCATCGCCGAGTTCATGCTCGCCCGCGGGAAGGGCTCGTCGGCCGCGCTCGACTCGTCGGACGTGGCCGCTGCGCTCCATGGCGCCAGCATCTCGGACCTCGATGGCACCTTGGCCTGCCTCAACCTCGACGAATATGCTGCCTGCATGGTCTACCTTCTGTACGGTGTATCCTACGGTCGACAGGGCGATATTGATGCCTCCTGGCGTTAGGACGGCCAAGGGCAAGAAGCTGCCGCGCGTGGCATCGAGTCGCGACGATGACATGCAGGTCGACTCGGACCATGCAGCGCACACCAATTACTTGCTCCAAGTCGCCCAACTCTTGGCCCGCATGGCCATGCCCGCCGACGCGCGCGAGTTCCGCAAGCGTACGCGCCTCGTCTTGTGGCTTGGTTTGAGTGCTGTCGGTTGTAGTGGCCGAGCTCTGCAAGGTCGCAGCCAAGCACGCGATCGCATGCAACGAAGCCATCCGCCTCGTGCACCCGCTGCGCGGATTCCTCCAGCGCTTCCAGGACGCGGCAACGCCATGCGACGCCAAGCTCCAGCACGGCAACATGTATGCGCTCACGCCATTCCACTCGGTGCTCGCGCTCGTCGCGCTGCACGCCAAGTGCTACCACGCGGCGACGCCCATCTTGAACCGGTACTAATCTCTTCTTGCCCGAGTCGTCGTCTCAATACCAACGTACGTAGCCCTGTCTTTGAAGTGGCCCCGTTTACGCGCGTGGTCGACGTCCTCGAGTACTGTTACTATGGCGGCATGCTCTACGTCGGCCTCAAGAAGTATCGCGACGCGGCCGAGTTCTTCCTCCTCGTACGGTCTTCATTGTCGTTGCTCGGTCGCCATCATTGTCACATTTGCGTAGGCGATCACGACGCCGGCCCACTCGCTCAGTGCGATCGTCGTCGAAGCGTACAAGAAGTACGTGCTCGTCTACTTGATTGTGCACGGCGACGTGCCCGTGCTCCCGAAAGCGACCTCGGTCGTCGTCGCGCGCGGCCTCCACACGCACGCGGCCGCCTACGAGGCTTTTGCGTCCGTCTTCAAGTCCAAGGACCCGACAAAGGTCGTCGAGTGCATGCAGGCGCATGCGGCTGAGTTTACAAAGGTTCCCAAGTCGCTGTGATGGTCGTTTTGAGACGTTTGGCTCTATAGGCCAACAACTTTGGCCTCGTCAAGCAGTGCGTCGAGGCGCTCAAGCGGAAGCGCGTGCAGGACCTCACGGCCACGTACACGACCGTGTCGCTGGCCAAGGTCGCGACCGCGCTCGCCGTCGCCGACGAGAGCCCGAGGTATCGAGCACCGGAATACCCGTCGTTGCTCATGTACACGTCTGCGTAGACTGGTTCTGGACGCGGAGCGCAGCATCCTGGACATGATCCGAGCGGGCGACATGGCGGCCAAGATGGACAAGACCAAGAACATGGTGGTTTTCGAGGAAGACGCGACCCAAGACCACGTGCTGACCGAGATGCAAGCCGCGATCGCCAAGACGATCCTCTTTACCGAGCGTCTCCGCGCCACGGACATTGCGCTCACAAAGAATGCCAAGTTCATTGGCAAGGTCGACCTCTCGCACTTGCTCCATCAACTCATATCTTGCTATGTTGGTGTAGACCAAGGGCCGCAAGCAGCCCGAAATGGACGGCCCGGAAGACCGTTGGACGGCGATGCACCAAGGCCAAGGGACCACCATGTAAGCGTCAGCGACGTGTGAAACCAAATGCTCTTATCAAACGTAATGATTGCGTCCACCTGGCTGCTGCTGGTAGTTGCCATACGCTGGCGCATACGGTCCAGGCTGCTGCGGTTGTTGCGGGTGGCCGTACGGCGCTGCGTACTGGCCCGGGTACCCCGGCTGCGCTTGGTAGCCTTGCTGCTGCGGGTAGCCTTGCTGCGGATAGCCGGGTTGGTGCGACTGCTGCGGGTAGCTCGGGTAGCTTGGCTGGGCATAGCTACTCGATTGTTGCGGCGGGTACGATGGCGGCGGCGGACCACCGTACGACTGGTTGCCATACTGCGGCGGCTGTCCGTACGGGCTGCTACCGGGATACTGGGGCGGCGGAGCATTGTACGACGGGCCTCGCGCTGGCGGGTACGGGTTCGCCGGGTGGTGGTTGCCGTAAGACGGTTGATACGCTGGGGGCGACGGCGGCGGCGCGTTGGGCGTGAACGTTTGTGGCGCCCCGCCCGCGAGGCTTGCAGCGTAGGCCGCGTCGGCGGCCACTTGGTCGTTGCCCGAGACGTGCACGCTTTGTTGGAGCTGCCGCGCCAACTGCGCGTCGTTGTCGCTCGAGGCCTCGGGGCGTGGCGCGTGCGCCAAGTTGAGCTCCATCTCGCGCTTCTCGAGGTCGCGCGCGGCGCAGTGGTCCGTCACAGTTTGCTCGAGCAGCTGCAGCTTCTGCGACAGCTCGGCGTAGAACGCGCCGCCTTCCGTCGCATTCCCGAGCAGCTGCTCGTACAGGTCCACCGCGCGCTGGAGGTCCATGAGCGCTTGCTCGCGCTGGCGCGTGATCGGATCGGCCTGCCGGCCTTGCTTGAAGAGGTCGTTGCGGGCCGTAATGTCGCTCAGCAAGTCGGCTTGCTCGGAGAACGTGCCTTCAATGAGCGACCGCTTCTGCTCCAAAAGCGCCTGCTTGGCACCGAGTGCGTCGTCGGCTCCGGTCGCGACAACGTGGACAGGCACCGCAGCCTCGGCGGCGAGCTCGGCCTGCATCTCGTCCCGCTTTTGGAGGAGGACGCCCAGCGTCACCATGAGATTTGAGAGAATCGACGTGTCGACGGTCGCCGCCGAGGCGTCGCGCTGCGGAATCTTGGCACTCAGCTCGGTCTGCGTCTCGCCGAGCATGAGCAGCTCGGGCTTCTGCAGCGACGAGGCAATCGCGAGGTCCGACTGCGCCGCGTCGCGGAGGAGCTTGTGGTACCGGTCGACGTCCCCGTAGAGACCGGCATTGAGATTCGCAGACGGCGCGCGGTTCCACTGGGCGCCATAATTTGCTTTGGCCGCCAAGTCGTCCTGGGCTTCGTCCCGCAAGAGGTTTTCAATGTGGCGCAACTGCTCGTCGGCGAGCGCTTTCGAGCGCTTGTTTTCGTCGAGGATGCGACCAATCGGCGCCGTGAGCCCGTTCGCTCGGCACGCTTCGATGCGCTTCCAGAGCGTGGGCGGCAGCCCCGCGCCCTTCTCGAACGCTTCGACGGCGGCCGGCAGTCCGAGCACGGCGAGGTGGGACCGCGCTTGTTCGCTCTGCGACGCGACGGCCGCGGCCGACGCGCTCACGAGGCTCTGGACCGTCGCGTCAAACTCAGTGATCTTTTGACGCAGCCACGTGGGCACGAGATCTTCAAAGAGGTCGGCGACCTTTTCCTTCTCGGGTAGCTGCGGCTTGACCATGGCGGCGGCCGAGAGCACCGGGAGGTCCGTCAGTCTCGGAATGGTTTCCATGTAGATCGTGTCGTTGTCCTTGCGGGCGTTCTGAAGGCTCTCGACGATGATGGCCTTGAGCTGCCGCACCGACGCGGGCAGCGACGGCGGCAGTCGCTTCTCGGTCGCGTGGCTAATGGCTTGGGCGCAGAGCGCGTCGGCGGTCGCGAGGCGTGTGATTTCTTCGCCGTAGCCCGAGCCTTTTGCGAGCGCCGCCTCTTTGGAGGCTTTCGCTTGCCAAAACTGCGCAGCAGCCTTCATGCACATGACTTGAAACTCAATGTGCACGGCCCAGAGGCGGTCGATCGCCGACTTGGTCGTCGACGCGTTCGCAAAGTCGAGCGCCGAGACGTAGAACGCGACGGCTTGCGTCGCAAGCTTGGACTTGATGCCGTCCTTCATCTTGTCCTTGATCGACTTTTCGTAAAAGCACGCCTGGGCTTGCGCGAGCATGAGGTTCACGAGCATCGAGAGACCGTCGTTGCTCATGTCGACCGTGCGGGCGCCTGTCGTCGGCGACGATTGGATCGTGGCAAAGGCCCCCGCGGCCGCCATAAAATGGTTGCAAGCGCCTTTGAGCCCGTCTGTGGTGCTGCGGTCGCAGTTGACCGCGGCCTGCGACTCGAGCGCGCCGACGAGAAACATGACAGCGTCGCGCTCAAACTGGACCGCGTTCTGCGTCAGCTTTTGGCGCGGGCAGAACGAATCGTACCACGTGAACGGAACTTTGACCGTCGTGTCGCCGATCGGAAACCGCGTCTCGAGGAGCTCGAGCTGCGCGTGGTAGCGCAAGAGCACGAGGCGAGACATGGGCGACGGCGTCCGGACTGCCTCGACGTCCTTGCGCATCTGGCCGAGCGCCGAGAGCGAGGCCGTGAACTTGTCGGCCTCGGCCTCCGAGTACTCCTTCGCGATGTAGCTGCGCAGCGGCTTGGCCACGTCGAGGGGCGACGTCTGCTTGAGCTGCACCGCCAGCATCGCCTGTTGCCGCAAATAAAAGAAATAGCACGGAGCGTTGATCTTTCGTGTCCAGCCCCAACCTACATTCTGGTCGCCAACACTCCAGCCAAACCGGTTCCATTATTTTACCGTTGGACGCTCTGCATACAAACACCTATATGCATAGGAGCTCATAAAATCGACTTCAAATATATTTTTTATCTCAGAGAATGTATACCGGTGTGATAGCCAATCAGAGCGCGCACCGCGCGTCGTGAAGAAGGCTAGAAACACCACGTTTTGGTGGCAATACTCCTTACCACGCGCAACAGTACTGATCCTTTTGCGCACTTGTGCGCAATTTGTACGGGTGCTAGAGCCTTTCTTAGAGTGTGGTAGTGTTTTCCCCATGGTGACGAGATGTTTACGGACGGCTGGCGCGGCAAACAAAGGGTCTTGGTCTGTAAATCGCGTGGAAATAGATGCTGCCGGTCCCGGGTCGCGCGGGCAAACCTGCCAAACTCGATATGGACTCTGGAAGGCCGCGATCGGTTTCGGCAAGATCGTGTTTGGCCCTTCCGATGAACAACTCGTACGTGGCCGGCGCCGGCGCGTACGTCAAGGGCGATTTCGCCATCACGTCGACGGGCGTCGTCATGAAGGGCACGGGCCGGGCCTTTACGGTCAACCCGGCGGAGCTCGAGTGGGGTGACACGATCGGCCAAGGCGCCAGCGGCACCGTGCGGCGGTCCAGGCACACGCCCTCGGGCACGATCCTAGCGCTCAAGCTCATCAACATGTTTGACAAAGCCAAGCGCGAGCAGCTCATGCGCGAGATCCACGCGCTCTTCGACTCGGAGGTATCTCTCCATCATGAGCATTGACGTCGATGAACCATGCGTCATTAGTGTCCGTGCCTGGTGACGTTTTACGGGGCGTTCCTCAAAGACAGCGCCGTCGCCTTAGCGCTCGAGTACATGGACTGCGGGTCGCTTGAGAACGTCGTGCGCGAGTATGGCGGCGGCGTGCCCGAGCCGATCCTCGCCAACATCACGCTGCAGCTTCTCATCGGGCTCTCGTACCTCAAGTCCAAGAAGCGCGTGCACCGCGATATCAAGCCGTCCAACATTCTCCTCAACACGAACGGCGAGGCGAAGCTCACAGATTTTGGCATTGCGACCGAACTCTGCAATTCGATCGGTATACCATTGCATGTTCCATGTCGTCCTGGGATCTCATGCGAACGACGCTAGCCATGTGCGGTACGTTTGTGGGAACCTTCAAGTACATGTCGCCCGAGCGCATTCGCCGCGATCCATACAGGTTCCCAAATGCCACACTGCGTCCACTCACCGATTTTAGCTACGCCTCGGACATTTGGAGCTTGGGGCTGGTTCTCATGGAGACGGCGACGGGCCAGTACCCGTACCACCAGCACAAGACGACGATCGAGGTCTGTGTGCCGACACTAGCGTAGTGATAACGGCGCTTCAGATGATCCAGAGTGTGCTAGAGGCGCCGCCGCCACCGCTGTCGGAAGGTATGGCATCATGACATGTCATACTTTAACTAGATCCCTCGGTAGACGCCTACTCGCCAGCATTTTGCGCCTTCTTGCACGATTGCTTGCGCACGTCGGTGCGTCCGACGTGCCCATGAGACAGCTGTCTGCAACATCGACGCGTAGGACAAGGACCGGAAGAGCGTGGACGAGCTCCTCGCGTCGCCATGGCTCACGCAATGGGGTGCGACGGGTACAACTTTGCACTTGGCGGGCTCTTTCCTTGAAAGATTGATACATTGTAGACCTCGACGCGGCCCAGCGCAACGTGCGGACGTGGGTCCAAGCGCAGCAAAACAACCACAACACTTAAACGTGCGATACATGAGAATAAATAGTCTGTACGATCCTACGAGGACGCGTGCTGGATCACGGCGGCCGCGGCGGCCTGCAAGAGTGCCACGTAGTAGGACGTTTCGCCGCCGACCGATGCGTCCGAGAGACCCATCGCCTCCATTGCATGCAGCTGCATGTACAGCAGCGGCAACTGTGCATGGGATAAGATCGAGACAAGAATCGGGAGCACGATGTCAGCTGAGAGACACAGCGACGATGTGACGCCGAGTGCGTCACCGACTTCGTCATGGAGCGTCGCGATCGCAGCCATGAGCGTCTGGAGCATGCCATCCGGCAAGAGCACTGGGAGTTCTTCGATCGCGTCAATCGTGCGAGAGAGCGAGATCTCGTCGTGGGGCACGCCGACGTCGATGAGTCCGACGTCCGTGAGCGAGAGCTGCCGGACGCTCTCGACGCTGGCATCAAACTGTCTTTGGTCGCGCGCCAGGGTCGTGACGACGGGCGCATAGTAAGCCGCAGCGAGTCGACCGCACAGCAGTCGCCGCACGAGGCGCCGGAGCGTTTGGTCGACTGCCGACACACCGTGCTCGGCGGCCAAGTGGGCGCAAATGTCATGGTGAAGCGCCGCAAATGTCGCCCTCGGCACCACGTACGTGCTAATGTCTTTGAACGCCGAGATGGCCGTGCGCTCGAGACGCTGGCCAATGTCGGTCTTGTAAAACTGCGAAGCCACGAGCACCATCTCAAAGGCAAAGTCGAAATTGGACGGGTCGTCGTGGCAAGGGATCGTTGTCGCCTGCAGGAGCAGCGGCAAGCTCGATACATGCGCCGTGAGGTACGTGTCGTCCTGGAATGCGGCCTTGACGTCGTCGCTGCGGCGCGCAAACGCATCGTCGGCCGACCTCCGGCGCAGCGACGTCGTGCCCCCGTGCTTTTTCACGTGCGCCGATATCGCTTGCAGCCATGCGATCTGCCGCGAGAGCACTTGGTACAAGATGTCTTTGGCCAGCGCTCCTTCCCAGTTGGCGTCGTTCGCCGCGTCGAGGATCGCGAGCCCGCGCTTGTGCAGCGCGGCCTCGGCGTGCGCGCGGAGGCGGCGCAGGCTCGTCGTCGTAGCACTCTTGCGCAGCCACGTGCCATTCAAAAAGTCGGTGCGCGCGTCCCACTCGATCTGGTGCGTGCGCTTCTTGAGCGCTTTTGTCTCTTTTGCGACGCGGTCGGCGCGCGACTCGGTCGGGCTCGAGAAGGACACGCTCATCTCGGACCGGTGCGGACTCAAGAGCGCCGAGAGCGTCGACGAGCGCGCGCTGAACGCATGCACATTACGCTGGTACGGCGTCCACGCGGCCACCGCGAATACCATCGCTTCCGCTTGTGACGAAGAAGCACCAAGATGATGACACTGCCAGGTGGTTTCGGCGTCCCCAACGTGATTGGCCAGCAAAAATGGCCGAGGACGGACGACTTGGTATTGCGATCTTTCACCTGCCGCTCCATGTCCATGTCCAGGCCATCGACAATGATCTTCAGAGCACATGCTACATGGACGTATCCCTTCCTCGTCCTCCTTCTGCATCTACGTGGCTTGACAGTGTCATCTCGGTTCTGCCGTGCGACTGCCTGCGCGAGCTACGGCTCCTCTGGCACAAGGCTGGAAGACGACACGTCTCTCTTCATAATGCTACGTGGCAGGTGCCACGCGGGAGAGCCGCCCGGTCGGCAAAACCGCAAGAGAGCGCGCCGCGGACGGTATAAAACACGCAGACGAGTCGCTTGTCATTACATGCAGACGGTTAGAAACGCGCCGTCGCGGCGATGGCGCTCGATTGCGCTCGATTCGCGAGCTCTCAACGGGGCTGCTTCGCGCGTTCTCCGAGACGCGATCCGAGCGAGCGCGCTTCAAAGCGCTTGGAAGCGCTCGATTCGCCAAAGACAGCGCGTTGGTCGCGTCTTTTTTTCTTTCGTCACAAAGTTGGATACAAACACCAAGTTATAATTTATCCAAAGGAATAAAAAAAGAGGCGGAGGGGATAAAAAATAGCGCTGTGTGGTTTTTGTCTCTTCAAAAGGGAACGTCGCACGGGCCAAGCAACGTCGGCCGCCATAGAACCAGGTATGGCCATGTGCTCGGCCGCGCTCTGCTGCGCCATGCGCTCTGCCCCGCGACTAGAGGAGCGGGGGCGGTGCCATGTGACGTCCTGCGTCTCCTGCGCGGAAGCTCATGGGCCCTTGTATGTGCTAGTCCCGCTCATGGCATCGTCGCAACGAGAGAGCTCGAGCCTTGAGCTCCGCGTCGGCAAGAAGTTCCGCCTCGGCCGCAAGATTGGCAGCGGCTCGTTTGGCGACATCTACCTCGGCACCAACATGACGTCGGGCGAAGAAGTCGCGATCAAGCTCGAGTCGGTCAAGAGCAAGCACCCGCAGCTGCTCTACGAATCCAAGATCTACAAGATCCTCAACGGCGGGCGTACGCCACCTAGCTGACGGCGACAGCTCCATGGCTCATGTGGTCTTTCTCCTTAGTTGGTATCCCCAACATTCGCTGGTTTGGCGTTGAAGGCGAGTACAACGTCATGGTCATCGACCTCCTCGGGCCGTCGCTCGAAGACCTCTTCAACTATTGTGGCCGGCGCTTCCAGCTCAAGACCGTCCTCATGATTGCGGACCAGCTTCTCTGCCGCATCGAGTACTGCCACTCGAAGAACTTCATCCACCGCGATCTCAAGCCCGACAACTTTCTCATTGGGCTCGGAAAGCGCGCGCAGATCGTGCACATTATCGACTTTGGTCTTGCGAAAAAGTACCGCGACCCGAAGACGCACCAGCACATCCCGTACCGCGAGAACAAGAACCTCACGGGCACGGCTCGGTATGCGAGCATCAACACGCACGTGGGCATCGAGCAGTCGCGCCGCGACGATCTCGAGTCGCTCGGCTACGTCTACATGTACTTTATCCGCGGCTCGCTGCCGTGGCAAGGCCTCCGTGCCAACACGAAGAAGCAAAAGTACGAGAAGATCATGGAGAAGAAGATGAACACGCCCGTGGACGTGCTCTGCCGCGGGTTCCCGACCGAGTTCCGCGCCTACTTTGAGTACTGCCGCGCGCTTCGCTTTGACGACAAGCCCGACTATGCGTACCTCAAGCGCCTCTTCAAGGAGCTCTTCTTCCGGAAGGGCTACCAATTCGACGCCATGTTTGACTGGACCGTCCTCAACTTGGTACGTGGTCAATGTGAAACGAACATGCTTCTCATCGATGGTGTAGCAAAATGGGACGCCGACCGCCGGGACGCCCGTCGCGTCGCCCGCGCTCTTGCCGCCCAACCACATGTCGGGCGGTGGCGCCGGCGTCTTTTCGAGCGGCACGGGCAACGAGATGCTGCCGCCGCAGCACCAGCGCACTGACTCGCGCAACACGGGCAGAATATACGACGAGAAGGACCCGAACGGCGAAGAGTACGTCTCGATGCCGCGCATGACGCCGACGTCGGGCACGCCACTGCGTCAAGATGCCATGGACATGCGCGGGCCAATGCATGGGATGCCGCGCATGCACTCGAGTATGTCGATGGAGGCCAAGCCGCACGCGGCGCCCGTCCGCATGAACTCGTCGCCGATGATGGACGCCAAGCCGCAGTCGCTCCTTCCGAACCGACAGCGCTACTAGGCCACCCTTTGTTCACCCCACATATAAGATAAGAACAAGTCCCCTTCTCGTGCCACAGTATTGGACCAAGAGGGAACTCGATCGATCGATACGCTCCATGTTCTTACATGGCGTATCTGCGCTCCTCATAATGGCAGTACGTAAACTAAGTGCGCTACGAAGCGACGCTGCCGCGCTTCCTGGATATACCATTCTCCGCGGTCGTGGCGAGGGACGGCAGCGCTGCGTGGTGCGCGTCGAGGTGCTCAATGAGCTTGGCGTTCTTCATGAGGCGCGGCTGCTGCTGCAGTATGTACCGCCGCGCCACCGCCGACTTGGCGTTGTGCGGCGTGTGGGGCATTGGGGCAAACTGACGGGGCACGAGTACGCGATCGGTCGCCTCGACCGGCGTCGGCGCAAGGTTGTAGATGCGCACACCGTGGCTTTGGTAGTCGGCAAGGCGCGACGCGTGACGGTACACGGCCGTGCGCGGCAGCCGCTCCTCGTCTACGTCTTCTTAGACAAGCTACCTCACCACCGCCATAGGTACCGTGCTGGACGTGAAGCGTCGCGGCGCGGCTGACATGATACTGCATGCGATCGATCTCTTCTTGGAGCAGGTTGAACTTGATGAGCTTTCGCTGGCGCGCAATGTTTTCGTCCGAGAGATGGTTGATCGCGATCTGGAAGACGTCCTATACGACACACATATTGTCTGATGACAAGCAGACTACAGGTTGCTCAGTACGTGCTTGGCACGCACGTCGGCGTACTTGTCGGTCAGCGTCGTGTCCTAGACAGAAGACGATCTATGGAGCGTGACGACGGCGCGCGCACCAGCGTCTGCATCAACCGCTCGAGCTCTACACTCGCAGATAGTGACCCAACGCATTTGACACCGTTGTACTACCTTCGTACGACTTGGGGCCGGGCACGACAACTTTCGGGCGCCTCGACTTGGTGAGAATCATCGACCGTACGCGCTGCCGCCGACGCCGTGGCGTGTCCACGTTGGAGAGGCGCTCGTACGCGGGTGTCTACGCCAGGTGCAACCATGATACAACAGTCGACAGGCCATGGGCGCCACCGCGGGCCGGCGCGCCGCTGCTTTGGCGTCGGGTCGACCGTCGTTCGTCTCGTCGTCGTCGTCGTCGCTGTCATTGTCGGTGGCATTTAGAAACATCTCCAAGTTGGAGAGCTTTTGGCGCATGCTCATCTACACGTATATACGCTTACGGCTGCCGTCCTGTCTACATCGTCACCTTTTGCTCGGCGAGGTCCTTCTCGGCAGCGTCCAAGAGCAGGTGCGCGCCGTCGTTGGACGAGAGTACAAAGCGGGCTTTGAGCGGCCCGTCGCGCGGGCTCTGCGCCGATCGCGCTTCAGCAGGCGCTCGCCGATGCACCATGCAACTAACTAATTATAGCAAGCGCGACGAAGGACAGTCGAAATATACATATTTGAATAGAAAGGACAGGGCCTTAGACGACCGACATGTTGAGCATCTTGGTGTCGGCGACCTTGCGCCCGCACATGGCGCAGATACCTACGCAGCAAGCCGTACTTGAGAACCCACGGACAGTGGCGGCAGCAACCTTTCTTGTACGCGCAGTCTTGGCAGTAGTGGGCGTTCTGAGCGACCTTGGACTTGCAGATGCGGCAGGCGCGGCTCATGGGCGTGAAGCGGTGCTTCTTCCCGAGCGCCGCGTTCGTTGCGAGCTTGCGGCCACCGTCCTTGCCGCCCATCGTGTTGCGGGCGCCATCCTTCCACTTGTCGGGCACGATGAGCTTCGAGAGCTTCTCTTCGCACTTGCCGCAGACCATGGCGCTTCGACTCTGCGGGCCATTGGTCGAAATACGCGGATTTATGAACCAATCACCGACGATCTTCGACGCACGCCGATTGGCTCCAATGTAGCCAATGGCAAACCGGCTACAGGTTTTGCCGCAAATTCCATCATGGAGCTGGCCGAGCTCGCGGTTCCCGCCGACACGGCCACGCCGCCCGCCGTCGATGCGACACCGGACGACGCCGCCAGCCAAGACAACGCGACGCATGCAGAAGACATTGTCTTCTCCGCCTACGCGTGCAAGGTATGCGGTGGCTTGCATCGCGCTCGCCTCAACGCTGTCTAGTCGCTGGACTTTGGCCAGCCGCACCCGGGCAACATCTCCGAGTCGGGTACGCCTCGCTGCCCATATGCCACACCTCTTACGTGCTCTAACTGCAATGGCGTAGCCCTCTTGGCCACGGCACCGCTGCCGCCATGTGAGTACAACCGGGATGCGTTTCCCGACGACCTCGTCGACCAAGGCAAACTCACGAGGTCGACGACCTTCGCCGCCGTACACGGACTCACAATCTTGCATTTCGTAGTCTGCAGCTCGAGGGAATCTTATATGCGTGCATGCAGCACCAAAAGATCCTACCAACGGGCGAACGCTGCGGCTTCTTCCTCGGCGTATGTTGCAACCTCGTCGTCGTTTGCGTCTCAAGTATCTGGTAGGATGGGACCGGCGTTGGCAAAGGGCGGCAACTCGCCGGTATCATTTTCGACAACCTCTGCCGCGGGCGCAAGAAGCATCTCTGGTTCAGCGTCTCGAACGACCTCCGGGCCGACGCCGAGCGCGACCTCCGCGACATTGGCTGCCACGTCGCCGTCATCGACGGCTGCCAGCAACGTACACCTTCTCTTGACACCTGCTTGTAGTCTAATTGGCGTGTGATTAGTCGACAAGGCCAGCTTGAAAGGCTTTGGGCAGAGTAGTAACAGCAAGCAAGGCGTGCTCTACAGCACGTACTCGACGCTCACGTCCAACTTGGCGCACCCAACAAAGTCGCGCCTCGCGCAGATCGTCGGGTGGTGCGGCGACAACTTTGAGGGCTGCATCCTCTTTGACGAGTGCCACAAGGCCAAGCACGGCGACTTGAGCATGAAGGACGCGACAGCCTCCAAGGTCGCGACGGCGGTCGCCAAAATTCAAGAGCTTTTGCCCCGCGCACGCGTCGTCTACTGCAGTGCGACCGGTGTCGGCGGCATCGAGCACATGGCGTACATGGGTCGGCTTGGTGCGCTCCTAGCATTTTCGAGCAATTTCGAAGGCGACGCGTAGGGTTATGGGGACCGCGGACGGCGTTTGCGGGCTTTAGCGATTTCTTGTATACGATTCAAAACAAGGGCATGGGGGCAATGGAGATGCTCGCGATCGAGATGAAGCTCCAAGGTCCACCTGGTCCACGTCGAGCCGGTTCAAAAGATGGGCGTAGGCAAGTACCTCTCGCGCGGGTTGAGCTACGAAGGCGCCGAGTTTCGCATCGAGACGGTCGTCTTGGACGACGCCCAGGAAGCCATGTACGACCGCTCGGTGCAGCTCTGGACGATGCTCATGGGCTGCTTCCACCGCGCGTGCGCCATTACGCGCACGAGTGGCGACGTCATGAAGACGTTTTGGGGCTGTCACCAGCGCTTCTTCCGACAGCTCTGCATGGCTCTCAAGGTACCTCGCTCATGCAACCTCAGCAGGCAATCGATGGTGATTTGGTAGGTGCCATTCATCGTCAAGTGCGTGCAAGAGAGTCTCGCCCTCGGCCAGTGCGCAGTCATTGGCCTCCAGACGACAGGCGAGGCCAGCATGGAGCGATCGGTCGCGGCCAACCTCGGCACCGACAAGACGCTGTCGCACACCCTCGTCTCGCTCCTCGAGCGCATCCTCATCGACTTTATCGAGCTCCATTTTCCGACCAAAGTGCAGTTGGCGGCGTCGAGCATGAGTGCGTCGTACGACATTAGCATGATCGACGCGGCGCTTGCCGGTGACGCTGATAGCAAGATGGAGCGGCTGCCCGACGGGTCGCTCCAAAGTGTTCTCTGTGTCGAGATGCGGGCGATGCTGCTTCGCCAAGTGCTCGACCTGCAGTTGCCTCCGAATCCGCTCGATCACCTCATTGATGCCCTCGGTGGTGTCGCGGCGGTGGCCGAGCTCACGGGCCGCCGCCTCCATGTCGTGCGCAACGCCCGCGGCAACTTTGAGACCAAACCGCGCGGCGTTCACCTGGACAAGGTCAACATGGCCGAGCGGCAAGCGTTCATGGACGGTACCAAGCTCGTCGCGATCATCTCGGACGCTGCCAGCACCGGCATCTCGCTGCACGCCGATCGCCGCTGCCGGAACCAGCGCCGGCGCATTCACATCACCCTCGAGTTGCCATGGAGCGCGGTATCTGCCCTCCTTTCAATCTTTCAAAGTATCAAGACATATGCAAACTAGGACAAGGCGATCCAGCAGCTCGGCCGCACGCACCGCTCCAATCAGTCGTGTGCGCCGTCGTATGCACTCGTGACGACCAACTGCGGCGGCGAAAACCGGTGCGCTGTCCAAATGGTATAGTTGAAGAAGTGTAGACATGTGGTCTTAGGTTTGTCGCCAGTGTCGCCAAGAAAATGCTGACCATGGGGGCGCTCACCAAAGGCGACCGGCGCGCGGGCAGCGGCCAGGACTTTTCGGGCTACCATTTCGAGACCAAGTATGGGTTTCAAGCGCTGCGGGAGCTTCTCAAGGTCGCGGGGACGCCGACGCTGGTCGAAGGCGTCGACGGCGCCGCGTTACTGGCGCAGACGCCGTTCGTGTCGTCGCTAGGGCAGCTCCAGCTGGTCTTTGCCAACTGCCTCAAGCAAATTGGCCTACTGCCGCCGCCGACGACATGCGCGGTCAAGCTCTTCCTCAATCGTCTCCTCGGACTGTCACCAATGCACCAGAACGCGCTTTTTTTGTACTTTGAAAAATGCCTCCAGGCTGTGATCGCCAAGGCGACGCAGGAAGGCAAGTACGATGAGGGCTACGACGACATCAAGGGCCGGAAGGGCCAGCTCCAACGCCAGTCGCTTCTGAGTCCGACGGTCCAGCACTCGCACGTCGAGGTCGACCGCGGCATCTCGTACGAAGAAGCGACCACCTTGCTTGCGTCGTCGGTCGCCGCCGGCTACAGTGCGAGCTTTTACATCAGCGACACCAAGTTTTACGGCGAGTACCTCTTCATGCTCATGCTCGTGAGCGCGAACAAGACGTCGTGCTGCGTCGTGCGGCCCAACACGGGCTACCTGTACTTTGACCGGTCCAAGCTCGACGATATGCGGTAAACGATGACAACTTGTCTTCGAAACGACATATATCTGCGACATTAGAGACAAGTACGCCGCAATTACGCCGGCCGCGGCCGAGAAGGGCTGGCGACGCATCTTTGATGAGAGCAGCGTGCGCTGCGTGCACTGGAACGGGTGCAAGGCCGGCTTGACGTGCCGCGTCGGCATGCGCATGATGCAGTACCACGTGCTCACGGGCTCGGTGCTTCCGATCTGGAAGCTGCTCGAAGCCGTGCTCTTGTCGTCGCCGGACGTGTCGCCGTCGTCGCAACTCCGCATTGTGCGTATTGCGCTGACCAACCACCCGACGCAGTCCAAGCTGGTGGGCTTGAGCTTCCCCGTCGAGCTCATTGGACAGCTCCACGTCGAGCTCACGAAACTCGCGTCAGGCCACTCGCTCCTCGCTGTCGAAGCCCCGAGTCCCGTCGACTGCAAGGCGCGGGACCGCCTCATGCAACCTGAGCGCACGCTCCTGAGTTACTTTGGTGCGGGCGCCGAGCCGACGCCCAAGCGGCACAAGCCCGACTCGGCGACCAAGCTAAGCAATACCGCGACGGTGGTGGTCCAGCCCCGCAAGACGAGTGCGACGCCCAACGCTGCATCGACGGCTGCGTTCTTTGCGCCCAAGTCGACGACACGTTTGACCACACGGATGGCTGCGCTCCCGACGGCGAGTGTACCGGCTGTCGAGTGCATTGATTTGGTCAGCGACGACGACGACTGCATTTAAGCCACAAATGAAATGCATGGTCGGAGCTTCACGATCGCGAAATGCCCACGTGGGCGTTGGCCGACTAGCGTCGCATAGTCTTTAGCCAAACCGGTCCATCGACTCACCTTGCTCAGCTCGGTTGTCACTTCTGAAGCATTAATTTTGACCAGTCGTTGACCCGCTGGGCCCAATGCAGCAGACACTAGCGTGAGCTCCACCCCGTTCTGGCCACGGGATGCCAGTCTCAACGACCGCCAGAATCTCATTGCACGAAGGACGTCGAGCAAAGACGTCGCCCGTCAGCGATTCAATCGTCCAGCTCGATGGCAAACATACTCTTGTTCATGACCTCGACGAGCGCAAGGCCCTCAGCTCCTTTGACACGCTGCGGATCGCACCTTGCGAGGCCGTTGGTTCTTGTCGTCGGCTGGCAGTGCGACCAGCAGTTGCGAGCTGCTGCTAGAATAGGTCGTCCTGCCAGCACAGGACTGAAGGCACTAAAAAATTGTCGTGTTGCACATTATTTCACATCACATCCAAGAACTAGCCAAATCAAGCAGCAAGCTACTTCAACATTAACATTGAAGATCATGGTTATTGTTAAAGTTAACAGGTCCCTTCCGGGGTGAGCTGGTAGGAACTTTTGTATTGAATGCGAAGCGTTGATTTAACGGTATTGCGACGACGGCGCGTTGGCCGAGACAAAAGTCAACGCTCGACCTTCGCTGCGCTGCGGTGCGCAGACTTTTCCGGGCCAACGCGCCGTCGTCGCTTGCTGCGGTCTTCGCGCGCTTCTGCAATCCAAATGCAGCCGCATTGCGATTAGGTGCGGAAATACCTTATGTACGACATGTGCTCTTAGAAGTGCGTCGTACTTAATGTGTACAAAATCAAGTATAATGTCCCACATGTGACAGCACTTAACGGGAACTACCAAATCGCACTTCACTAGACAGGTTTCGCGCGATGCGATTGGCTTAGACCAATGCAACTGCGTTGCATTGGCCAAAATGTTGTAAATTATAGCCAATGGGTTGGCGAGAAAATACGAATTAATCCCCTGGGATGCTGGTACACCACGTAAACGTTCCTACCAGGAAAAGCTTGCTAGGCTCATAGCATAACAAAAGTAATTCAGTTTTACATTTGCCTCCAACTCACCACCAACGATGGCCTGCGTGGCATTTTGATCGATCAAAGTTAAAGCAAGGGCCAACGGGCAACAAAAAGCTCGTCAACAACAACAACATGACAAAGCCCAAGGTGAACAAGGCGACCAAAGTGACATTCACAACAAGGGTCAACAATGAGAAAACGGTGCGCGAGATGACGGTGTTTACGGGCAAGGGCTAGGAAGCGTGGCTCTCCTTCTGTCTCGAGATCTTCAACTTCTGCCAATGGCATGATTACAACTTCGAGATCGAGCACCACATGCGCGCCCTCCACAACGACCTCAAGATGCTCTTCCAAAATGACGACTTGTTGCGCTACAAGACCGCGACGGACGATGACCCGGACGCGGCAACCACGCCGTACACGGTACAGGTCATGAACGGCTTCAACGTGCTCACGAACCACTACTGTCCGTTTGGCACGCGAGCGCTGCTCCTCGACAAGGTCCATAGCCTCCGGAAGTCGTCTGGACAAGACGTCTGGACGTTTGCCACCGAGTTCAAACGGTGGTACCGGATGCTCAACTTTCTGCCGATGGAACAGCAGGAGCCCGAGCCGGTGGCCACCAAGATCAGCACGTTCAACCGAGCGATGCCCGTCGAGTACCAACGACGTTTGCGCGAGCGTCATGGGGTGACGCAGTTTATACTCTCGAAGCGACATCGAGGCGTACGCCGTCATCGAGGCTGACGACAAGTTCCTGCGTGGCAAAGATCTTGCTTCGCGTAGGACAGGAATATGATTGGCCAGTTTTAGATTGATTTCAACCAATGGCATGCCGTGTATCTCGAGCCATGGCGCCACGGTCGATGCCAGCCCCACTCGGTCGGCCATATTGCATTCAGAAATGAAATCGCCACCGCTTGGCCCAGTGATTATACATCCTTTGGAGGGCACAATATGCTAATTGCCGTCGTCATGCGAGAAGTACAGCGCGAGCAATTGACTGTTTTGTTAATAATGGCATATGCCATATTAGGCGAGTATACGTGGCTATATGTGGCATCACGTACGCTTGAGTTGCTGCAGCCAACCGCGCAACACCAATGCTGGATATTGGACTCGATTGCAAGGTGTGAATTGAATATGGGCATCGTCAACGTATCGTCAAGCGAGAGCAAAGCGCTCTCTAAGCCTTTGCTGGCCCGAGAAACGGCCACGTCATGCGTTTGCACTTGAATGATTTGACAACCTCCCGGACCCACTAGGGGCGACACCGAGCCTTTATATCGTCAAGATGTACAACACTGTTGTGGGTTTTTGACAAATTGTGCCCAATTTCAGGGCCGGTTTAAAATGTGCCCACTTTTGCAAGATGTGCCCAAAACAAAACAGCTGTTGACATTATGTGCCCAAAAGGGCAAAGGCGCACCTAATCTCGAGCACTTTCCAACGAAGTCAACTAAAATGACAAACATGCATGCACCTTAGTCACTTTTCGATTGCGAATGAGGTTGTCACGAGCAGTGATGCCGACGCCGGGGACGATATCATCTTCTTCGCCGTCAGGTCGGACGCGCCCACCAATGCGGTTCCGGTGGTGTGCCTCTGAGTTTTGACGAGTTGTTCCGAGTGTTCGCCGGCAACGATGCACCGTATCATGAAGAGCTACTGCTACCGAATCCGACATGCCAGGCAAGAACAAGAAACAAAAGAAGGCTCACAGTGAAGGTAATGATATTCAATGCGTACAGCCGTCCAACACGCTACGACAGACCTCACTGCTAGCTCCAGTCGCTTCTCAAGGTTGCTGTCTAGTTTCCATCTTTGTCATCTTACTGGTGGCTAGGCGGCAAAAATCCCGGAGCTTGAAGGGCGCCTGCACATGATCTACCGCAGCAAGCATCGCGTTTTGGACAAGTCGACAGATGCGGTATGAATCGTTTCATCGTACCCCTTAGTGAAAAAAGATTAAAAATGAGCGGAGCCCGGTAGAAAAATGAGCGAGGCTGGAAACGGCAGAAAAATGAGCGGACGCGATGTGTATAAAGGGTTAAATCGGCTGCGGGTTTGCACGAAGTGCAAATCCGTTGTCCAATTTAACCCGAGCCGGCACTCTTGGCCCGCCAAAGGCTCTGCCAGGGAAAGGGGAAGGGTAATTGTGGGCAATTTCGCTCATTTTTCTGCCGTTTCCAGCCTCGCTCATTTTTCTGCCGGGCTCCGCTCATTTTTAATCCGCACCCACCCCTTAGTGCTATTCCAGGATAGGGTAGACAATCGGACGGCTACATCCCAGCGCTTTTAAAAGCGTTCAACGCGGCGAACCCCGGCTGCCTCGTCGACCTTGAGCTTGATAAGGACGATTCGCGTTCTCGATGCTCGACCTGCAGCAACGCCATGGCATCCCTATGCGGGGGACCGACGGGACCTTTTTCCGCACCCGGCACTACTAGTACAGAGGTACGCAAAAGAGCAAACACATGTAGAAGGTCACGGTGTCGTCGTAGGCGTCATTCTGACGCTGGTTGCCAAGGACGCCAACAACCAGAACATCGTACTGGCATGGGCAATTGTGCCGAGCGAGAACAAGGCCAACTACTACTGGTTCCTCCGTCGATGCCTTGCGGCTGGACTCGACCTCCAAATCCCAAGCATTTTCACGGACCGGGGCAAGTGCCTCAACGCCGTCGAAGTCTTGCGAAGCGAAGACGTCTACGTCGCACTCAAGTTCTGTTGCATCCACCTCACTCGCAACCTCCAGAGCAAGTTTGCCCAGTTCAGCGGGAAAGAGTTCGAGGCCTGCGTCTGGATGCTCCAAGCATCCGAGACGCTGGACAAGTACAAGCAAGTTTGGTGGCAATCGAGACGAAGTACGACGCCGAGGTAACTGTAGTCTTGTGCTTGAACTAACAATGCGCTATCTAGGTGGCAGCGTATCTTGGCGCCATCGTACCCGTCAACTGAGTATTGTTTGCCAACAACCCAGGTGGCGAAAATCCCGACAATCCCGACGTACGTCCTCTTTACGTAGAGCCGCAAATGCGGTCGCGAGCACTAAGTACAAGGACGAGCTCGACGCCTCGACATTCTTCGAATGCAAGAAAAACAGTAAGACATGCAATCGCTTGATTCGAACTTGGCGAATACGATTGGATTGTAGATGATGGCGTAACGTGCTACGTCAGCCATCCGGACAATCGCGATAGCTATCGCACAGTGCGCCTTGACAAGCTGCAGTGCTCCTGCTCCTACCGTCTCCAAACGGAGCTGCCGTGACGCCACTTGCTGGCGGTCCTCCGCGTGGCAGAGCGACTCGATCGCGTGCCCAGGACGTTTGGCGTGCGCTACACGGTGGCAGCCTATACCGAGGCCCATGCTTCCACTGTTGTCAAACTTCCTCCGAGCGAGAGCTTGGAGCTTGACCACGCTATCAAAGAGCCCGTGCATTAACCAAAAGCGGGGCGCATGCAAACGGCTCGCATAGCCAGCAACGGCGAACGGGGCGCCGCTAAAGTCTACCGCTGCCGCAAATGCAAACTCGTGGGCCACAAAGGCGGCAATTGTACGCACCGTAGCATCGAGCTCGCTCCTGCCATCCCGACCGAGCGCAGCCACATTGGGACAGTGCTTCCCGTCGAAGGCCCGCCGCTGCAATTGCTCCTTGATGACGACGAGTTCTCGAGCGACAGCGATGACTACATCGACAGTGACCGAGACTAGATGATGCCAAGCAGTCTCGATACATATTACATAAGACGATCAATCCAAAGTGCATTTACTCTTGTGCTACTAGTATACATGTGCGATCCGCTCATTCGCAATCGAAAAGTGACTAAGGTGCATATTTGTCATTTTAGTTGGCTTAGTGGAAAGTGCTCGAGATTAGGTGCGCCTTTGCCCTTTTGGGCACATAATGTCAACAGCTGTTTTGTTTTGGGCACATCTTGCAAAAGTGGGCACATTTTGTAAACCGGCCCTGAAATTGGGCACAATTTGTCAAAAACCCCACTGTTGTTGCAATCGAGTAGCTTGACGCACGCCTATACCTCCCGCAAACAAGAACGAGCCCACCAAGTAGCTCTGGAGGCGTGACGTGGCGGG